CACCAGGAGATAGTCCCGGTCAGGGTGCCGGATTCTGTACCAGTTGCTCCTCTTCCAGTCCAGCTCTCTGCTGTGACCCAGGAGTGCAGTGGAGGATGGCCCAGGAGCTTGGGCTCTGCACCCGCATGGGAGACCAGGAGAAACACGTGGCTCCTGGATTCAGATCAGCGCGATGCGCGGCTGCAGCAGCCATTGGGGGATGAACCAACGGCAAAGGAAGACCTTTCTCTCTTTTTTTTTTTTTTAATTTTTTGACAGGCAGAGTGGACAGTGAAAGAAAAGGAAGACCTTTCTCTCTCTCTCTCTCTCTCACTGTCCACTCTACCTGTCAAAAAATAAAAGAATAAAAAAAATACATTTCAATAATATGCTGTGAAAGAGTCAAAAAGAAATATTATGAGGGTATTAAGACAATGTAGGCCAGCGCCGCGGCTCAATAGGCTAATCTTCCGCCTAGTGGCGCCGGCATACCGGGTTCTAGTCCCGGTCGGGGCGCCGGATTCTGTCCCGGTTGCCCCTCTTCCAGGCCAGCTCTCTGCTGTGGCCAGGGAGTGCAGTGGAGGATGGCCCAAGTCCTTGGGCCCTGCACCCCATGGGAGACCAGGAGAAGTACCTGGCTCCTGGCTCCTGCCATCGGATCAGCGCGGTGCGCCGGCCGCGGCGGCCATTGGAGGGTGAACCAACGGCAAAGGAAGACCTTTCTCTCTGTCTCTCTCTCTCACTGTCCACTCTACCTGTCAAAAAAAAAAAAAAAGAAAAAAAAAAAAAAAAAAGACAATGTAGCAGAGGCTGGTGCTGTGGCTTGGAGGGTAAAGCCGCTGCCTGCAGTGCCTGCATCCCATATGTGTGGTTCGAGACCTGGCTGCTCCACTTCCAATCCAGCTTTCTGCTATGGCCTGGAAAAGCGGTGGAAGATGACCCAATCCCTTGGGCCTCTGCACCTGCATGGGAGACCTGGAAGAAGCTCCTGGCTTCATATCAGCCCAGCTCCAACCGTTGCAGCCAATAGGGAAGTGAACCAGTGGATTGAAGTCCTCTCTTTCTCTGCCTCTACTTCTCCCTCTGTAACTCTGACTTTAAAATGAACAAACAACTCTTAAAGAAAAAGAAAACAATGTAGCAAAGTAAAATTTCAGGAAAAAGCGTTTTTATATTTAAAATGATGGTGATAAGGGGCTGGTGCTTGGCCTGGGGGATAAAGCTGCCGCCTGCAATGCTGTCATCCCGTATGGGCACCGGTTCAACTTCCACCTGCTCTACTTCTGATCCAGCTCTCTGCTAATGCACCTTAGAAAGCAGCAGAGGATGGCCCAAGTGATTGGGTCCCTACTTCTCTCCTACGTGGGAGACCCAGATGAAGTTCCTGGCTCCTAGCATCAGCCTGGTGCAGCCACTTTAGGAATGAACCAGTGGATGAAGATTTCTCTCTTTGTATCTCCCTCTCCCTCTGTGTAACTCTGCCTTTCAAATAAAATAAATCTTTGGAAAAAAAAAAAAAGAGAAAAGAAAATGACGGTGACAAATAAAAAATTGTGACAGCACTTAGATTTCATTATTTAACTTAAAAGAGCAACATAATTTTACCTTTCAAAATAACAGTTTCAGGGGCCAGTGCTGTGGCGCAGTGGGTTAATGCCCTGGCCTGAAGCATCGGCATCCCATATGGGCGCCGGTTAGAGGCCAGGCTGCTCCACTTCCAACCAGGCACTCTGCTATGGCCTGGGAAAGCAGCAGAAGATGGCCTGAGTCCTTGGGTCCCTGCAACAACATGGGAGAACCAGAGGAAGCTCCTGACTCCTGGCTTCAGATTGGTGCAGCTCCAACCGTTGCGGCCAATAGGGGAGTGAACCATTGGATGGAAGACCTCTCTCTCTCTGACTCTCTTCTCTCTGTGTAACTGACTTGCAAATTAATAAATGAATCTTTAAAAAGTTTCCAAAAACCCTGGATATATGTAATTTATAAATAGTTAAACTTGAAAAATTTAGAAATTTAAAATGGGGTAGGGGCAGTTAAGCTGCAGCCTGCAAAACTGTCATTCCACATGATTACTGGGTTAAGTCCCAGCTGCTCCACTTCCAATCCAGTTCCTTTCTAATGCACTTGAGAAATGAGCACAAGATGGCCAGGGTATTTGAGCTCCTGCCACATATACTCAAGAACCGGATGCTGCGCCATTTGGGGAGTGTACCAGCAAACAGAAGATCTCTTTTCTCTCTCTCTCCCTAAATAAATCAATCTGGGGGAAAAAAAAAATCCATGAAAAGATACCTAGATTAACTCAACAACCTGGAAGGAATCCGTAAACAATTCTAGTTCAAAGATCAATGTACTCTATTGCTTTTCCATCTCTTACCACACTAATTTTGCTAAGGCACATTCCTGACACTATTTCATCAAAAAACTTACCAAAGTTTAACTATCACAATGTTTTTGGCCCCCAAATTTCATACACTAAAATCTAAGCACTAACATGATGGTATTGGTAACTGAAGCCTTTGGGAGGTAATTAGGTCATGAGGGCTGTGCCTCAAGAATGAGATTAACGCCCATTAAAGACTTTAATCTTGTATTTCTCAACCTCTAAATTGTAAGAATATCTTCCCAGGGGCCAGCACTGTGCTGTAACAGGTAAAGACGCCACCTGCAGTGAGCATCCCATTTGGGTGCCGGTTCCAGTCCCGGATGCTCCTCTTCTGATCCAGCTCCCTGCTATGGCCTGTGAAAGCAGTAAAAGATGGCCCAAGTATTTGGGTCCCTGCACCTGTGTGGCAGACCCGGAGGAAACTCCTGGCTCCTGGCCTCGGATTGGCTCAGCTACAGCATTGTGTCCATCGGGGGAGTGAACCAGCAGACAGAAGACCTGTCTCTGTCTCCCTCTGTCTGTTTTTCTCTGCCTCTGCCTTTCAAATAAAATAATTAAATCTTTAAAAAAGAAAAATCTTTCTGTTCATAAGCTATCTAGTTTACAGCAGCCTAAACATAGACAGCAATATTTTTACAAAGAAAAATAATTTCCAGTGCTCAACATCTGGATTCATAGGTTCCCAAATTTACCTCCCAAATTTTCTCAAGCCAAATTGAATCACTCAATTTCCTGCACAAACTGAGTGCTTTCCTATGACTTAATTTTTACTCACATTCTTTCCTTAAATGCTATGGTTTCCTTTACTTTTCCACCTAAGAAAAACTACCCATTACAAATGTAGTACCTTATTCAAAGTTTTTCCTAATCATGTCAGTGTAATCCCTGAGGATATCTCTTAAAGAGCTCTTATTTTCTCCTGTGAATTACAAATATCATGAGCAGCTATTATTTGTGAAGGTACATACAAATTGTGGAAAATTGTAGATAAAGCAGGTTCTCAATCATTACAACAGATGCACTACTCAATTTTCAGTTCAAGAATCAGGAGCAGGTATTCATTCTAGTGGTTAACACTTCTTTGGTTCCATACTGGAGTACCTGGGTTCAATATCAGATTCCAGGTTCTAACTTCAGTTTCCTACTAGTGCACATCCTAGAAGGCAGTGATGATGGCTCTAATTACTGGTACCTGTCACCCATGTGGGAGACCTGGACTGAGTTCCTGACTCCTGGCTTTGGCTTGGCCCAGTCCAGCCATTGCAGGCACCAAGGAGGAACCAGTCAGCAGATAGCAGTGTATGTGAACTAACTCTCTGCCTCTCAAGGAAATAAAATTTAAAATTTCAAAGTGTCAGACGTGATACTTCAATCATCCATTCATTCAACAAATCTTTTATTAGATAATAGGCAGGGTATTAAAGAACAGTGTCTATATTTTCAAAGGGGAAAAAGAAGAAATCAGGAATTGAGGAAGGAGGAGGGAAGAAAGAAGTAATAACAGTTGTGGTGAAGTTGGTGGCAGAGACTGTTACAAACCTATAAAACCTAAAAAACTTACTATAAGGCTCTCTACAGAAAATTTCAGTGACTCCTGCACTAAGGTAAATTCTAGAAGAAAAATTCTAAAAGTTCTATTTGAGTAAGTGCCAGCTTTGTGGATCAGCAGATTAAACAACTGCCTGTAAAACCAGCATCCTTTATGAGCACCAGTTCAAGTCCCGGCTGTTCCCTATTAATGAACCTTGGATAGCAGCAGAGGATGGGCCAGGTCCTTGGGCCCCTGTACACGCATGGGAGATGTGAATATAATTCCAGACACTCAGCTTTTGTCTAATCCAGCCCTGGCCATTAAGGTCATTTCAGGAGTGAACCAGCAGATGAAAGCGCTCTCTCCCACTCGGTAACACTGCCTTTCAAATAAACAAACAAACCTCGGGGGAGCGCTGTGGCCCAGTGGGTTAACGCCCTGGCCCAAAGCACCAGCATCCCATATAGGCGCCGATTCTAGTCCCGGCTGCTCCTCTTCTGATCCAGCTCTCTGCTGTGGCCTGGGAAAGCAGTAGAAGATGGTCCAAGCCCTTGGGCCCCTGAACCTGCGTGGGAGACCCGGAAGAAGCTCTTGGCTCCTGGTTTTGGATCAGTCCAGCTCTGGCTGTTGTGGTCATTTGAAGAGTGAACTAGCAGAGGAAGACCTCTCTCTCTCTCTCTCTCTCTCTCTCTCTCTCTCTGCCTCTCTGTAACTCTGCCTTTCAAATAAATAAATAAATCTTAAAAAAAAAGGAACAAGTACTATATAAAAAGGACTATATATTAATTCCATTGTTTATGTCAGGATATTAATTAACAATATGGTATTAATTTGAAACATTCCATCTTATAGAAATACTACCAGCAAAGCAGTGATTTTTTTAAACAGATACTGTCAGAAAAATAAAAATTTGCTTTCACATTCTAAAAGCAGACCCAAGTTTTATATTTACAGGATTTAGTAAAAGTTCACTTTTCCTGGAGTGGTAAGTTTTGGCAAAATTTATAACCGTATGTTTTTAAAACTTAAGAAAATTCCACACACAATGCAATAATAACATTTTAGTTGTATTTCATATAGCTATCTGGATACCTTAACACATACCTGTCCTTCCCTTGAAAATTTGAATGGAGGTTTGTGTTTAATAACACTTGTTGCAAGCCTTAGGAGTCCTGTAAGCCCATCATCTTCTGTATTACCGTCTTGATGATCAAGGATCTCTCTACTATAAAAATAAATAAATAAAATACAAGTAAGACAGTAATTCATATAATTATGTCCTTCATCTTTACTCAACTACACAAATGTCAAATTTCACATCAAATTTTACCTTCGAATACAGTCAGCCAAATGTCTTGCCAAAGCATCTAAGTCAAGGAGCGTTGTCTTAATACAAAAGAAAACACCAAAGTCAAATAAAGAATAAATTTAGTAATATACAGATTATTAAAACAACAACAAAAATATTCTTCATAGATAACAAGGGCTTAGTCTCTGAAAACTGATTTAACATACATAGTTTTACATATTCCAATTAATATATATATGTCTGTGTGTATATATATCTGGTCTTACATATTTCAATAAATAAAATTATAGTTTTAAATGTGACAGTCCAAAAAAAGTCATTAATAAATTATGATAGTCAAAGTAATCTGAGAAGACAGTTTTTAAAAAATTTTTTTTCAAATATAATTCACACAGAATTCACTAAAATATGATTTTTTAAACTTTTATTTAATAAATATTAATTTACAAACTACAACTTTTGGATTATAGCGGCTTTTCCCCTCATAACCTCCCTCCCACAAAATATGCTTTTAAAACCACCTTTAAACTAGGCTTTAACAATAAACTAAAATCTACAATTTCTGAAAGCTTTAATTCTCATTAAAATGGCAACAAAATTAATAGAGACTCCACAAAATAGAACGTAGTCCAAGGTATTCTTAAATAAAATCTATCGCTATGTAGGATGAGCAATAAAGATCTCCTTAAATGGGCAAAAACAGAATTAAAAGTCAGTATCTTATCAATAACGTAAAATAAGTGAAGTGTTTTCAACATTTTACTAATTTTCCTCAAATTAAAAGAATATTTTAGGAATTCAAGTGTAAACTAGAAAGTAGAAAGTACAAACACTATAGGATTCTTCAATGTAATTGTATATACTGCACTTTTATTTGAATACATGAAAAAAATAAAGAGAAATGTTTCTTAAATATTGAACTTCATGTGTTGCTCATTTCTTCTGAATTATCTTGGATGTATTTTAGCTTGACTAAATTGATAAATGGGGAAAAAACAAGTATTTATGAAGTTTGTCTTTCAAATTGTTTTGGTTTAATGGAAATTCATATTAATCTAGTATAAATACATTGGATCACCAAAAACTGAGAATGTTTCCTTATTTATTTGAAAAGAAGAGTTACAGAGAGGGAGAGAGATATACCATCCACTAATTCACTACCCAGATTGTAGCACTAGCTGATGTTAGTCCAGTTCAAAGCCAGGTGCTTGAACTCCTGAGTCTCCTGCATGGGTACAGGGGCCCAAACACTTGGGCCATCTGTTGTTGCTTTTCCAAGTATATTAGCATGGAGCTGGATCAGAAGTCCAGCAGCTGTGCCTCACATGGGTGTTCATATGGGATGCCAGCATTCCAAGCAGCAGCTTAACCTACAGTACCACAACGTTGGTGCCTGACAATATTTCTTTAGCATAAAATAACTTCTATTTAACTCATATTTTACAGATTCAGGACTCCATATCCATACTTACTACAAAGAGCTATATATTTAAATCTAAAATCAAATTTTCATTTCCCATATAAGATTTTCAAACAAAAAATCTTACTCAGAAGAGATGAGCAACTACTTATAGGTACCAGATGTTTCAACTAAGATCAAAGTGAACACAAGAAAGGAATTAGAAAACAGAAAGGTACAAATAATTGAAAATTTATGACAGTACCAATTAGGTATACAGTAGAAAAATTCCCTTAAAAATAAGGATCAATAAAGTCATGAACATACAAGTGTATTATTCACATCTATTAACAAGTTGTATAATTTTTAGAACATACCTGACTAGCATCCTTTATATGAATGTTGTCTACTAATTTGCATAACAACCAAAAATACTCTTTACATCCAGGTTTTAACATTGGTTCCTCCTCATAGTCATCTGTCTATTAAAAAAATTATACATTGTAAAAACATTTAAAAAAATTTATATTTTGAAAATTATTTGCTTTATGAAATCAATCAATCCCTATAGATAGTATTCAAAAATCCAGGTGTCTGTTAATGATTGACATGAGAACTCTTAAGAAAACATCAGTCTCAAATTACTCACACTTAAGAAAGGAAGATGGAAGAAAATATAAATCCTATAATGTATCTTAGTTTTAGAATTGAACTTTTTCTATAAATGGGCTCTGAAATTTATAACGTGTAACAAGATTTGTGTAAATACTTGGGCAGTAAAGAAAATAAAATCTCAGAACACCGTAAGGCTAAAAAATACTGAATGGACAAGGAGTTACATTTTATGATGTTTCTGTCATTCAATTTATCAAAGGGTCCAGAACCCATTAAGAACAAATGTCATCGCCAAAACAGACCAACCAAAGGAGTCTAAATAGCTAAAATCAAAACAGACAACTTCTCCTACTAGTTTTAGCATGAACACTGTGTCACAAAGCTGTTACTTTAAATACTATATACTTCCTATCTTCTTCTTGGTAAATACTATATACAGTAACTGAGTACTCAAAAATACTACAATGATATATATGAGTACAGTGATAAACTTGAGGTAACAGAAATTATCAACACAGAAATCATACCTAAACACAGTAAAATCTTACCCTGATAGGTTTGAGTGCTTGAGCATCAGGAAGAAATTTCAACAATGTTGAGGCAGCCAGAAGCAGAAAAGAGCGATGGATTGAGTCTCCTCCATCTAGGCCTGACAGAGATAACTTATAGAGACCATTGCAAGATTCATGGCGAACGGCAGTCTAAATGAAAAAACAAGTTCCAGAGATAGTCTGAATTTGTATTAAAAAAATAATGTTAATATGCAACCAGAAATAACTGGGTGAATTCTTCACTAACATATTTTTATAATAACGCTTTAATCATATACACAAAAATGTAAAACAATATGATCAAATGAAGAACTTCAATGCATGCACTGATACATAAATTTTGCTTGGCAATTCCTAATTCTAGCCATAAAAATAAATCCAAAACCAAATAAACACAACAACAAACAGAAACAATAGGGATAGAAAGGAGGATATTATTAACTGTTCAAGTACTTGACAGGATAAAATACTGTCAGAAGTATAAACGACTTAGGAAGAACTTAATCAGATCACTTTACTGAATCAAAGGGAATTGCTCAACTATTACAAAGGTTACCTGGTACAGAGCCAGAACATATAGAGCATTCAACATGTGACTTTGCAAGATAAGTATGTCAGCATGAATTTAGGCTATTTCACCTGGGAATATGTGTGAACAAAATGAAGATGTGCCTACTGAAAATCATACTGGCCTCAGTATCAACATGGGAAGCAAAATATATTTGGCTTATTTATTTTTAGTCTCTCTTGCCTCTATTTGTAGTTAAATAGAAAAAGTAGCAGAACTTTTCTAAAACACAATGAACAAAATAAATGCTCAACCCTTCCAACCCACTGGGAACAAAAAGTTAAAAGCAAAATAATCACTCGCTAAGCATTTCAGAAAGACAAACACGAATGCTACAGAATATGTAACATTCAAATTTCTGTAATGTTCACAAGTCAAAAAACACTAGACTTTAAAGAATTAAACTGTGGTTTCTTTATGGAATCGCACATATTTGTTTCTTTTAGTTCTTTTGTTATTATCAATGCCAATAATCTGAAACATGTGAAGCATATTACATTTCAACTTCGATCTTTCTTACCTCAGGTATAAGGAGAGTCAATTTCTTTAGCCAATCTTGTAAATGATCACTATCAGCAAGGCTAGATTTCACCAAAGAACAGCAATGTGCCCAACTCACCAAGAGCCACATTGAATAATGTGACACTAAAGAAAAATAATAAGCATGACATTAAGAGATTATACTAAAAAAAGGCAATACAATGCTCATTATCTACACATATATTTGATATGTTTATTAAAAATTGACTTTATGAAACACTTACCTTCATGTCTAGACCTGTGATCAGACTGAGCTTTCAAAACTCTGTAAAAGTACAAATAAAACACCACTGATTAAATTCAGCAAAAAATTTTTCAAAAAAAATTTAAAAAACAACTGAATTTATCACCACATATGCCTTAACAATTATAACTTCTCTCTTAAAAACAGGTAACAAAGCTACATATAAGGTTTCAAAACATTCTGGAAAATGCATACTACAGAAGAACTATGCATGAATTTTAAAAAATTTACGCATTAAAACAAACATCTCTTAATTTTACTTTGCACTGAACTTCCTTTTTTTTTTTTTTTTTGACAGGCGAAGTGGACAGTGAAAGAGAGAGAGACAGAGAGAAAGGTCTTCCTTTGCCGTTGGTTCACCCTCCAACGGCCGCCGGGCTGGGCCATCATCCACTGCACTCCTGGGCCATAGCAGAGAGCTGGCCTGGAAGAGAGGCAACCAGGACAGAATCTGGCACCCCGACTGGGACTAGAACCCGGTGCGCTGGCGCCGCAGGCAGAGGATTAGCCTACTGAGCGGCAGCGCCAGCCTGCCGTGAACTTTTGAAGTAACCTACTAATCTATTCTATGGTCTTCATCATTTACTTAAAGTATCTACACCAAGTCAAATTAGTTAGTTACAGATAGATCTATTACACAGCATGGTGACTACACTCAATTAAAATGACTGTACATTTCAGCTGGTGCCGTGGATCACTAGGCTAATCCTCTGCCTGCGGTGCCCACACACTGGGTTCTAGTCCCGGTTGGGGCGCCAGTTCTGTCTGGGTTGCTCCTCTTCCAGTCCAGCTCTCTGCTATGGCCCAGAAGGCGGTGGAGGATGGCCCAGATCCTTGGGCCCTGCACCCGCATGGGAGACCAGGAGGAAGCATCTGGCTCCTGGCTTTGGATTGGCACAGTGCCGGCCATAGTGGCCATTTGGGGAGGCAACCAATGGAAGGAAGACCTTTCTCTCTGTCTAACTCTGCCTGTCCAAAAAAAAAAAAAAAAAAAAAGTGTGCATTTCAAAATGAAAGCAAAAGAATCATGAAATTTGATACAATAAACGCCAAATTATTTCAAACATAACAAAATTTGATAATAACATTAATTTAAATAAGTGAACTCTAGGGGCCAGCACTGTGGCGTAGCGGATAAAGCTGCCGCTTGCAGTGCCAGCATCCCATATAGGCACCGGATCCAGTCCTGGCTGCTGCCCGACTTCCCATCCAGGTCTCTGCTATGGCCTGGGAAAGCAGTAGAAGATGGCCCAAGTCTTTGGGCCCCTGCACTCCTGTGGGAGCCCCAGAAGAAGCTCCTGGCTTCGGATTGGTGCAGCTCCAGCAGTTGCGGCTAATTGGAGAGTGAACCAGCAGACCAGCAGATGGAAGACACCTCTCTCTCTCTCTCTCTCCGTAACTCCGACTTTCAAATAAATAAATAAATCTTTAAAAAAACATAAGTGAACTCTCCAAAAGGGCCCATGATTCATTTATTAAAAGAATGTATTAGAAAGACCAACTTTGCAGGTTCTAATGGTATAAAGTCTAAACTTTAATACCATAAAAATGTTGACATAAAATGCCCTTCTTTTGTATCTATCATGCCATTTTCTATAAGGAATGGTTAAAATTACATTAGTAGGGCTGGCGCATCTAACAACAAACAAATATATGAGAAGAAGCCTAAAAAATACTGTGTAGACTAAACTGTAAAACTTTAGGGCACAGTAAAATAATTTTTCTTATTGTCAAGAAATATCTTTAAAAGTCTTAAATAAATGTAACTAATACTGGCTGGCTCCGCGGCTCACTTGGCTAATCCTCCTCCTGTATTTAAAAATAAGCTAGTAGAGAAAACTGAAAAGTTTATATTATTTCACCAACATTTTTCCTTACGATATTTTTTAAGTTAAATGGAAAATTTATTGCCTCAATTAAAGAAAAAATATATTGAAAGACTACAGTTTTTTGTTTTGTTTTTTTTTTTTTGACAGCCAGAGTTAGACAGTGAGAGAGAGAGAGAGAAAGGTCTTCCTTTTCCATTGGATCACCCCCAAGTGGCCACTACAGCTGGTGTATTGTGGCCAGCGCACTGTGCCGATCTGAAGCCAGGAGCCAGGTGCTTCCTCCTGGTCTCCCATGCGGGTGCAGGGCCCAAGGATCTGGGCCATCCTCCACTGGACTCCCAGGCCACAGCAGAGAGCTGGACTGGAAGAGGAGCAACCGGGACAGAACCAGCACCCCCAACCAGGACTAGAACCCAGGGTGAAGGCGCCGCAGGCGGAGGATTAGCCTAGTGAGACGCGACTACAATTTAAGAAAACCAATGCATAATGATTATTTGCCTTAGAAATAAACCTTATTTTAGTAAGGAGTCCTAGGGGCCGGCAATGTGGCCTGGCACCTGTATAGTACCAGTATCCCACACACGCACCCAGAGTCCCGGCTGCTCCACTTCCAATCCAGCTCTCTTTCTATGGCATGGGAAAGCAGTGGAAGATGGCCCAAGTCCTCCCACATGCTAGAACCAGAAGAAGCTCCTATCTTCAAATTGGCCCAGCTCCAGCCATTGTGGCCACTGGGGGAGTAACCAGAGGACAGAAGACCTCTGTATCTACCTCTGCCTGTAACTCTGCCTTTCAAAGAAAGAAATATAAAGAGACAGGAAGAAAGGAAGGCAGGCAGGCAGAAAAGAAGGGAGAGAGGGAGGAAGGGAGGGAAAGGAAGAGAAAGAACGGAATAAAGGAAGATAAAGGAGCCCTAATCTCAACCATACCTACTTCATACAATTACTTTTTTTTTTTTTTGACAGGCAGAGTGGACAGTGAGAGAGAGACAGAGAGAAAGGTCTTTCTTTGCCATTGGATCACTCTCGAAGTGGCCGCTACAGCTGGCATATTGCAGCCGGCGCACTGCACCAATCCGAAGCCAGGAGCCAGGTGCCTCTCCTGGTCTCCCCTGCGGGTGCAGGGCCCAAGCACTTGGGCCATCCTCCACTGCACTCCCGGGCCACAGCAGAGAGCTGGACTGGAAGAGGAGCAACCGGGACTGAATCCGGCACCCGACTAGAACCTGGGGTGCCGGCGCCGCAGGTGGAGTAATTAGACTATTGAGCCGTGGTGCCGGCCTATAACAATTACCTCTCAAAAAGCAGCCAGCACCTCAGCTCACTTGGGAGACCAGGAGGAAACACCTGGCTCTTGGCTTCAGATAGGCGCAGTGCACCGGCTGTAGCGGCCATCTGGGGGATGAACCAACGGAAAGAAGACCTTTTTTTCTGTCTCTCTCTCACTAACTCTGCCTGTCCAAAAAAAAAAAAAAAAAAAAAATCTCAAAAAGCAAGACTCACTCAGTTTAATGATATGAAGTAAGAGTTCCTGAGAGGTTAAAACCCATCAAACAAACATTTGGCCATGTTTCAGGTTTAGTTTGTATTGTGTCCGTATAATATATTTAATTTTAAGAACCAAGAGCAACCTTCTAATCTACCTGTCAAATCTGTATCAATTAGACCATTTTTATTAACACAGGTTGACTTCCTAGCAGTATATGAACGGAAGGGAAGGGCCTACGACAAGATTATGATGCAGGAACAAGGCCCGAGAAACTAGCAGGGATTGAGGGGGGCAAATTAATATTGCAAAGACTGTAATGAACACTATAGAAATGAAGTTGAGTTTACTTATTTACATAAGCAACATAAGTCTTCTGTGTACAATGGCAGATGTTACCCCACCATAATACCTACAGAATCTTAGAAGTATCACAATATATGTGACTATTTTAAGGCAGCGGTGGAGTTCCTTCCTCTGCCAAGAGCCATTTGATATTTACAACATTCATGGGCCACACAAAATAACTTGAAAATTAGCCTGCTGCAGATTTACTGAATTTAGAGTCCTGCCTGTGGTTGCCTGAGTAGGGCCAGACCAAATGATTTTGTGGGCCTTAACTGGCCCACAAGCTGGACATTCTCCATCCTGATAACTGGGCAAACAGTTAAGTTCCTGTGTATTATTCAGTAATTATCATACTTGGGTTTCTAGATTACCACAGTTGAATTATTGAATTTTTCTATAAGTAAAATCCCTTAAGATAGTACAAATTTAACTAAGCGGGAACATATTATATATGAAACTAAAATTTTCTTCCTTTTTCTATTTAGTTTGTAAAGTCTGAAGAAACCATATTATTATAAATATAGCCATGTATTATATATATAACACACATATATTATTATATATGTATTTCTGGCTCTGTTCACTGAGGGTCCCAGGTAATGACATACCAGTGCCAATGAATATATTAAGCACCCACATTTTCAACGTTCTCCACCAGTAAAAATTATTACTTCATAAAGAAGTGGCTAATGTCAGCAGTAAGGCAGAAAAGCTACAAGATGAGCTCAGCAGATATTGTACTGACATTTAAAAAAAGTATTCCCCAATGTCTTAAATAATGGAAGTCTGCCAAATGGATGTATGGACAAGCCTGAAATGTTCTCAATTGCTAACTGTTTCAATCTGAATGGAAGGAATAATGACATTAATGAACTGTAATATATTGAATGAAAAAAAAAATCCGTGCATCCAAATTAACAAAAATCCTTAAACAGGGCGCAAGACAAAAAGGTTCCTGCATAATAGGATGGTTGCTTAGGTTTGGGGCTGGCGCGATGCATAGCGAGTAAAGCCCACCTGCAGTGCAGGCATCCCATGTGGGCACCAGTACAAGTCCCGGCTGCTCCTCTTTCGATCCAGCTCTCTGCTATGGCCTGGGAAAGCCGTAGAAGATGGCCCAAGTCCTTGGGCTCTTAAACTCACGTGGAAGACCCAGAAGAAGCTCCTGGCTTCAGATAGGTGCAGCCTCTGCTGTAGCAGCCAACTGGGGAGTGAAGCAGCGAATGGAAGACCTCTCTATCTCTGCCTCTGCCTCTCTGTGATTCTGCCTTTCCAATAAATAAATCTTAAAAAAAAATAGGATGTCAACTAATATATACAAAGGGAATACTAAGAGTTAGAAAACCACTTTTTGGAAAACATTATTAATTTTTTAAAGATTTATTTATTTATTCAGAAGGCAGAGAGATGAAGAGGAGAAAGAGAGATCTTCCAACCTCTGCTTCACTCCTCAAATGACCATCTGTAAAGGCCAGGGCTCCATCACACTGAACCAGAAGAAACTCTATCCTGGTCTCCTACATGCACACCAATGTCTCAAGTACTTAGGACATCTGGTGCTTTTCCCAGATGTATTAGCAGGAAGCTGGATGAGAAGCAGAGTAGCACCGTATCACGGAACACAGGTGTCACAAATGGTGGGTTGGCCCACCATGATGTAATACTGGCTCCTGTATTAATATTTAAATCAGACATCAATCATTAGTGAAATCTAAAACCAATGAATAAAAGTTTGACAGGGATCAGCTAATATACACAGCTGCAAACTTACCTTCCTACCGATTTTATTAACTGAAGAAAAACCTGAAAACTTACATAAGTCTGGAGGAAACTACATTAAATGATCAAAATTAACTTCATCATTAATGGTACAAATTGACACCATCAGGATGTACTAGGAATGACAACACATTATTACTAGGGACAGGTGTCTGACCTAGTGGTTAAGATGTCCACAACCCATATCACAGTGCCTGGGTTTGATTGCTGGCTCTGGATTCCAGTTCTTGTAATTTCAGTTTCCCGCCAGGGCAGACTGTGGACGGCAGCAGGTGGTGGCTCAAGCAATTGAGTCCCTGCCACCCACATGGATACTAGGGATTCAGTGTTTACCTCTGGGCTTCAGACCAGCATAGGCCTGGCCCTTTTGGGCATTCTGTGTGTAAAACACTACACCCTACATGTTGGAGTGCACATGTGCTCTTTTTCTCTCTACACACACACACACACACACACACACACACACATTTCTACCTCTTGAATGAAAAAAAAAATTCACTAAATTAGGAAAACCCAAACTGAAAAACACTGTATAAATACTAGCCTATACGGGACCGCAGCTGAATATGCTAATCCTCCGCCTTGCGGCGCTGGCACACTGGGTTCTAGTCCCGGTAGGGGCGCCGGATTCTGTCCTGGTTGCTCCTCTTCCAGTCCAGCTCTTTGCTGTGGCCTGGGAGTGTAGTGGAGGATGGCCCAGGTCCTTGGGCCCCGTACCCGCATGAGAGACCAGGAGAAGCACCTGGCTCCTTCCTTCGGATCAGTGCAGTGTGCCTGCCGCAGTGTGCCGGCCGCAGCGGCCATTGGAGGGTGAACCAACGGCAAAGGAAGACCTTTCTCTTTCTCTCTGTCTCTTTCTCTCACTGTCTAACTCTGCCTGTCAAAAATAAATAAATAAATAAAAAACACTGGCCTATATACCAGCACTGTGGCACAGCAGGTAAAGCTGCTGCCTGCAATGCCGGCATCCCATACAGACGCAGGTTCAAGTCCCAGCTACTCCACTTCCGATCCAGCTCTCTGCTATGGCATGGGAAAGTAGTACAAAATGGCTCAAGTCCTTGGGCCCCTGCATCCATGTAGGAGACCTGGAAAAAGATCAGCACAACTCCAACTGCTGCAGCCATCTGGGGAGTGAACCAGTAGATGGAAGGCCTCTCTAACTCTGTAACTCTTTCAAATAAATCTTTTTGTCACTCAATCTTTCTAATAAATTAATCTTAAAAAAAGTGTCTCTCATGGAAGGAAACTGAAGATATATGGCAACTAAATGAGATACATGATCCTGGACCAGGAAAAATACTGTTACGAAGACAATTAACGTAACACTTTGAATAAAGACTACGTATTAGTATCACTACTAAATGTTGTAAATTTGAAAATTTTTACTCCAGTTATTAAGATGATGGCTTTGATAGCCTGCATTGCGGTGCAGCAAGTTAAGCCACCACCTGTGATACCAGCATCCTGTATCAGAGCTCCAATTCAACTCCCAGCTGCTCCACTTCTGGTCCAGCTCCCTGCTAATACACCTGGAAAAGTAGCAAATGACAGGCTAAATACTTGGGCTCCTGCCACCACATGAGACACCAGGATCAAATTCCAGACTCCTGGATTCTGCTAGGCCCAGCCTCGAGAACTGTAGTTATTTGAGGGGGTAAAAAGACAGATGGAACATCTCTTATACTGCCTGTCACTTGGTCTTTCAAATAAATAACTTTTTTTTTAAATGAAGAAATTTGGGGGCTGGCACTGCGGTGTAGTGGTAAAGCTGCTGTCTGTGATGCTAACATCTCATTTGGGTGCCGGTTTGAGTCCCAGCTGCTCTACTTCCAATCTAGCTTCCTACTAACATGCCTAGAAAGCAGCAGAAGATGGCTCAAGTGTTGGGTCCCTGCATCCACATAGGAGGCCAGGAAGAAGCTCCTGGCCCCAGACTGAACCAGTTCCAGCTGTTTCAGCCATTTAGGGAATGAATCAGCAGACAGAAGATCTCTCTGCCTCTCCCTCTCTAACTCTGCCTTTCAAATAAAAATATAAAGGTTAAAAGAAAAAAAAGATGATGTCTTTGGTCTGAAAAGATAGATAATACATACAGAAAGCCTATGTTCATGAATGCTTCACAAATTTGGCAAAATGTTGACACTACAAAAATTTAGATGAAAATATGTAGGTTCCTTTTAATGTCTTAATTTTTGTTTAAAATTTTTCCAAAACAAAGCTTTAAAACACAATTTTCTTACTACAATATATACATACATTAAAAAAAGAAAATACATACCTAGGGGCCAGATTATCATATGTATAAGCAACAGACATAAGTCGCTGAATTAAACTGGTTCCTTGCACAAGAACGAGAAAAACCTTTAAAGAAAAAACATTTAAAGACATCTTTAAATAACAACCACATTTTAACCCACAATTCCAAATTACTTTAAGAATATCCTAAGAAATATTATTTATAAAATGCTGTGAAAACATCAAATATTAGAAAATCAGAATTGTATAACCACACTTAAGAACAGTAATTTTGGAGCTGGCACTGTGGCATAATGGGTTGAGTTGCTCTACCAGCAGGCCATTTGGGCACCAGTTCAAGACCAGCTGCTCCTCTTTTGATCCAGCTCTCTATTACCGTGCCTGGGAAAGTAGAGGAAGATGATCCAAGTACTTGGGCCCCTGCATCCATGTGGGAGACCGAAATGAAGCACCTGGTTCCTGGCTTTGGTTTGGCACAGCCCTAGCCATGGCAGCCATTTGGAGAATGAACCAGTGGAAGAATGGTTTCTCTTTCCCTGTCACTTTCTCTCCCTCTCTGCATCTCTACCTTTCAAATAAATACATACATCCTAAAAAATAATTTTACAAAGAAAATCCTGAAAATTTAAAAATAGATACAAAAATATTCTTTATATTTGTTCCATAGAATCTGATATTAAATTGGGCATAAAAATATTATATATTACATATGTCAGTGATTTTGGGGGGAATGAAGAAAACTTTTTGACTTTTGGATTAAGAATACATAAAAATAAAGCAGTGGCAGATTCCTCCATCACTTTTCAATAAACATATAAAATATAACAGGGATATAAGTATTCTAGATTCAAAATCCTATGGTTCAAGCAAATTAGCTGACTACGTTTCAAACTGCATGATGCTGATGAAAACTTGTCTGTTCTAGCTGTTTTTATCATAAAATTGAACAAAAGTAATTCATTAGTATATAATATCTGAGTCCCTTTCCACAGGTTTGAAACCATTCAGGATACATACTTGTAAGATACTGCTCCTAAGAGTTACTGCAGCAGAGCAAACAACTGCAGAAAGCCTGTAACACATATGTGTGTGTGTGTGTGTGTGTGTGTGTGTATATATATGCGCAGATACTTCAAAATGCTAGTGGAAAAATGCAACTAAATTTATTTTGGTGTAAAAGTCTGAAATCCAATTTTTTAAATATTCCACATTTTTTCACCAACTTTCTAAAGACCCTTTCCACAATGTACTAAACAAGGAAAAAGCAGAGTAGCAGCTAACCATGTATCAGCACAATCAAGAAAGCTGCCAAAAAAGCAAATGTTTAGGCTACAAACTGAAATAAACTTTCTAAAAGGCTATTAAGAAAACAAATGGAGAACCAGTACTGTGGCTCAGCATATTAGGCTGCCATTTGCCATGCCAACATTCCATATGGGTGCTGGTCCAAGTCCTAGTTGCTCCATTTCCAATCCAGCTCTCAGCTAATGAACCTGGGAAAGTAATTGAAGACGGCCCAAGTACATGAGCTTCTGACAACCAAGGGGGAGACCCAGATAAAGCACCTGGCTTCAGCCTGGCCCAGCCTTGTACACTGAAGCCATTTGTGGAGTGAACCAGTGGATGGAAGACAGATCTTTCCCTCTCTCTGTTCTCCACCCTCCCCTGCACCCATAATACCACCTTTCAAATAAAAAATAAATACATCTTAAAAATAAACACCTGGGGCCGACACTGTAGTGTAGTGGCTAAAGCCATGGCCTGCCTATTTAGGCAACAGTTCCACTCCTGGCTGCTCTACTTATGATCTAGCTCCCTGCCAATATGCCTGGCAAAGCAGTAGAAGATGACCCAAGTTCTTGGGCCCCTGTACCCATGTGGGAGTCCTGGATGAAGCTCCTGGCTCCAGGCTTCAGCCTGGCCCAGCCCTGGTTGCTACAGCTAATTGGTGAGTGAACCAGCAGAAGGAAGACACTCTCTGTCTCTCCCTCTCTAGTAAATATTAAAAAAAAAAAAAAAAAAAAAAATCTAAATTTGTATATACAGGGCTGGCGCCATGGCTCACTCGGTTAATCCTCTGCCTGTGGTGCCGGCATCCCACATGGGCGTCGGTTCTAGCCCTGGTTGCTCTTCTTCCACTCCAGCTCTTTGCTGTGGCCCAGGAAGGCAGTGGAGGACTACCCAAGTGATTGGGCCTTGCGCCCGAATGGGAGATGAGGAGGAGGGACCTGGCTCCTGGCTTTGGTCAGCGTAGCTTTGGCCGTGGCGGCCATTTGGGGGGTGAAGCAACGGAAGGAAGACCTGTCTGTTTCTCTCTCTCAAAGGTTTCTAGGAAAGAAAGAAAGAAAGAAGGAAAGAAGGAAGGAAAGAAGGAAGGAAAGAAGGAAGGAAAGAAGGAAGGAAAGAAGGAAGGAAAGAAGGAAGGAAAGAAGGAAGGAAAGAAGGAAGGAAAGAAGGAAGGAAGGAAGGAAGGAAGGAAGGAAGGAAGGAAGGAAGGAAGGAAAGAAGGAAAGAAGGAAAGAAGGAAAGGAAAGGAAAGGAACCCCAAAATGGAATAATGCATGATTATAAATGCCTTAAACAACTAGTATTCTTCCTTATTACCTGCATGGTATCAAAATTAGATCATTTTGTCTCCAGAACTAATTCACCAAAAATTTTCACTTCAGAAGAACTTAGAAGGATGTATACACTGAGTGATGTATGATATGCACCTTTTCTGAACTACAAATATTGGCATGTGCACAGAAAAAAACCTCTGAAAAGGCAACATATAGATATTAATGGTAGTAACCCATGAATAGGGAGGAAGGTTTGACTATATATTCTGAAATCATTTTCAATTTGAAGGTAACTGCATATACTTTTAAAAAAATATTTATTTATTTGAAAGGCAGAGTTATAGAGAGGCGGGGGGAGGAGGTCTTCCATCCACTGGTTCATGCCCCAAATGCCCCAACAGCTGGAACTGCGCCGATCCAAAGCCAGGAGCCAGGAACTTCTTCCAGGTCTCCCACATGGGTGCAGGGGCCCAAGGACTTGGGCCATCTTCTGCTGCTTTCCCAGGCCATAGCAGAGAGCTGGGCTTGAACCAGCACCCATATGGAATGCCAGCACTGTAGGCGGTGGCTTTATCCACTATACCACAGTGCCGGACTCTGCATCTACTTTTAAAACAAGCCAAAACTGTGAAAACTCCATAAATGTCTGGATATATTTTATACGTATACTTACATGCATTTATCTAAAATCTCAAAAGAAAACCATAAACAGAGGTCAGTAAATACTGAAATTATTTAGTGAGTAAACAAAGTATTATACTTCACTTTAGCATTTATACTATAAACTTGAAAATTTATTCTGGAAAAACCTAACTGAAATCTCACTACAATGTAGGTTACTCAAGCAGTAATTCACAATAAACAACGTATAGAATTTGTTTAGATATTTTATTTCCCATAAATGTATTAGATATAAATAATCTGTAACACTGACAGAGATCACTTTTCCCATTTAACCCCACCAAATCCAAAAACAAAAGCATTTTCCAGGTTTCCATTTTTCAGATACACTATTTACAATTTATACTCCTAAATTCACAGTATTCCTCTATCAGTAACAATTCATTAACCTTGTGCAGGTATATGCTATTCTTAAAAAGTTACAGAATGAGAAAAAGATTACACTAGGAGCTCATTTTGACCTTTGTACTTTCTACTTCACCTACAAGATGTTGGAAAGGCAAATATTTGATTACATGAACAAAACCCATAGACAAAAAGAATTCTATTTTTATTCCTGGCTATTACACTACTTACTTTCAACTGTAAACCCACTCTGTCACACACAATTTTTATGAGGCCAGTGATAATATATTACAAACTAAATTCATCCTCTGCCAGCTGGCTTCCTAATAGGTTCTGTCAATCTGGGACAAGAGAAACTGTTCCCTTGCTTTTTCTGTCAGTACTGTTCCAGAAGTATTTTGTCCAGAAGAGGCAGGTGATTTCAGGCTTCAGCATTTTGGAGGCATTCCTTGGACTAACTTTGTAAGGTCCTCATTGAGAATCTCACAGCAACAGAGCAAACATCCTTTTTCTGAGAGTCTAAACCCCAGTTTAAGAGGATCCCTCACAAACTTCTACTCCCTGATAAACCTAACTATTTCATTCTATTTCCCAGTCTCTAGGCATGGTGGATGGCTCCTTCCTCCTTGTTTGAGTGACTTTACCATTCTCTTTTTATTTTTTTGGTCCTCCAACAAAATGCAAAATACATTCATATCATAAAATATCAAATGTCTATTTTAAATTTCTGATGCTGAAATAAATAACTAATATGGCTTCTGGTTTCCTGAATGAACCCTGACACTCTTGGTACATAAATTATCATATCTATGAATTCAATCCAAGTTTGATAACATTAAAATGAACCCTAATTCATTCCTGTATTTTGAATGATGACTGAAAAGCAATACTTTTTGATTGTTAATATTGTTAATTTTTTAGGAGTTGAATTGAGTGGAGATTCTGTGATAACTTAGTGAACAACATTTAACAGTAGTAAACCCAGTACACTGTAATCCAAAATTAAGCTGCCGTTCTAAAAAAGGATTTTATCTTTAGCATGAAATCTTAACACAATGTTTTAAATACTGCTTCCATTTTACAATTTGAGGTGTTGCATGGAAATTCTAAACTGATATATCATGTTGTACCATTCACAATATGCTTCAAATATAACAGTGCAGATTTGAATAGAGTCATGCATCACTTTCCTCTTAGAAATTGGGAGGTGCTGTGACCTCACCATTTCTGTACAATTAGATTATCATAATGCAAAGTAAAAAAAAAAAGAGAAGAAAGAAAAGCACTACTTTTCACGAATTAATACCATTTTAAAATGGGGACATCACTGCAGATACTCAGTCATAACTTAGTAACTTAGTATAACATTTCTTAAACATTACTATATTTCTTTGTGAGGACACAAGTAAAATTTGTCACTGTAATTTAGTACTAAAGCTTCTGCATTTTACCTCTGTTAATCGTGGTATATGAAGACCCTTGGCATGATCACCAGCAGCTTTCCTTGATTTGCTAGGCCAGGTCCGTTTTCTATGGCTTTCAGCTATACCAGACCAGGCAAAGACATCATGATAAGCTAAATCCAGATCAGATGGATCTACTGCAAACTGGCATATTAACTTCAGCAAGCAAGCAAGACAGTCTAGCTGCCACTGTGGATGAGAAGAAAAGGTCATTACCCCAATTTATTTTAATATGGTTATTATACACCCTTAAAATTGAAAGAAAATAAACATTATTGCTAGTACTTAATCCATGCATTCCATACAAATTTCACTACTCAAAGATTACAGTTACTAACAATGTAATCTTATCAACACAAAAAAAATTTATATACTGAAATGGTACATTTAATAAAACGGAAATGACTCCTTACTTTTGTAAAAGCATCATAAAAATGCACATAATACAGTTACTGAACTTTTGGAAAAATATACTACTCACGGTGTATAATTCTTTTTTTTTTTTGACAGGCTGAGTGGACAGTGAGAGAGAGAGACAGAGAGAAAGGCATTCCTTTGCCGTTGGTTCAACCTGCAATGGCCAACGCGGCTGGCGCACCGCGGCTGGCGCATCGCGCTGATCCGGTGGCAGGAGCCAGGTACTTATCCTGGTCTCCCATGGGGTGCAGGGCCCAAGCACATGGGCCATCCTCCACTGCACTCCCTGGCCACAGCAGAGAGCTGGCCTGGAAGAAGGGCAACCGGTAAAGAATCTGGCGCGCCGACTGGGACTAGAACCCGTGCCGGCGCCGGCCAGGGTGTATAATTCTAAAATAATTAAAATTAATAACTAATTTAATAAATAGATTGAACAATGAAATGATCAATTAAGATAAATTCTACAATTATTAGAGTAATTAAAATACTGACAAAGATACAGTTTAATCACAAATAAAATCACTCAAGAGACGAAGTATTATATGTTGTTTTTCCACACAAGTGGCACATACTCTTAGTTATTTTGGGACTCCAGGAAATTCTCAATTCTAGAAAATAATTCAGCTGAAAATCTTCCCATATGCTCATTAAAAATAAAGGAAATATCTCCTTAAAAATTAGTATAAAAATAAAATTTACAAATGACTTCAAGTTCAATATGAAAAGCTAAAAAATTTCTGCTGACTAATTTAATTAGATTATCACTTATATGCAATATAAGAATTTCAGAGATTTCTCTACAATAATCTTGGATCACCTGTTCTGTTTCTAATATCAAGTGGTACACAGTATCCACAAACCAGGAAAGCATATTCCCCTCAATAACAGCAATACTATATTACTGAATTTTAAGAAAAGCACCGAGATAATTCGGAGAGGTAAGAACAGTCTTTACAAAAATGGTGATAGAGAAATTGGATAGGTATATGAAAGCAGAAACAAAAAACTTCAATCTTATTCTACACAAATAAAGTTAATATTAAATGCATTATAAACCTATAAGACAAACATATATAAAACACAAAGAAAACAGAGGAAGAGAATAATTTTTGCTCTTGGCAAAAAAATATTTCTTAGACTATGTAACAGTTTTATTAAAATTAAAAACTTCTCCCATTAAAAGACAATGTGGAGCCGGCGCCGCGGCTCACTAGGCTAATCCTCCGCCTTGCGGCGCCAGCACACCGGGTTCTAGTCCCGGTCGGGGCGCCGGATTCTGTCCTGGTTGCCCCTCTTCCAGGCCAGCTCTCTGCTGTGGACAGGGAAGGCAGTGGAGGATGGCCCAAGTGCTTGGGCCCTGCACCCCATGGGAGACCAGGAAAAGCACCTGGCTCCTTCCTTCGGATCAGCGCTGTGCGCTGGCCACAGCACGCTGGCCACGGTGGCCATTGGAGGGTGAACCAACGGCAAAGGAAGACCTTTCTCTCTGTCTCTATCTCTCACTGTCCACTCTGCCTGTCAAAAACAAAACAAAACAAAACAAAAAACAAAACATGTTTAATCTCATATGTCATTAGAAAAATACAAATCAAGGGCCATAACTGTGGAGCAGTGGGTTAACACCCTGGCCTGAAGCACTGACTTTTCCTAGCTGCTCCACTTCCTGTCCAGCTCTCTGCTATGGCCTGGGAAAGCAGTAGAAGATGCCCCAAGTCCTTGGGCCCCTGCACCCACGTGGGAGACCTGGAAGAAGCTCCTGGCTTTGGATCGGCACAGCTCTGGCCGTTGTGGCCAACTGGGGAGTGAACCATCAGATGGAAGTCCCCTCTCTCTGCCTCTCCTCTCTCTGTGCAACTCTGCCTCTCAAATAAATAAATAAATCTTCAAAAAAAAAAAAAAAAAGGAAAATTCAAATCAAAACTACAGATTACCACTTCACACCAACTACAATGGCTAAAATCAAAAGAAACAGGAACAGGCCTTAGCAAGAATCTGAAGAAACTAACTCTCACAAATCCCAGGTAGAAATATAAAATGATATAGCAGCTTTGTAAAAATGCTGTACAATTTCTTCAAAAGTTAAACAGAATTAATCAAGAACTAAGCATAGCACTCCTAGGTATACACTCAAAATATGACTGTTTGTAACAACATTATTGATAATAGTCCTGACAGAAGGACTGTTACTGTTAATCAACTGATCCATCACTCCCTCGCTAGATTCAACTGTGACTGAAGAGACATTTCACCAAATTAGATATATGAATGTACCTTTATTACTGGTTTATCCATGCTCAAAAAAGAACATGTAAAGATGCTCAAATTCAGCAGTATTAAAAAAATGGAAATCCAAAAATCAAAGACAGACACAGCTTAGCATCATGTAGACTACCATTAAAAAGAGTCAGCAAGGGAAAGTCAGGTATACCTCTTCTAGAAGGCATGCCCAAAAGAAGTGAAAACTTCCACGAGCACAAAAACTTACTACAGAAATGTTCACAACAGCCAAAAAGTAGAAAACAACTCAAACCCCTCCAGTACATGAATGATTAAACAAACCGCACCATATTCATAAAAAGGAATGAAATAACTAATAAATTAATGCTACTATGAAGAATGAACCTGGAAAGCATTATGCTAAATCAAAAAAGCTAGCCACAACCACATATTATACAGTATATAACGTCCAAATTAGGAAACAGCTTGGTGAAGCATTTTGGAGGTAATAAAGAGTGACTATGGGAGGTATGAAGATGCTTTCTGGCATTAGTGCTAATGGCTGTACAACTTTGTGAATACACTAAAATCCACTGAACTATACATGTAAGAAGACAATTTTTTATAATGAAATTATACCGAGGAAAATTTAAGAACTGCATTTCAGCTAAAGTTGTTTTAAATGAAAAAAATAAAGCTGCTTAAGCACAAGAATGATCTTGAATGAATAAATACTTCATAATATTAGGTTGCCCCTCTTCCAGCCCAGCTCTCTGCTGTGGCCCGGGAAGGCAGTGGAGGATGGCCCAACTGCTTGGGCCCTGCACCCCATGGGAGACCAGGAGAAGCACCTGGCTCCTGGCTTCGGATCAGCGCGGTGCGCCGGCCGCAGCGTGCCAGCCGTGGCAGCCATTGGAGGGTAAACAAACGGCAAAAGGAAGACCTTTCTCTCTGTCTCTCTCTCTCTCTCTCACTGTCCACTCTGTCAAAAAAAAAAAAAAAAAAAAAAACTTTATTCATAAGCTTAAAAGCAGCATATAAGCAAAATTCCTATAGATGTTTCATACTTTTCCCACTTTGCCACAAAACTAAAGGTACCAAATCCATCTCAGATACTGATGGGATAATGAAGACATGATTAACAGAAAAACACTAGAAGAAATATGGGACGGAATTACAATGATTATTGTAATAGAGGTATATACTTCAAAAAAGAATCTGATGTAAAATTCATAAAAAATATTTAAAGAAAGTAATGGTAAGATTAACAAAATCTCACTAGTTAGCAATGATTTCTAAATATGTTCTCTCTCTCTGGACATTCAGCATCACATCACTAACCCATGATCCCTAACGTTACAAAGTAATTATAAAAAAAAAAGTAAGAAATTAAAACATGAATGCAATATTTGATAAGGCTAATAGGCAGTATCAAAAGTCAGGAAACAGACTTTTATATATAGTGCAAATTTGAACTGGGCTGCTTTGCATAAAGTTATGAAGTTTTCAGTTATAAAATAAGTTTTATCTTCCTGATGTTATGAACCTAAAGAATGGTGAAGTACTATTTTCAAAACATTTCCATTTGGTTGAGAACCAATACTTCTGCAAAGTATTTATTACCAATGTTCAACTGTCATAAACCTTTCAGAGGCTTACTTTTTTTTTTTTTAAAAAAAGATTTATTTATTTGAAAGAGTTACACAGAGAGAGGAGAGGCAGAGAGAGAGAGCGAGAGAGAGAGCGGTCTTCCATTGGATGGTTCACTCCCCAGTTGGCCACAACGGATGGAGCTGCACCGGTCCGAAGCCCCACACAGATACAGGGGCCCAAGCACTTGGGCCACCTTGTACTATTTCCTCAGGCCATAGGAGAGCTGGATCAGAAGTGGAGCAGCCAGGCCAGCGCCGCGGCTCACTAGGCTAATCCTCCGCCTGCGGCGCCGGCACCCCAGGTTCTAGTCCTGGTCGGGGTGCTGGATTCTGTCCCGGTTGCTCCTCTTCCAGTCCAGTTCTCCGCTGTGGCCCGGGAAGGCAGTGGAGGATGGCCCAAGTCACTGGGCCCTGCACCCACATGGGAGACCAGGAGGAAGCAACTGGTCTTCACTGGCCATAGTGGCCATCTGGGGGGTGAACCAATGGAAGGAAGACCTTTCTCTCTCTTATTGTCTAACTCTGCCTGTCAAAAAACAAAAACAAAAACAAAAGTGGAGCAGCCAGGACCAGAACCTGCACCCAAATGGGATGCTGGCGCTTTAGGCCAGGGCATTAACCCGTTGCACCACAGCGCCGTCCCCCAGAGGCTTACTTTCAACTGATGTATTTGTATTGATCTCACTGCAGATCAGAAATAAGGGTCTGGAAACATTTTTTAAACATCATCACTATAAAGGAAGAAAGGGTCAAAACAAAATGAAACAAGTAAAACAAAGAATGTTTCTGGGGCCAAAACTGTCGCCAGTGGGTTTAGTCTTATGTTGCAATGCCATTATTCCACACAGGAGCACTGAATTGAATCCCAGTGTACCCACTTCCAAACCAGCTCCCTGCTAATACATCCAGAAAAGCCCATGTACTAGGGCCCTTGCCACCCATGTGGAGAGACTCAAATGCTGGTCTGAGCTCCTGGCTTCAGCCTGGCCCAACCCTGGCTGTTGCAGCCATTTGGGAGTAAACCTGTGGATGGGAGATATCTCTTTCTGCCTTCCCCTTTCAAATAAAATAAATCTTTAAAAAATGTTTTCAAAAAGTTAGAGCATAAACCAATTTCTAGCTGCAAGCAAGATATAAGACTACAAAAGTAATAAATAATTTATCTATAGGAGAAAAATTTAATAAAATTACCCATGGTTCAGAATAACAAATCACAGCAATTCAGAATTTTTACAATTGGCATAAAGAAATTTCATTCCATAATATTTATCAAACTCTATTTTATTTTCTCTCTATTATATGCTATTCTCTATTAAAATGAATATATAATAGAAAGGTACTCTTGCTAATAGAAATGAAGAGCAGGGCTGGGGCTGTGGCACAGCAGGTTAAAACCCCTGGCTGTAGCGTCAGGATCCCATATGGGTCTGGTTCTAGTTCTAGCTGCTCCACTTCCAATCTAGCTCCCTATCAATGCGCCTGGGAAGCAGCAGAGGATGGCCCAAGTCCTTGGACCCCTACATCCATGTGGGATACCTGGAAGAAGCTCCTGGCTCTTGGCTTAAGATCAGCTCAGCCGCAGCCACTCCAGACATTTGAGGAGTGGATCAGCAGATAAAAGACCTCTCTCTTTCTCTGTCTCTACCTCTCTCTAACTCTTTCAAATAAAGTAAATCTTTCAAAAAAAAGTTCACAAAAACATATACTTTGTAAATGTCAACAAAAATTTTTTTAAAAAATGGAAGGGCTTGCAACTAATAAACATAGCAATCAGTTGGCATAGTGAATATTCACTTACCACAGTCCAAGATTCCTGCTCTTTAGGCTCTAGAATTCCAGAATTAAAGATTTCTAGTAACTGTTGAAGCCCTCCAGCAGCAACAAACTGTCAACAATTGTGAGATTAATGGTGAGAGAAAAGCAGCAGTAAAATGCAATGATAATCTGCTTCTTGATTTGGTATCTGATTATATGTAAAATACCAGATCTTTCATCTAGAAAATCATTCTGATTCAATTATTGAAATAGCATAAAAAAAACAAAGCCTACTTTTAATTATTTTTTAAAAATACTTGTATAAGTCCATAAACATATGCTTATATTCCATTAGGAATCCCAGACACCAGGATACTCTAACACCTTTCAATTGGGGACTAGGGAAGATCAGTATTAGAAACAGAAGTGTCAAAGCATTCCAGAAGCTCAGTTTACATTACTGTGATTTAGGGGCCCACGTTCTGGCACAGCACGTTAAGCCAACGCCTGTGATGCTGGCATTCCATATGAGTGCCACTTTGAGCCCCAGCTCCTCTGCTTCTGATCAACCACCCTGATAATGTACACCTGGGAAAGCAGGAGAAAACGGGCGAGTACTTAAAACCCTTCCATTCACACAGGAGACCCTGATGGAGTTCTTGGCTTCTGACCTCCATCAGGCCACTGTGGCTATTTGGGGAGGTAAACAGCAGATGGAAAATCTGTCTGTACCACCTTCTCTCCTTTTCTCTACACCACCCTCTCTGTAACTCTGCTTTTCAAATAAATAAATCTTAAAAAAAATTACTGTGATTTTGAGTAAAATGGAATTTTTAAACTATAATTTATTTTCATATAAAGAACAGTGGTATGAATTCTGGAAAACTAGAAAAATTATTTTTATCAATACATGGAAAAACAAATATAATCAAACCTTGCAACTCCAGGAATTTTTACTATTTTCTACTTGATCCTCACTTGAATCATCGGAATCTGGATAAAGATCACTGTAACTTCCCTGTGGGAAGGGCAAAAAATAAGTGCGGCAGAAAGAAAATTATAGAATGAAAAGACAATATACTTTTTATGTATTCTCCAGAGAGAATACAAACATTTAATGATAATAAAAAGGAAATTACCGTTGACTCTCTCCTTATTCGTCTGTTAGGTTTTCCCAGTGCTTCAATAATTTCCAGAGCATACAACAGCTTGTGGGCACTCTTAATTTTGAGAAGTTCTTTCCAATTAAGTCCATCATTACTCTTAATAAAAGAAAAACACCAAGTTTCACTGACACTACACAAAAAATATATGATTTGTACTACTGGTATGTTTAAAATACCAATTACTCATCAAATTTTAATAAAATAAATATACAAACAGTAGCATTGATGTATAATTTATTAACTTTCAAAACAGATGAAGGCATTTACCACCGTTCCCAATGAAATAATCACAGTCTAACCGTACTTTTAAAATATGGATTAACTAGTTAAATGTCTATATTTAATATATTAATACGCTACATATTAAAAACTTATATGGAAATGAACAGATTTAGAACCACTGCTATTTTCTTCTGTAAACTTATGAAACATAATTGACAACACTCATCTTTGAAATGTTACAAGAATTACTCTGAGTCATCGTTAATCATTTTCTAGAGTCCATCTTTTATCACTTTTAAGTCATGAGATATAGAACCTTCTGTAATTTAATGGTAGTGCTCTAAATCATAAATGATAATTAGCATATTAGGACATTTGTTTTTCCATTCATTCTATAGGAGTTTTACTGGATTACTCCACAAAACACATACACACACACAGCTTATCACATGTAAGGAAGAGAGTGCAGATTGGTACCTCCTCACATGGGGCACCAAATGTGAGAAAAAGAGGGCAACAATGAGGAGGCAGGGTACTCAGTCCCACCCCATTCCACCTAAGATATAAAAAAGCCCAGTCCCTGGAGGCTGGGTCCTCTGCCAGGTGTTCGGTCGTGTATGCTAGCAGTTGGTCGACCTCTGTGAGTTTATTTTCTCTGAATAAATTCAGTCTGGCTGCAAATTCGCACACTGCCTCCTCTCTATGCTGCCTTCTTTTCCTTACATTTGGTGCCTGGTATGAGGAGGCTCCACTCTGCAATATTTTCCTTGCATTACATGGCTTTAAAAGAAGTTTTTACTTTTATAGATGCCTTTACAAATGTATCCAACACTTATTGATATGAGAGGATGTCCCTATGGAAAAATTATCAAAAATGAGAATAGAATAGTTTTAAAAGTTAATGGAAAAATGGAACTAGAAGTTGATTGTGGGGCCAGCACTGTGGATTAGTAAGTTAAGCCTTCCCCTGCAGCGAGAGCATCCCATATGGGCACTGGTTCGTGTCCTCGCTACTCTTCTTCTGATTCAGCTCTCCGTTAATGGCCTGGGAAAGTAGTGGGCTCCTGCACCCACATGGGAGACCCAGAAGAAGCTCCAGGCTTCGGATCAACCCAGGTCTGGCCATTGTGGCCATTTGGAGAGTGAACCAGCAGATTGAAGACTTCTGTGTCTCTCCCTCTCTATATTTGGAAAAAGAAAAAAGTTTTGGTATAAAAATTTTTGGAAATCTAGCTTCTTTATAATATATATTTTTCATTGACTTTTTGGAGATCCATTGTATATTAAATTTTTTGCCTCATTTCCCCCATATTAAGTCAGTTTTCACTTAATTTTAAGCATCCCAACCAAGAACTGACACATCATTTCATCTCAGTGTATTTTCTCATATTACTTTTTCTAATAGAAAGTAGAGAAATACTCAAAACATAAAGTAATTTGAACAAACTATTATAAAAACAAATCCTATGTGAAATCTCAGTATCTTCTTTAAAAACAAATGCAAATTCTAATTTTCTAAAGATAATTTTAGAAAACACTTGCCTTGTATTTTGCCAATATTTTTATTCAACCTTACTATAAACAAATGATTATGATAAAATGGTACATTTCAAATTTATTGAAGGTATATGGGAAATATATAAGAAGAAGGTCAATAGGCAATTTCATTTACTGCCAATAGGAATGTCAACCAGCAACACACTCCAGGAGACTAAATGGCCTTATGGGCTCACCTGTTCATCTGAGATGTTCTGGAATGCCATCAACATGTTAGGACACGTAGGAAGAAGCATCAGTAGCTCCCAGACACGCCTAGACAAATTTTCTGCATGAAGATGAAGTTCTTCACATCTTAAACTCTACACAAATAAGAACAACTACTTTACCAATACAGATCAGAATAAAAAAGTTTAACTTAAAAGTTCGACATTTTTGCATAAAATCCTTTTACTTAACTTTACTTAATTTTTAGGTTTCCTTTGTGACAAAACATATCACATGTTAATAGAATTTATTCAACAAAAGAGAAATTTTATTATTAACATTTCTGAAATAAACTTTTCTCTGGGGAAGTTCACTTTCCTCAGAAAACTGTTCAGAGAGATGTGGAAAAATCTGTTTCATATGGACACTTAAATAAATCTCAGCACAACTGTCATCTACTTCCTATATATAGGTCACTTGGTTTTTGTTTTTGTTTTTGACAGGCAGAGTGGACAGTGAGAGAGAGAGACAGAGAGAAAGGTCTTCCTTTGCCGTTGGTTCACCCTCCAATGGCCGCCACACTGCGCTGATCCAAAAGAAGGAGCCAGGTGCTTCTCCTGGTCTCCCATGGGGTGCAGGGCCCAAGCACTTGGGCCATCCTCCACTGCCTTCCCGGGCCACAGTAGAGAGCCGGACTGGAAGAGGAGCAACCGGGACTAGAACCCAGTGCCCAAATGGAATGCTGGTGCCACAGGTGGAGGATTAACCGAGTGAGCCACGGCGCCAGCCCCAATACCCATCTTTTTTAAAAGACTAAGCTCCACAAAAAAAAATGGATTTTGATGGGGAAAAAAAGTCCTACTAGTTTGCATCACTAGGCTCTATTGTTAACTGAAAGGCACTTCAGAAGGACATACACAGTAAAGGTCCTTTATTATTATTATTATCATTATTATTATTTGAAAACTCCCATCAGGAGTTATCTTGTTCAAAATCTTGTTCAAGAAATTCCCATTTTCAGCCACAGTACTGCTATAAAAAAAGATTCAATAAAATGCTAAATTAATGAAATGTTTCCCCTCTGGTTTAGGGTTCACTCAGTCTAGGGCTTATTAACTGGTCTCCTTATCTCAGTCTTTGTTTCCTGTAATACATTCTCCATACTACCATCTAAACCTTGTTGCTAAAACCATGAAAAAGATCTTACACTGTTGTTCATATCATGATGACATCAATCCATTTTACAAAGAATAAAAATCATATAACGTTCCTTTGTGCTACAAGTTTAAAACTCCCTTTATCTGTTTTTTTTTTTTTTTTTTAAGATCTATTTATTTAAAAAGAGTAGTGACAAGGGAGATCTTCTACATGCTATTTTATGTCCCAAACGGTAGAAACAGCTAGGTAAGGACCAAATGGTAGCCAGGAGCCAGGAACTCCATCTTGGTCTCCCACATGGGTGACAGCAACTCAAGTACTTGGGCCATCTAACATTGCCTTCCCAGGAGCATTAGCAGAAAGCTGGATAAGAAGCCAAGTAACTAGAACTTAAACCAGCAATTTGATATGGGATATTGGTGTCACAAGAGCAGCTGAACCCACTGTACCACAAGACTGGTCCCTTGTCTGTGATTTTTAATTACAATGAGCTCAAAGCCCCATGAAACATGCCATTCACTTTTCTGTATTCTGAAACATTATCAGAACTGGATCTAATTTAAGCAATTTCCCTTTCACAAAATATTCTCCAAGTATTTGTTCACTCCCCCATGTCCTCTTAACACTGCACAGAAAAACAACATCCTCATGATAACCAGGGAGTTTTCTTTTTAAAATGCCAACAGAGTGCTGATGTGAAGGAAAAGCTCAGATAGTACATGTGGCATGAAATAAAAGAGGTGAGCAAACAGAGTTTCATGGGTACCTCTTAACGATTACACTACTTGGAAACTATGCTATAGGACAGAGGACTCAAACAACAGCTATCATGATTATAAGTGATCAAAAACACAATCAAAGAAATGGAAAATACACCTACTCTTCTAAAGGAAAAAAAAAAGAACAGTAGCTTAACAAAGAAAAAAAGACATGAAAGCACGATCATTTTATATGTCATGCAATCTCCAAACTGTGCTTCACTGGATAAGATATATGAACAAACAAGATTTTTTAAAGGCATTTTTTAAAAAGCCAGTGGACTGAAAATGACTCCTTTAGATAACGTTAAGCATTCTTGACTTTAAGTACCAACATTCTAATGGAAACCCATCAACTTTCTTCTCTAAAACAAACCACTTTCCTCAGCTCCAAATTTATATAGCCAACTGTTTCTTGACATCTATACTTGAGGTCCCTTTAACACCTAGAAAGATGTCCTTCATCTGAGATGGAGCTACCCAGCTGTTCAAGCCATCTCTGTGTTTGTCTTCCCCTCTTTGAATACCCCTAATTCAATCCACTAGACCAATTAACACTATTCCAACCTGGTACCCACTTTATTTCCACAGCTACTACTCTAGTACTCTAGGGCACTGTGACCTCCTTCCTGGACTAGTACATTACTTTCTCTACTGCTTTTGTTACTTTTGCCAAACAAATTTACCAGGTATGGTAGATTAAATGCTGTACACTTTCAGTAAAACGGAAATGGCTCTCCAGTCCACAAGTCTTACATCTTTTCACTCTACCTTTTTTTTGATAGGCAGAGTTAGAGAAAGAGAGAGAGAGAGAATGAATCTTCCTTCCATTGGTTCACCCCCCCAAATGGCCACTACAGTTGGAGCTACACTGATCCAAAGCCAGGAGCCAGATGCTTCCTCCTGATCTCCCAAGTGGGTGCAGTGCCCAAGCACTTGGGCCATCCTCCACTGCCTTCCTGGGCCACAGCAGAGAGCTGGACTGGAAGAGGAGCAACCGGGACAGAATTTGGCGCCCCAACCGGGACTAGAACCTGGGGTGCTGGTGCCACCGGCAGAGGATTAGCCAAGTGAACTGTGGCACCGGACACTCTACCTTTCTAACACCTCAGTGCTACATTCTACACTCCCATCAGCTTCCTTATTCTACCCACTAATTCTCTAACAATTTCTAGATCTGCCAAACACCTTTTATCCAGGGCTTCAAGAACCAAATTACTATATCCAAGACATTATTCATTCTTTTAACTGACTGTTCTTCATACTTCTGGATCAGACTGCATGTATGTAGACCCAGATAACCTCTAGACAAACGAAGATAGAAATGGGTCTCTTGTCAACCTATAATCCTCCAATAATATAGCAGGGCATGTTTCAAAGGTAGCACTTGCCTTATATGAAGCTACTTCTCTGTTACTTAACTTAAAACTTTCATCTGTTAATTACCTGTCTCCTACACTAGATTCAATAAAGGCTGAAACTGTATTTAATCATCCTTGTAAAACAATACTTGACTAAAACCATATGTATAGATCATATTAGGCATTTAAATAGGTAATAAATGAATAAATGAGTGCCTAAGTTTTATTCTTCTTAAGAGGTTACTGAGAAAATTCCCCACTCAACAAAAAGACAAATAAGATGTTTAAAATGAAATCTGATATAGTCACCTCACTATTTTCCACTGCAACTTTCCCTGATGGTGGTTTAAATGATGCAAGCATCTCTAATAAGTCAAACAGAGTAGTTAAATGAGGTTCTTGTAAAAGCAAAAGCATCGGAATGTTATCCTTCTGGGGAGGTGGCAAGCAAGATGCTGGCAGCTGAACACCTTCCCCTTTCCGTTCTCTCCTGGGTGCACCCAAAGATACAAACACCATCTGTAAAAATACCACAAACAGGAACAACGACAACAAATTACATATATTTAGTTTAGTTCAATAAAACAATAAATACACTTTAGATGAATTCACTTATAATTTTTATCTAACAGCAAAATAGAAATGAAACCATAATTTAAGTATGTACCTGCATATCCTTAAAACCAAGCTCATGAAGTGCTTTTTCATCATAATCGGTTGTTAACTCATGTCCAGATGAAATCATCCTAACAGGTCCCATGAGGCCTCCTGAAAGACAGCAAAATACAAGTCAACTTGTTTTAAGAGTTAACATACTAGCTGACAAGAACAATTAAGTCCATTGTATGTTGAACTTAAATGTAAATCTCAAAAGAGAGGTAGAGACAGAACTAAGCACACTTCCTGCTTACTTTCTATGGTCTAAGGTTAGCTTTAGGAAGAAAACATTACAAGAAAATTCTCTTTCAGTACAATTTTTTTTTAAAGTCAGAGTTACACACAGAGAGAAGGAGAAGCAGAGAGAGGGAGGGAGAAGGAAAAGGAGGGAGGGAGGGAGAGGGAGAGAGAGAGAGAGAGTGAGTGAGTCTTCCATCTGCTGGTTCACTCCGCAACTGGCCTCAACGGCCAGAGCTGTGCTAATCCTAAGCCGGAAGCCAGGAGCTTCTTCCGGGTCTCCCATATGGGTGCAGGGGCCAAAGGACTTGGGCCATCTTCTACCGCTTTCCTAGGCCATAGCAGGGAGCAGGATGGGAAGTGGAGCAGCTGAGACTCGAACCACCACACATAGAGGATGTCAGCACAGGAGGCGGCAGCTTTCCCGCTATGCCACATTATTGGCCCCCTTTCAGTACAATTATAACTAGATCAATTCTAGTTAACAAGATGAAAAATGCTGTAAGTGAAAAACATTCTAGGAGCTTTCTAAGAACTTACTGTGTTACCCCAGCAGTATACAATCTTTAATGCCCAAGCTACACAAGAAAAGCACTGTTTTTGGGAGCTAGCAATGAGACATAGAAGAAGCTCCTGGCTTTGGATCAGCCTAAATGTGCCTTAGCACCGATTTGGGTAGTGAACCAGCAGATGGGAGATTCTCTCTCGTTCTCTCTCTATATCTCTGCTTTTAAAATAAATAAATGAATCTTAAAAATGTATTCATAATGATTGATTTCCTTCTCCCCTAGTATTATCCACCAAAACAAAATAAAATATGGAAATTAGGAGCAGGGAGAGGGAACTTAACCTAGAGACATAAATCAGCTATAACCTTATACATCTATTAGCTCAATGAATAAACAATTATAATTTTAAAATGTTAAACAGCTAGCATAAATATTCCACTTATTACACTTTTCAGCATTCTACCCCAAAATTTTAATAATACTCATTCATACAGATAACTTCAGAATAATTTTACAAATTTTAAACAAAAATTCCATTGGAATATTGAAATATCGGCTGGCGCCACGGTTCACTAGGCTAATCCTCCGCCTGCAGCGCCGACAGTTCTAGTCCCCGTTGGAGCGCCACGATCTGTCCCGGTTGCTCCTCTTCCAGTCCAGCTCTCTGCTGTGGCCCAGGAGTGCAGTGGAGGATGGCCCAAGTGCTTGGGCCCTGCACCCACATGGGAGACCAGGAGGAAGCACCTGGCTCCTGGCGTTGGATTGGCGCAGTGCACCACACCAACCGTAGTAGCAGCCATTTGGGAGGTGAACCAATGGAAAGGAAGACCTTTCTCTCTGTTTCTCTCTATCACACTCTCTCACACTATCTCTGTCAAAAAAAAAAATATATATATATAAATTTACTTAATTTCTCTACAATATTTTATACACAGACACGATGCCAATCTCCATTTATTAGGCTGCTCATTTACATCTCAAAAAATTTTTCATATACTCATATTTGAAAAAGAGCCCACATGTTCATATTAACTATAATCGTGTTCTCTCGTCTAAGAGTTATACTTCATATATTTATTAAAATTGCTTTGTACAATACAATAGTAAATGAAAAACTCTTGGAGAGAATTCATATTATACTTCAAAAACTCCATGTAAAAATAGAATTAAAGTGTGAGGCTTTTTTTGCTTCATAGTTGACTCTGTACACTAATTGAGTATGCATGATTCTTTTTTTTTTTTCAACAGGGAACTGAGACAATCAGTTGCATACTGAGGATTATGAACTCCATCCGAAGTGAGATAGGCCTATACTTTTGAGTGTTTAATATGCACTACAATCTGTGTGCTAAACACTTCACACTGATTCCTAATCACCAAGAGTATAGTTATCAGGAGCTGGAACCTTTGGGGAGAGTGGGTGATGATGGCTCAGCCTCGATGAATGGGATTAGTGGCCTTATAAAAGAGGTTTAAGGGAGTATGAGGACAAAATAAGGAAGTATCAACACTTCAAACTCAATCTGCTGGCACCTTAAGTGGTAGACTTCTCAACCTCCAAAACTCTGATAAATGAACTTCTGTCTCATAAACAAAAGACAGTTTTTGATTTTCTGTTACAGCAGCCTGAATGGACTGTGACAACAAGTTAATGTTGATTAAAATGGTTGACAAGGATTGCACACAATAAATTGATCTAATTTCTTTTCCATTTTTTTTAAAACAAAGATTTATTTATTTGTTTGAAAGGCAGAGTTTTGCAGAAGAGAAGAGACAGAATAAAAGAGATCTTCCATTAGCTGGTCCACAAAAAAGACAGCAGCAATGGGTGGGGCTGGGCCAGATTAAGGCCAGGAGTAAGGAGCTTCTTCCGGGTCTTCCATATGGATGGCAGGGGCCCAAGCACCTGGGCTATCTCCTGCTGCTTTTCCCAGACCACCAGGAGGGAGTTGGATAGGAAGTAGAGCAGCCTACACACAAACCAGCACCCATACAGAATGTCAGCATTGTAAGCCAGTTTTACCCCACTATGATACAACCTAAGCCCCTCATTTACATTTTTTAAAGTTTCTTGTTTAATCTTTTCTTTTTCTTTTTCTTTTTTTGGCAGGCAGAGTGGACGGTGAGAGAGAGAGACAGAGAGAAAGGTCTTCCTTTGCTGTTGGTTCACCCTCCAATGGCCGCCGCAGCCGGCGCACTGCGCTGATCCGATGGCAGGAGCCAGGTGCTTCTCCTGGTCTCCCATGGGGTGCAGGGCCCAAGCACATGGGCCATCCTCCACTGCACTCCCTGGCCACAGCAGAGAGCTAGCCTGGAAGAGGGGCAACCGGGACAGAATCCGGCGCCCCGACCGGGACTAGAATCCGGTGTGCCGGCACCGCAAGGCGGAGAATTAGCCTAGTGAGCCCCAGCGCCGGCCTCTTGTTTAATCTTAAAAACTGACTATTCCTGGGGCCAGCCCTGGCTTGAAGTACTGGCATCCCATATGGGTGCTGCTTCTAGTCCTGGCTGATCCTCTTCCAATCCAGCTCTCTACTAATGAGCCTAGGAAAGCAGTGGAGGATGGCCCAACTTCTTGGGCCCCTGTGCCCACGGGGGAGACCAGGAAGAAGCTCCTGGCTCCTGGTTTCCAATCAGCCCAGCTCCAGCCATTGCGGTCATCTGGGAGTGAGCCAGCGGATGGAAGACTTTCCTATTTGTCTCTACCTCTCTCTGTAACTGTCTTTCAAATTAATAAAATACATCTTTAAAAAAAAATAAAACCTGGGCCGTTGCCGTGGCTCACTAGTCTAATCCTCCACCTGCAGCGCTGGCACCCCGAGTTCAAAGTCCTGGTTGGGGCGCCAGGTACTAGTCCCGGTTGCTCTTCTTCCAGTCCAGGTCAGCTCTCTGCTGTGGCCTGGGAGGGCAGCAGAGGATGGCCCAAGTACTTGGGTCCCTGCACCCACATGGGAGACCAGGAGAAGTACCCGGTTCCTGGCTTCAGATTGGCGCAGCGCTAGCCATAGCGGCCATTAGAGGAGTGAACCAACTGAAGGAGGACCTTTCTCTCTGTCTCTCAGTGTCTATAACTCTGTCTGGCTAAATAAATACATAAATAAAGACTATTCCTTCACAGTAATGAAAAGAATTCTTGTCTGTTAAAAAAAAATGACAACTTTAACATATCAAATGCTTCAAAATAAAAACAGGGAAATCAATTTTAAAATTCTTGGGTTATAATGTCATACTGAACAAAACACACATTTTGTTTCTACTCTTGAGAAATCCAAACCCATGAGTTACATAAACCTTTGATCTTCATAAAGTTAGTTGCCTCAGGTATTCACTGCCGTAATAAAAAACTGATAATACACTTAAAATTCTACATCCAGTGCAATTCTTCAAAAATGAACACAGAATATTTGTCCAGATACACACATACACATGGACAAAATCCATCACCTGACCATCTGCAGTACAAAGCTGGCGCTTTTAACATTTTTTTTTTTAATTTATCTGAGAGCAAGAACACACACACCTCTTCATTCACCAGATACATCTAACAGCTAGTCCTCAACCAAGCCAAAGCCAGGATCCCAGAATACATTTAAAATTTCCAGGTGTATAGCAGATCCAAGTACTTGAGCCATCATCAGCTGTTTTCCAGAGTGCACATCAGCAGGAAGCTGGAATCAGGAGTAGAGCCGGGACTCCTGGATTCAGCCTGGCCTAGCAATGGCAATTGCAGGCATGTGGGGGAGTGAACCAGTGGATGGAAGATCTCAGTCTCTGCCTTTCAAATAAAGTGAAAATAATAAATATGTATTTCTTAAAAAGATAAATTTATTGAAGCTGGTATTGTGGCACACACCAAGCTGCCACATGCAACACTGTCATCCCACAGTAGAATGAGATTTTGAGACCTAGCTTTTTTGTTTCCAATCCAGATTCCTGCTAACATACCTAGGAAAGCAGTGAAAGATGACGCACTCACTTGGGTCCCTAACACCCATATGGGAAACCTGGTTGGAGTTCTGGCTCCTGGCTTCAGCCTGGTATAGACCTGGCTATTGTGACCATTTGGGGAGTGAGCCACTGGATCAAGATTTCTCTTTGTCACTCCCTCTTTCTCTGTAGCTATGCCTTTCAAAATAAATAAATTGGAAAAAAAGGGGGGGGATTTATTTCAGTGCAAAAAAGCTGAAAAAAAAAAACCCACATGTATATGAGGTATCTTCAAAAAGTTTATGAAAAATGTATATTAGAAAAAAACATACACAGGTTTAAAGAAATTTTGCACCAAAATAAACATCTTTTAAGGCCATTCTCCATTAACTTTTTAAAGTACCTTCATGTGTGGCAGAAGAGATAAAGGAAGATAGGGCAAACAGAAAAAAATTATTTAATATAATCAAATGTATGTAACTGGGGGTAGGCATTTTGCACAGAATTAAAACATCTCTATGGGAGCCAAAAACAAATCCAAGCACTCCATTTTATACTTCAGATTCCTGCTAATGTGCACACTGTGCTACAGCAGATAATGGATCAAGTAGTCAGTTAGGTCACTGCCACCAATGTGGGTGACCTGAACTTGAGTTACATGCTTCTGCTTTTGCCTGGCCCAGCCACAGTTGTTAGATGCATCTAGAGAGTGAAAGTGGATAGAAAAGTTCTGTCTCACTCTCTCTGCATTTCAGATAAATTTTTTTTTAATTTTCTTTAAGCAATCTTTTTTTTTTTTTTAATTTGATGGAATTGGACAGTGAGAGAGAGAGAGAGAGAGAGAGAGAGAAACAGAAAGGTCTTCCTTCTGTCGGTTCACCCCCAAATGGCCGCTACGGCCAGTGCTACGCCAATCCGAAGCCAGGAGTCAGGTGCTTCCTCCTGGTCTTCCATGTGAGTGCAGGCACCCAAGCACTTGGGCCATCCTCCACTGCCTTCCCAGGCCACAGCAGAGAGCTGGACTGGAAGAGGTGCAACCGGGACTAGAACCCGGACCCATATGGGATGCCGGCACCGCAGGTAGAGAGGATTAACCAAGTGAGCCACGGCGCCGGCTCCTTTTTTTTTTAAAATCAGATAAATTTTTTCACAAAAATTTGTTTTATTTATTTAAAAGGCAGAATTTACAGAGATGGAAGGCAGACAGAAATCTTCCATCTGCTAGTTTACTCCCCATTTAAAAGGCCACAATGGCCAGGGTTGGGCCAGATGGAGCTTAGGAGTCAGGAGCTTCCTCCAGGTCTCCCAGGCACATCAGCAGGGTGCTGGATTGGAAGTGGAGCAGCCAGGACTCAAACTGGTGTCCGTGTGGGATGCCAGCAAGGCAGGCAGCAGCTTTACCTTCTATGCCACAACACCAGCCCCAAAAATAAATTCTTAAAAAAGTAAGATTCTAAAGCAAAACTGCCTAAACAAGAATTAAAAAATGAAGCTGGCGCTGTGGCTCAATAGGCTAATCCTCTGCCTTGCGGCGCCGGCACACCGGGTTCTAGTCCCGGTCGGGGCACCGGATTCTGTCACGGTTGCTCCTCTTCCAGGCCAGCTCTCTGCTGTGGCCAGGGAGTGCAGTGGAGGATGGCCCAAGTCCTTGGGCCCTGCACCCGCATGGGAGACCAGGAGAAGCACCTGGCTCCTGCCTTCGGATCAGCGCAATGTGCCGGCCGCAGCGCGCCGGCAGCGGTGGCCATTGGAGGGTGAACCAACAGCAAAGGAAGACCTTTCTCTCTGTCTCTCTCACTGTCCACTCTGCCTGTCAAAAAATAAAAAATAAACATAAAAAGAATAAAAAAATGAACATCAAACTAGCTTTTCAAAAGATTTCGCATCATTTTGTACCAAAAATATTAATCATCCATATTTCATCTCAAGCATTTACAGTCATAACATTAGTCCCTTAGTAAAGGACACTGAAGATTATCGCTCTTAATACAGGAGGACCAAGGTCATAAAAAGTACATTTAAGAACTTTTAACATTTTTTTTTTGTTTCTAAACATATTTAAACCAAGCATTCAACATCTGTAATGCTTAGAATTAAAAGTGTTTCCGATTTTGGACATTTTTGGATTTTGGAGTATTTGTATACTCATTATCAGTTCAGCATCCCTAATCTGAATGTCATGGTACAAATCAAGAACTTCTGGACACTGGAGCACCCTGGATTTCAGAGTCACAAAATTCATCCTATTATTACTTCAGACCATTAAATTAGAGTGAAAATTAACAGCTTTCATGATTCTTCAATGGTTGTTTCTCTGATAAGTTCTTACTTTATGTACTGTGAAAATCCATTAGTCCTAACAAGCATGGAGGACTCCAACATATATTTTAGGCCCATATGAAAATTTTCCTAATATGATACTATTCTGGAAGAATGGAAAGACAGAGAAGTGGTTGAGGGCATACTATTTTCATGTGTTCAGGGAAAACATATCAAAATGGTAGAAATATAGTTTAAAAATAGGATAAACAGTGTATGTGAATATAATATACATAAAATATATTATTATATATATACTCATCAGTAACTCTAAAATTGCTTATGAAATAACTCCACAAAGTTTTTTGATGGCAATATCAAAAGTGTATAAACACAATTTTATGAGAAACAAATGAAGAATGTTTTCAAATAACATCTGAAACAATTCTTAGAAACTTTTTACCTTAAAAAAGAAAAAACAAACAAACAAACAAATAACAACAATGGTAACAGATGGAGAGGTGGGAGGGGGAAACCATAAATATGGTTTGTGAAACTTTAAAGTCACAGTTCAAAGTTGTTACTATCATTTCAATGTTTCTGAATCCTCTAAAAATTCATGTTGAAACTGAATTCCAAATAAAATACTATTTACACGTAGGTCAATAGGGCCTTTTGGGAAGTATTTAGGCCAATGGGGTTTTCCCCACATAAATAGGATCCTGCTTTTAATAATTAGTTTTACAGAAGAAAACTTGTCCCTTTACACCCTTCTGCCACTTGACGGCACTATCCTGGAAGTAGAGAGCTGGCCTCAACAGATGCCAATGCCATGTGCTTGTATTTCTCAGTCTCCCTAATTGTGACAAGTTTCTGTTTTTAAATTGCTCTGTGGTACTATTATAGCAACACAAAAAGACTAACAGAGTTGTTAGACAACAGGTTCTAGGAAACAAAAAATTTGAACTGTTGGACTTACCAGGAAACTCTCCCTTTCGGCTGCTTTGACCGAACTCCTGAAGTTGAGCTTGTTGATTTATTTGTTCTTTCTGTAAATTTTCATACCAATGAGTTACTTCAGCCCTAAGATCTGCTACCTGGTCACTAGGATACATTTCAATAGTCATCTGAAACATGAGATGCAACCAATTTAAAAATACAAAAAGAACAGATATTTGAACTGGGAAATGTTTTCAATTTGAAAATTAAAACTGTGTAATGAACTACCTTGTCAGGAAGTCCAGCTGGTTGGCATACAACCCGTAGCGGCAGAGACTGTTTATCGCTCAGCGCTTTCAAATGACTACTAATACCAGTGCCTTCAATTTGCCACTGTCTCAGATGATAGGCAAACCTAAAACACAGCAAAGAACACATACAGGAAGGGCATACTTTTAAACCATTTTAATTTACAGAAGGCTTTAATGTTTTACAAATTGGAAAGGTCCCCAAAAGGTACTAGCAACCTTCCATATTACTCTAAAGCATTAATCTAAATTTAGGTCCATTAGATTGACTCAAACTCAAATGTGTAAATATCGTTAAGAGGACCTGACAAAACAATCTCCAGGAAAAACTTCTGAGGAGCTGCAGGAAGGGGAACCATTAACAATAGTTTTTTAAAAGAGGAGGGGTAGAATAGAAGCAGCAGGAGGAATTTCAAAAAATCAATCTGGTAAATGAAATGTACAGCTATCATTCAGAAGAACAAAAAGACAGAAATCTCTTTCAGAGACAGCAATATATTCTAGTAAAAACATGATCCAGCCCAACAACATCTGAGAGTTGGTTTCATTCTGCTAAAGTCATAAATTAAAGAGAGTCCTACTACAAAGAAAGGAGGCATCTAGTAGGATTCTAAATACTTTTCAATTTTCTAACTTGTTTTCAACTGTTGAAGACAGGATCCAGGGTACCTGAATTTAATCAAGCAAAAACTCATGTCTACAACAAAACTCAATTCTGGAACAAAAGGATGAAAAATAAAGAAGTGAATGAGGTATGTCTTATTTCCTAGAAGTGATCCAGTTTCCAGGTTCTATGACGGAAGAAATGGTAGTCTTAAACAAGCTATTGAGTATTTCAAGACAACAGTTTTCCAATCCCAGAACTATCAACATTTTGAGCCCCAATAATTTGTTACTACCAGGCAGCAGCAAGGATGTTTACCATTACCCCTGGTCTCTACCCACCAAGACCAACAACATTCCTCGTCCCAAGATGGGATCACCAAAAATTTCTCCGGACATTATCTACGGTGCCCTGGGACGACAATCACTTATGGCTGAGAACCACTATTTTTATAACCTTTAAGTTTTTATACCTTCCCCTTTTTAAAAAGAAAATCTTTTATGACATTATTTACTCTCATAATATAAGAAATGAACAAACACATGAAATACTTATTTTGTTTTTCAGGCTATAAATGTTAGGCAATTTTAAATTAGGAGCAGCATTAAGCACATAAAGCACGTAAGACTGTACAATGATATTGGACAAGAATTTGCACGAGATTACCTAGAGGAATTTTTCAAAACTACTGTTTTACTGTTTAGCTTTTTAAATATTCATTTTTATCCATTTCCTAGTTTCTCTACTAGTCACTGACAAAGTAGTTATTTATATACATTATTTAACATCAACATGAACAAATACAAAGATTTATTTCAAGTAGTCTACAATAAATATTTTAAATAAGCTAGAACAAAATTTATATACCTGAGAAGGGACTTTTAGACTTAAGTTCATTAAACTTACTGAACCCTCAGAAACTAATAAATTTTTAAAGATTTTTTAAATAAGCATTTATTTTAAAATCACTAGTAATAAAATGAAAGGATAAAGGGTCTGAGCCAACAGGATCAGTGTAGATTTTGGGAGCATATGTACCTTATCATTAACAGTAACTGTCTAACAGGAAGACAGCGATTAGAGGAGACTTTCATTTTCTATGCAGTGTTAATGCATAATCTGAATTTTATACTAAACATGTACTGATTTTCTGTTAACTTGAATAAGACATCAAATTTTTCTAACTTTTTTAAGGCAGTAAGAAGTTTCCATATGAAAACTTCAAGAGTTCCCTTACACATTCTTTAAAAAAAAAACACAAAGAATTATTTAAGAAGAACTGCAACAAATTACAATCAAAATCAAAGAATTTTGCAATGCCCAAATGTTTACAATCATGGAACCATGCTATTTATAAGGAATGTGGAGGATATCTTTATAAATTGGTATTTCCGGATATTTAAATAAAATACCTATAAGTTTCAACTGAATTACTGTTCAATATCAAACTAAGATCTGAAGTTGAAAGAAGTTATTAACAAATTTTTCAACACAGTTCTTAGTACTTTTACAATTACTCATAGTTAATGATCTTTAACAAACAGAATGTCTTAAAACTATCTACTCACCTTTCATATCAGTTGATATATTCATAAATGTTAATTTGCTTTATTTCTGTATTACACAGGGTATGTCTAAATTAATTATACAGATATTCATTAACACAGAATTTTTTGGTCATGTTTCCATGGTAAATGGAAATTCAAAATTAAAATACTGTCTCCTAGTCCAGGAAGAAAAAAAAACAGCAAATGAAACAAATGACTCAACTCGATTCAACTATGAAAGTTATTTGATGTTCTTGGTGAGAATTTTAGTGAAACTTTTTTTAGTGGTGATGTTCTGCCTTTTCAATCATAACTCAAACTTTCTTAGGGATGGAATTCTGTTCAGAGATTTGTATGCTTATTCATGCACATCTGCTGTCTGAGTCTAATGAGTTTTAAAGCTCTGCGATATCTACCAGGAACTTATATTGCCTATTCCAACATTGAAACGGGACATTTTCTAAACAAAAATCATGTCCATTACGGACGGTCCAACTTTGAAAAACTACATTTTCCTTGCCCCCAACAAAAACTTCAATTTAATTTTAAGAATACAGTTGAACATGTCAGCAATAAAATTGAAATTCATTTTAATGATAAACTATAAAAAAATTACCTTCTTCGAAATGCTTCCAGATGTGTCTTCAGCATAAGTAGTCCTCTTTCTATAACTGTAAGACTTGAGTGTGATTCCTGTTCAAGACTACTAGAAGCTATCATAAGACTTTCCATGCATTTACTAATAAATTCTTGTTCCTTCTCCAAACCTGTTTTCCCTGAAAGTCAGATGTTTACACATGTATATTAATCTGATGTTCTTGCTTAGCTAAATTAAATTTGAACTGTAACAAAATGTCCTCCCATAGAAACAGTCATCCATTAGATAATATTTCAAATCACTTACCATTAATATAATAGGAGTTAATATACTGGATAGCTGCTCGGCTGACATCACCAGATTGTGCTCTTAAAGCAATACCCCAAAATTGGTCCATACCACATAGCTAAGGAAGAAAAATATGACACCTCTAAGTTTTGTCTGTCATATGATACAACTCATCAGAGAATGTAAGAAGTGGCAGGAACCTAATTAATTTAGCCATCACTGTTACCTCCCAACGTCTACTTTAGCAGGAAGCTGAAGTTGGGACCCAGAGCTGGGATCTGAATCCAAAAATTCTGGGCATCTTAAGCAGCAAATGATGAATGCTTGCTCTTCAATTCTAATAATTTTTTAAAATATTTATTTATTTGAAAGGCAGAGTTACAGAGAGAGAGGCACGGACAGAGGGAAATCTTCCATCCATTAGTTCACTCCCCAGATGTCCACAACAGCCAACACTGGGCTAGGCTGAAGCCAGGAGCCAAGAGCTTCCTCCAAGTCTTCCATGTGGGTAAAGGGGTGCAAGCATTTGTGCATCTTTTGCTGCTTTTCCCAGTACATTATTAGGGAGCTGGATTGGAAGTGGTACAGCTGAGACAAGAACCAGCACCACAATGCTAGCCCCCTTAGTTTCAATCTTGAAAAACACATATTCACAAGGAGCTGACTATATATATAAGTATGCTTAACCCAAAAGTTTTATCTATGTAGTATGAAAAATTCATGTTCCCAAAACACACTACAAGGAATAAAACTAACACACATCTAATACTTCAGACAACAGTCTTTAAATACTTTCACATTCACCTTCATGTATTCACAGAAAATTAAAAAGACAGGCTAACCCAAGTTCTCACTCATATTTATGTTAACAATAAAATGCCAAAAATGGTTCCATTAAAAGCTACAGAAAAAGCAAGGAATGAAAACTCTCAAAAGATGAGCAAAGTGAAGATAACTGTCCAATAGGTGACTCAACAGTTTTAACATTAATATAGTCTACTTAAATACCAGTACTATCCGCTAATTAGAGCATGACTACTTCTTAACTAAATCAACATCTGTCTAATTTCAAATGTCTGCTTGCCAAACTGAGGCTTTCCACAATGACGATGAAAAATCAGCACCAAAAAGTTAAAATTTAAGGGCCAGCACTGTGGCATAGCGAGTAAAGCCACCGCTTGCAGTGCTGGCAACCCATGTGGGTGCCGGTTCAGGTCCCAGTTCCTACACTTCTGATTCAGCTCTGTTATGGCCTGGGAAAGTGGTGGAGAGTGGCCCAGGTCCTTGGGCCCCTGCACTCACATGGGAGACGCAGTGGAGGCTACTGGCTCCCAGCTTCTGATTGGCCCAGCTCCAGCTGTTGTGACCATCTGGCGAGTCAACCAGCAGATGGAAGACCTCTCTCTCCCTCCCTTCCCCTCCACCCTGCCTCTGCCTCTGCTTCTCTGCCTTTCAAGTAATTAAATAAGATCTTAGGAAAAAAAGCTATGAAAATATAAATTTATATTACAAAACATAAAAACTACTAATAACTAAGTGAAATGTAAAATGAGCAACATTTTCAAATCATAATTTGCATTTGTGTGTGTGTATGTGTGTAGGAGGTGGTCCAAGGATAAAGTATTCAATGATATCTGGCAGCCACCAAACCAGACAAATGTAACTCTAAGCCAAAGACCAGCAATTTGTAAAAGCATTCAGTTAATGAACTCATCCTCATGTCTCAAGGACAAAGATGACTTAGGTACATCCTAATCCAGAACTGAAATTAATAAGGAGAACTCTGGAGCTCAACTGCTAAGATCAACTTAAATGATTCCACAAACCAGTGGTGGGCATTTACCCTAGTGGTGAAGATACCAAATAAGATGTCCACATTCCACATTTGAGTAGCTGGGTTCAATCTCCAGCTCAAATTCTTGACTCAGTTTCTTGCTAATATTGACCCACACAAGCAGCAGTGGTGGCTCAAGTAATTGGGTTCCTGACACTCACAAGGGAGACCCAGAATGACGTCCCAGCTCCAGGCTTCCAACCTACTCAGCTCCACATGCTCTGGGCATTTAGAGAGTGAACCAGCAGGTGGGAACTAGTTTGCTTTTATTCTGTTTTTATCTCTCAAATACAGTTGAGTTTTTCTAAATAAGAGCATGGCCACACCAAATCGCATAAAAATCAAATTTGTGAAAAATCAACTGTTTTATATGTTTGATTTTGTTATATCGGAACTTCTAAGAGACTAAAAGAATACTCAGAGGACTCTTCTTTATAAATAAAAGGACAAGCCGGCGCCGCGGCTCACTAGGCTAATCCTCCGCCTAGCGGCGCCGGCACACCGGGTTCTAGTCCCGGTCGGGGCGCCGGATTCTGTCCCGGTTGCCCCTCTTCCAGGCCAGCCCTCTGCTGTGGCCCGGGAGTGCAGTGGAGGATGGCCCAGGTGCTTGGGCCCTGCACCCCATGGGAGACCAGGAAAAGCACCTGGCTCCTGGCTCCTGCCATTGGATCAGCGCGGTGCGCCGGTCGCATCGCGCTGGCCGCGGCGGCCATTGGAGGGTGAACCAACGGCAAAGGAAGACCTTTCTCTCTGTCTCTCTCTCTCTCTCACTGTCCACTCTGCCTGTCAAAAAAAAAAAAAAAAATAAAATAAAATAAAAAAAAATAAATAAAAGGACAAGTAATAGGTTTATATTGAGTACAACTAAGAATATATTTGGGTAATAAAAAAAAAGTTTCGCCAAATTTGCTTTATAGAAGCTTTTGGGAGCTGTCATTGTGTCACAAGACGTTAAGTCACTGCCTGCAATGCCAGCATCCCATATGGACGTTGGTTTCAGTCTTGGCTGCTCCACTTCTGATCCAGCTCCCTGCTAGTGTGCCTGGGAAAGCAGAAGAGAATGGACCAAGTCCTAGGTCCCCTGCACCCACACTGCAGACCAGGACCTAGCTCCTGGCTTTAGCTTAGCCCAGCCCAGACATTACAGCCATTTGAGAAGTAAACCAGTAGATCGAAGTCTGATCTCTTGCTCTCCCCTCTTCCCTAGTGTAACTGCCTTTCAAGTAAATAAAAACATCTTTAAAAAAAAACAAAACTTCTAAAAATAAATGTTTTTAAAAACCTAACAAGCTGGGGCCGGCGCTATGGTGCAGTGGGTTAACGCCCTGGCCTAAAGCACCTGCATCCCATATGGGCACCAGTTCGAGACCCAGCTTCTCCTCTTCTAATCCAGCTCTCTGCTATGGCCTGGAAAGGCAGTAGAAGATGGTCCAAGACTTTGGGCCCCTGCATTTGCGTGGGAGACCCGGAGGAGGCTCCTGGCTTCGGATCAGTGCAGCTCCATCGGTTGCAGCCATTTGGGGAGTGAACCATCAAATGGAGGACCTCTCTCTCTCTCTCTGCCTCTTCTCTCTCTGTGTAACTAACTCTGACTTTCAAATAAATAAATAAATCTAAAAAAAAAAAAAAAAAAAACCACTAACAAGCTAGGAAATGACGCTTGGTAGATGTTCTGAATACAAAACAGCAAATTCCACAAAATAATCAAATTAAACAAGCCCATACCTCAGAGTTTGAACCACCATCATAGGCACTGGTAGCCAATCGGGCCAAGTTACAAAGATGCTGAAATAGGTTTAAGCCAGTCATGCTAATCGTCTCAGGTTTTAGCTGGGGCATCTTGGAAAAAAAATGTAAATGTTAGTTTAGTGCGATAATTAAGTTAACGATTTTATTTTATTGAAGGTAGCAGATTTAATCTTATGGAAAACACCACAGAAGGAAAAGTATAAGTTTTAATGAAAATATTTTACATGGGCCGGTGCTTTGGTGTAGCAAGTAAAGCCGCTGCCTGCAGTGCCGGCATCCCATATGGACACCAGTTCGAGACCTGGCTCCTTTACTTCCTATCCAGCTCTCTGCTATGGCCTGGGAAATCAGAAGAAGATGGCCCAAGTCCTTGGGCCCCTGCACCCATGCCGGAGACCCAGAAGAAGCTCCTGGCTCCTGGCTTCGGACCGGGGCAGCTCTGGCCATTGAGGCCAATTGGGGAGTGAAACAATGGATGGAAGACCTCTCTCTTTCTCTCTTTGTGTAATCCTGACTTTCAAATAAATAAATCAATTTTTAAAAATTTATTTTACATTAAAATAATTACTGAAAATTCTTTTAATGCACTGTTGAAATTTGTCTGATACACGTTTCAGCTTTTAAAGTGTACAAACATAATTCAGAGGAAGTAGATATTTTATTATCTATTATATATTTATAATGTACATATCTATGAGATATTCAGCTACATACAGTTTGTTAAAATCAAGGCTTGAAATTTAAGAACCTGAAGTTCTATTTGTAGTTTGGTCTTGAAATAAACCTCCGTCACATACACTCAATTCCACCACAGAGACAATGTGAAAGCTCCTAGAGAGTCTGTATATTCTCAAAATAAAGCATGAAAATCATAAAGCCTATTGCTTTACTTTCACCGACTTTCAAATTTCATCTGTAATAGTTCACCTAGGAAAATTACCATCTTAACTAACTGTGGCCATCTGGTAAAGGGGAACAGTAAGTAGATCACCTTTACTACCCTGAGGACGCTTCCAAAAACACCATTCCAGGGATCCACAAATATGGAGACTGGCTTAAACACGTCCAAAGACTGACTCAAATCACAGCTATTTAACTAAGGAAGTCACAGAATATAGCTTTGCATATTTGTAGGTATGGGCACTACCACTGAAAATTGAATAATTATTAATTATTTTATTTAAAAAATAAACAAAAATCCCTTATCTTTAGTGCTGACATTTAAAGTGCAAAACTACAGCAAAATGCAAGTGGCAAAAATATTATGTAAAGACTGCTGAAAACAAGTAGATACGTCTACTTTTTCAAAAAGCTGTAAAAAAAATTAGCAACAAATGAACATAACAGAATCTGCATTAAAGGGAATGCAAAAACAAAAAAAGAAGAAGAAGAAGAAATACAACTGAAAGAAATGTAATTACCTTCTCCAGGAAAAGATGCTTGTAGGTTTCCATTCCCATAGCATGCTGATCTTTACTTCGAACTTGGTTTAAAAACCAGTGGAGTGCGTCATCATAACACTCAGAATCTTCTACTAAACAATGCCATAAAATGTCGACTTGCTCTAAACTTAACCCTAGATTAAAATTAAAATTTTACTTTACTAAGCAAAAATCAATTATGTATCTTCTCTTAGGTGTATATGTTTATGCAATCATGGAAATTCATTTATTTATATTAAATATGTATAAAAGACTTTTATGTTAAGAATAATTCTTATAGTTTCCTATTTGGGAAACTGATTCCAGTACAAAGTTTTGTCTTAATTCATTACACTAGGAGCACCAATATAGTCAGAAATATAAAGGAGACATCTTACAGTATTTCAGAAAAAACACTGTCTAAAAATTTCACATAATTTATGCTTTCAAAATATATACATACATAACTTACCTGAAAGCATACAACCTGTAAGTAATTCTAAGAGTCATTTGGTCTAAAAACTCATCCTCTCTAAAATTTGAATTCTAGTAAAAATGGTTAGTATAGGTAATTACAAAATTTGAGGAGGCAGTTCTAGGTAGGGTCTGACAGTTATGAACAGAGTGCATACCATGTGAAAAGCTCATTCTCTGTTCAAAAAAGATAAATAATAAGTATTATTTTTAAAAACAATCAAAACTATAGGTAGTTTATAGTAAACTATAGGTAGTTTATAGGTATAGGTCTTCCTAAAACAAATGGAATACAGCAAGACTTAACCAGAAAAAAAACAAGATAAAGTCTGCTTGGTACTCGAATGCCCAAGAGTGGCAGAACAAAAAAACGAAGAACAAAAGTGATGGCATTATAGGTCAACACAAGTCTAAGCAAAGAGAAGATAATTCAACCAGTTAGAACAAAAGCATCACAAGGATTTCTATTTTGTATCATAAAGAATTCCAAAGTCTGGGGTGGTATGTCATAATCAAAGAAACAAAGTATGACTGAATCACAAGAAAGTTCTCTCTTTACTCAGAAAAACTGTTGATATTCCAGAATGTTAAAAAAAATCACCTCAGAGAATATTCATATGGTTGTAACAGCAGTCTAAGTTTTATCAGAAAGAAGAAAGTATTCTGACAACGGGGCTGGCGCTGTGATGCAGCGGGTTAAAGATGTAGCCTGCAGCGCCAACATCCCATACAGGTGTCGGTTTGAGTGTCGGCTGCTCTACTTCTGATCCAGCTCCCCCAGTGGAAGATGGCCAGAGCACATGGGTTCCTGCACCTGCATGGGAGACCTGGAGGAAGCTCCTGGCTCCTGGTTTCGGATCAGCTCAGCTCTGCCCGTTGCAGACGTTTGGGGAGCAAACCTGTGGATGGAAGACCTCTCTCTCTCTCTTTCTCTCTGTGTGTGTGTGTCTTTAAAATAAATAAAATGAATCTTTAAAAAAAAAAAAAGTATTCTGACAGTTTCTCAGAGACACAGCTAACCTATAGATTATCAGTACCACAAACTTGTACCCCTAACAGACAACATGAATAAATTACAACCACCCACCAGTCTATAACTTAAACATATTAAGAAACTAAGAAGAGGAGCTGGTATTGTGGCACAGCAGGTAAGCTGCCATGTGCTACACTGGCATCCCATAAAGGTTCCAGTTCGAGTCACAGCTGCTCCACTTACGTTCCAGCTCTTTGCTTATGGCCTGGGAAAGCAGCAGAGGATGGCCCAAGTGCTGGGGTCTTTGCACCCACACGGGAGACCTGGAATAAGCTCCTGGCTCCTGCTCCGCCCAGCCTAGGCAGTTGCAGCCATCTAAGAATTAAACCAGCACATGGAAGAGCGCTCTCTCTGTAGCTCTTTCAAATAAATGAATAATCTTTTAAAAAGACCAAAAAAAAAAAAAAAAAGAAAGAAAAGAAACTAAGAGGAGACAGATAAATGAAGAAAATAGAAGAGAATGCAGAAAAACTATCAAAGTTAAATATAGTAACTATATAACAACATAGTAGTGTCTTCATAATGGGATGATTCAAAACGTAACATACATTGTCACTGTCCTCAAGTTTTAAAAGACTAGAGTTATTAGTGTACTGAAAATCAGTATTGACATACTGGATACAATTATATATAAATTCAGAATAATCATGTTATACACAACAAGAACTGTGTCAAAAAGAGACAAACTTTGATGTGGAAGAACTGAAGTTTTTTTATTTGATTATATCTGGAGAGTAAATATTATAGACGTATACACAAAAAATCCACACTATGTAAAATAAAAAACATCAAATTTAACAATTTTATGAAATTATGCTGACAATGCTGGCTTTAGTTTGACTTCTTGTGTAAGACTGTTTTTCCTTTTACTTTCTGTTATACATTTCTTTTGTTGTTTCAGTCATAATGGGTACAATAAATGATGAAACAGACATTTCCTATCACGTTGGTATCACATTAGTGGCATTCGTTACAAACAGTATGAACATGACAAAGAAACACATGCTGTATCTCAAGCCTAGATACAGTCTTCAAGGAGCAATGACAACCTCTTTCAGGCTAGCAAACAACTGTCAGTCTGACTATATACATCAACCATAGCAAGACAGAAAGTCCTTCTAATAAACAAGGCTTATTTGACATAGATTCGCAAGAATGCTGAGAGTGAAGGACAATACAAACAATACAGCAAGAGAAAAGGAGCATCAGGCAAGAGAAACTGAACGTCCTCTTCCCTTGTGAAAATACATAGCATATGGATTTGGACATGGTCAACACTCTTGATTATACCTGAAAAATCACTGCTTTTTTTTTTTTTTAAAGTCTATCTATTAAGGAATCAGAATTTAAAATTAATTTAAATGAAATCCAAGCCCATAAATGCTTTTACAGCCTAAAAACCTAGTTAATTTTGAAGAGACAATTACCCCTGACAAAAGTTATAGCAAGAGTTCATAACAAAGTATATTAAGATGCAGTCAGAGTGAATATTTGGCAAACTGGTTTTGAGTCCTAGCTCTACTTCCAATTCCAGCTTCCAGCTAATGCATACCCTGTGCGGTAGCAGATTGCTTAAGAATTTGTGTCCCAGCCACCCATGTAGGAGACTAAGATTGAGTTCCAGGCCCATGGCTTCAGTCTGGCCAAGTACTAGCTGTTGAGGAAACATGGGGAATGAACTAGTAGATGAAAGATCTGTCTGTCTGCCTTTCAAATAAAAACAAAACAAAAATCGTCAGGGACTGGCATTTCGGTACAGTGAGTAAAGCTGCCATCTGTGATACCAGCACACGATATGGGCACTGGTTCGAGTCCTAGATACTTCACTTCTGATCTAGCTCCCTGCTAATGGCCTAGGAAAGCAGCAGAGGATGGCCCAAGTGGTTGGGCCCCTGCACCAATGTGGGAGACTTCTAATAAGCTCCTGGCTTCAGCTCTACCTGCTGTGGCCATTTGGGCAATGAACCAGTGGAAGAGCTCTTGCTCTGTAAACTAGGACATTCAAATAAATAAATCGTAAATTAAAAAGAGCCACCATTTTCAAAGATTGAAGCAAAAAGGGTACATATCAGGCTCATATTCATATTACCATTCATATTAAGAAAACAGTCAGTGTTTGGGAGTTTAAGAAACAGTCATGAAACACAGAAAATATTCTTAATATTAGACTTACAATCGTTAAGACTTGTAAGAAAACACCAATGGTGATAGGCTTAATAAATGATCCAACACTTGAGAATATCTATTATAAGAGATCTTGCAAAAACAAATCTAAAATGTAAACAGACATCTGAACTGTTTTTAATAAACTGTCTAAATATTTACATAATTTATAAATGTACTTAGAGTAATCACTTCAGACACCTAAAAGGACAAGTTAAACTATAATCTTCCAAGGTCAAAACAAATTTTAATATATATGCATTAAAAAAAACTTACTGAAATGATCAGGTGATCCTAGAGTTGAAAATACACAAGTCAAGAACTGGAGTCGAACTTGAACTTCAGCACTATGACTGTACCTATAATTAAAAAATCACTAAAATTATTAAAAGATTCTATTTAAAAAATTATTTTTCAAGGTTTAATGGTACTGAAAACATAAACCAAAGTAGAAACCCATTTTAATAATTCAGAATTACTTAATAACTTTAGTTACAGAAAAAATTGTGCATGTAAGCTAAGCCTTCAATTTAAAATTTATGCTATTTGATGAATTATAAAATCTCCAAACTATAGAGTTCACCTTCAAATTAGATGAGGAAGTAAATAAAACATTATTCATACAAATGTCATTTTAAAATTATATAAATAATTTTAGAAGTAGAAAAACACATCCCTAAAAAATTACATTTCTTATCACTGACCCTATACTAACACAATATTCCTTAAGCAAGAAACATTAATATTCTACTTCCATAAATTTAATCCATAAATGTAGCTTCTATAAAAATGATGCTTTGGTGGTTATTTCAAATCTAAATAATTACATTTCTATATACACAGTCACAAGGAAAACCTATTAGTGGATGAGTTCACATGGTTTTGGAAGAACTCAGTTTATAGGCATTTGCAAAGTAATGGCACTTTATTGAACGGCATTTTATTAAAGTAAAAGTCTACTGGACAGGGAGGAAGCACCCGGCTCCTGGCTTCGGATTGGCACAGCGCTGGCCGTGGCAGCCATTAGGGGAGTGAACCATTGGAAGGAAGACCTTTCTCTCTGTCTCTCTGTCACTGTCTATAACTCTACCTGTCAAAAAAAAAAAAAAAAAGTCTATTGGAGAGGCCAGTGCCGTGGCTCACTTGGCTAATCCTCTACTTGCGGCGCCGGCACCCCAGGTTCTAATCCCGATTGGGATGCCAGATTCTGTTCCGGTTGCTCCTCTTCCAGTCCAGCTCTCCGCTGTGGCCTGGGAAGGCAGTGGAGGATGGCCGAAGTGCTTGGGCCCTGCACCTGCATAGGAGACCAGGAGGAAGAACCTAGCTCCTGGCTTCAGACCGGCCGTAGCGGCCATTTTGGAGGTGAACCAATGGAAGGAAGACCTTTCTCTCAGTCTCTCTAACTCTGCCTGTCAAACAAACAAACAAACAAAAAAGAAAAGTCTATTGGAGAAGAAGGATAGGTGATAGGTGAGAAGAGGCAGACAAAGGCCAGACTGTGGCCAGCCCATAAGGCCAAATGACGGGTTAGGCATTATAGATGGAACAGAAGTTACTGAAAGGGTGAGGTCTGTATTTTAAGATTCCTATAACAACATAGCGAACTGCATACTAAACAGTTTCTGTGATATCATAGTCTTCTAGTTCAGTTCCCCTGGCACCTGCACACTCCATCACTGAAACTGCAACAAGTTCCTAACTCCATGTTATAAATCAAAAAACAATAAATGTGAATGAATTTTTCAAACTTCTTTGCCAAACTAAGCCCTAATCAATATTAGAGAGTCAAAGAGCCTCTTAATTCATCTTATAATCTTCTGTAAACACAGAATTTCAAAAAGCTTCCCCAATGGGGCTGGCCATTATGGGGTAGCAGGTTATGCCTCCGCTTGTGACACTGGCATCTGATACGGGTGCCAGTTCATGCCCAGCTGTTCTACTTCCAATCCAGCTCCCTGCAAATGGCCTGAGAAAAACAGAAGATGGTACAACTGTTTTGGCCCCTGCCACCTATGTGGGAGACCTGAAACAAGTTCCTGGCTCTTGGCTTAGACCTGGCCCAGTCTTGGCCTTTGTAACCATCTAGGGAGTGAACAATCAGATGGCAGATCTGTCTCCTCTTCTCTCTCTGTAACTCTTTCAAAATAAGTGCCTTTTCTTTTTTTAAGATTTTATTTATCTGAGAGGTAGAGTTAGAGACAGTGAGAGGGAAAGACAGAGAGAAAAGTCTTGCATCTGCTGGTTCACTCCCCAGATGGCCAGGAAACAAGACAAAAACAGTCTCCCCATGGACATGAAACTTCAGTGACAGATACCTTTAAAAAACAAAAGAAATTTACAACATTCTCTTCTAGCTTCAGGGCTGACAAAGGCAGGGTTTTCCTCTAATGGTCACAGGATTCAAGAAATACAAAATCGGGGCCAGTGTTATGGTGCAGCGGGTTAAGCCAACACCTGCCAGCTTCCCATGAGGGCCAGCTCGCTTCCCTGACACTCCACTTCTAATCTAACTCCCTACTAATGCTCCTGGGGAGACAGCAGATGTCTCAAGTACTTGGGCCCCTGCCACCCATGTGGAAGATCAGGATGCAGTTCTGGGCTCCTGGCTTCAGCCTGCCATATCCTGGCCATCTGAGGAGTGAACCAGCACATGGAAGATCTCTTTCTCCTTTCCTCACTGTAACTTCGCCTTTCAATTAAGTTTTAGACATTTTTAAAAATACCACCTAATGTGCCTTTTAAGAAAAGAAGTATTGGGGCTGGCACTGTAGAACAGTAGGTAAAGCTGCTACCTGCGATACTGGCATTCCTTATGTGCACCAATTCACATCCTGGTTGCCTCATTTTCAATCCTGCTTCCTACTAAATGGTCCTGGGAAAAGAAGATGGCTCAAGTGTTTAGGGCACTGCTACCCACATGAGAGACCCAGATGAAGCTCCTGGCTTCATCCTGACCCAGCCCAGCTGTGGGTGTGGTGGCCATCTGAGGAGTACACCAGCAGATGGAAGATCTGTTTCTCCTTTTCTCTCTGTAATTCTTTCAAATAAATAATAAAATCTTTTAAAAGAATGAAGTATTATCTTTCATGTCATAACCCTATTTTTTCCTGGGCGAAAATCTCAGAACTTTCCTACTATAACCCCCAGTGAGGGGAAAAAAAGTGCCTGTGAGGTATGAACCCTGTATGTGTTAACAAAGAGTTTCAGTGAATGTTACAACTGTCTTACAGGCAGCACAAAGAAGTTACAATCAACAGTCCAGACACTATTCATCTGTGCTAAGATTTTATTTTCCTAAAATGCCATCTAACAAAGCAGACTAGAAGGTGGGAAGGATACTCTGGCATATCTTAGGAAAATTCAAAACTCATTTTCAAGGAGCACCTCTTTCTCACAGCAGAAACCCGCTTCTCCGAGCATCCTCTACTGGTTCCCCTAAGAAAGTGATTAATTTCCCTGTATTCAGTGCAATGAGAAGTCTTAGGCCTATATTCATCACTGAGAACCTGACATTGGATTTTCCTTCAGTACAATGATTTATTCCTTCAGTACATGATTTATCGATGTATACTGCTCCTCTCCTAAGTCAATTCTATCTGCCCTTCAAGTGTACAGGCTTGTGGCAATGGTGGAAGTTCTTTTATAAACTGGTGTTTATTTGTCTACATACAGATAATTTGAATTCCCTTCTTTTTTTGGACAGGCAGAGTGGACAGTGAGAGAGAGAGAGACAGAGAGAAAGGTTTTCATTTTGCCGTTGGTTCACCTTCCAATGGCTGCTGCGGCCGGCACTGTGCTGATCCGAAGGCAGGAGCCAGGTGCTTCTCCTGGTCTCCCATGCGGGTGCAGGACCCAAGCACTTGGGTCATCCTCCACTGCACTCCTGGGACACAGCAGAGAGTTGGACTGGAAGAGGAGCAACTGGGACAGAATCCGGCGCCCGACCAGGACTAGAACCCTGTGTGCCGGTGCCGCACAAAATTCTACAAAAGTTGAATTTTGATTCTTAAAAAGAGTACCTTTCAATAAATGTCAACAGTTGAGGCACTACGAACTTCTGATTCATAAAAACACCCACATTAAATGCATCTCAGAAGTGAAGGTAAACCAATGGAAAAATGCAACATGAACTTTTGTTGCATGAATTCTGGTAAAAATTACAAAAGCAACCTCAGCAAAGTCTTTCAGTCAAAAAAAAAAAAAAAAAAAAAACAACTGCTAGCCTTCTATTACAATTTTATACAATAAAACTTTGTTAATTTATTATATAAAACAGAAGTGGGAACACTGAAAAATTATCATTTAGAAAAAAGCAATCCACAAACTATTTAACCTGAGAGGTACTTACAGTGCATGTTTTTGTCTTCCTTCTCTTACAGTTTGAATGTAGTAAACCAAATTATCAAAAAAAAGCTTCATCATGTTCAGTTCTTTTTCTGCCCACCTGGCCCAATGATAAAAAAAATTATTTTAAATGGGGCAAGAAAATATATTCACTCTAGGACAGAAAAAAATTTTAAACAAATCTTAAAAAGTAAAAGCTCTAAATTATCAAAAATTTATGTTTTACTTATATTTGAATGATAGATACAAAGCACTTTTCCTTAATTTCTATGAATTTAAAGTATGCTGTGTTTTTATGTCAAAAGACTGAATATCTGGGACTGGGATGAAATGCCTGATAGAGTGATATTGTAAATGATTAACATAATTATATTAAAAATTATTTAGCATTTCATGTAAGGATAAACTATGTACATGCTTTGGATATTATTCTGCAGAACTCAGCAGTCTGATACAAAGGGACTTCAAAAACGTTTGTGGAAAAAGGGAATACAGAGGTAAGTTCATTTTGGTACAAAAACTCTGAAGTCCATAGTAATTTTTTTTGTAAAACTCATTTTCCATTAACTTTATTAATATATGTCTCATATAGAAGGCATGTGATAATAAATCATTGAATAAATCTTTCCTGTAATTGTTAATAATTTGCTTTTAACAATTTTTTAAATAAAATAAAGACCCAGATATTAAATTCCAAAATAATCTGGAAAACAATAAAGAAAGAAGTAATGATAAATATATTTAAAGATCTCAGGGTTCACAACTTCCCTAAATAACATAATGTATCTCACATAACACCTATTAGCACCATAACTGCTAAAATGTACAGAAAAAGAAAGAGCAAAATTCCAAAAAATTCTACAAGTTACATCATGTCTTGTTATACCGTGTATTTAAGACAAGTTACTCTGGCTTTACACTCAATGAAATGGTACAAGAAAATACTCAGTAAGATGTGAGTTTGAAACTGGTTCTAATACACATGGCTGCATATCTTTGGTCAAGTAACCTGACCTCTTAAAGTCAGCAAGCTGGTATCTTGAAAAATTATTAAGAAAAGTATCAAATGTTAAAATACGGATCATTAGCATGTACTCATTAGAGAGTATGTACCAAATGTTGAGTGCTGCTACAAATAAAAGATCCATCATAAATGAGGCTTTTGTTATTACTGATGTCAACTAACCTCCAGAGCTCAGGGCTCTTTCACATCAAAGTATAACCAAAAAGAATTCTTTTAATGTTCATTAATCTTAAGTTCTCTGTAAATGTAAAGGAGTAATAATAAAGTGTCAAGATTATCCCTAATGAAGTGTTATATCTAGAACCAGTCTCTAGTAATGAGAAAAAAGATTCAAGAGTGTTTATTTTTTCTTCTGTAGTCCTCTGCTATGGCCATTTAAAATCATCTTCCTAAAAGTAGAGCATTAATTGCTATGGTATAAGACTCATACCACAAAGAATACAAAAGTCAAGTTTTTCTATAGGGGAAAGCGGCAGAGAAATCTAAGAAAACATTTAAACCACATGAAAGTCCTATTTCCTAAGTCAGAAAACACTGTTTAACTTATTTAAATCCTTAGTTAATAACCTAATTTGAAAAAATAAGCTTCAATATACATTTCATTTGTCTACTTACATTGTAATCCAATGTGTATCATAACTGCTCCCAAACTGCTGAAAAGTACCAAATAGTTTTGGAAGAAGACGAAGTGAAATTACTACTGATCTGAAACAACAAAAACAGGTATTTACAGAATAACTTTAACTACTATGAATGATTTTATATTTTATAGAAATTCAGCTGTTTGAAATTCTTGAATGTAAAAGGATTTAATAAATCTTACATATGAACATATTCCTTCCACAAACATTAAAATTTTTTTGCCCTTAAAGCGTAAGTTCACCTTATACATTCTGTCTCAAGAACCTAAGTTTTAAAACTTTGAGACTTGAAAATGAAAAATTAAAGATTGTGTTTCATGAAAGTATTTTTTAACAAGTTATCACTATTGCCTTTTTACAACTATTATCCAATGTGATCTGCATTCAAATTGACAATCACTGCCTTATGAGTCATGATAATAATGAAAACATACCACATACTCAAGTATGAAGGAATAGGAAAGAAAGAAAATCACTTTAAACTCCTGTGGTAGGTCTGAGTGTGCCTAACCTTTTAAAGGACCAGATGTGGGTAAGATATGGACACAAAAATCAGAGAAGTAGGAAATGACAGGCTACATAAGCCTTAAAAGAAGCAAGCCAGGAGCCAGCACTGGTGGAACAGAGAGTAAAGCCACTGCCTGCAACATCAGCATCTCATATGGCTGTGGGTTTCTGTTCTAACCCAGGTCCCTGATAGTAAATGGGAAAAGCAGCAGAAGATAGGCTCGCATTGGGCCTCCTGTCAGCCATGTGGGAGTCCTGCATGAAGATCCTGGCACCTAGCTTCAGCATGGTTCAGGGCTAGAAGTTGCAGCCGACTGGGGAGTGAATGACTGGATGGAAAAATATCTCTGCCTTTCCCTCTTTCAAAATTAATCAATCGATCTTAAAAAATAAATAAAGGCAGCAAGACAAATTCTAATAAGAAAATGATTTTTCTCTTTTTTTCCCTATTAAGCTTAGGAACCAATATTGCCTAATCAAGTTTTTCCTTTTTCTTTATAATTGGAGAGGCAGAGGATCAGACAGAAACACACACACAAAGAGCAAGCTTCCATCCACTGACTCACTCCCAGACACTGACAACAGTCAGGACTGGTTGGCCCAAAGTCAGGAACCCCATCATTTGAGCCTTCAATGTTGCCTCTCGATGTGCATTAGCAGGAAGATAAAATCTGGAGCCAGAGCCAGAACTGAAACTCAGGTATTTTGAAGTGGGACAAGACATAGCAATCTTAACCGCTAGGCTAAATGCCTTATCAGAAAGAATTTATTATAAAGAGAAAAGTTGGTACCCTACCTACAATTATAGTTCTGTAAGTACCAGGGAATGAAACAGAGTTGCAATTACTATTTGACTTTCTTCAGATTGCCTAAATTGTCAACAGAGAGGATAACTGCCTACAGCTTTACCTTAAGTAGAGCTTTTTTTCATCTACCACTACAGTGTGCTCCACCAGAACAAAAACTCTGTCTTATTCATTTAAAATCCAGTACATGTATTTGCTTTTAAAATAAAGCAAAGAAATTAATGCAAAATTTTCAAGGAAGGGGAAGAACAAAATTGTAAAGCACTACTTAAAGGTTATTAAGGATGAGAAGAGAGGCTGACGCTATGGCGTAGCAGGTGAAGCCACTGCCTGCAGTATCGGTATCCTATATGAGCACCAGGAGTCCTGGCTGCTCCACTTCTGATCCAGCTCCCTGCTAATGTGCCTTGGAAGGCATCAGAAGATGGCTCAGGACCTCTGCTCCAAGCAACTGGACCCAGAAGAAGCTCCTTGCTCCTGGCTTTGGCCTGATCCGGCCCTGGCCGTTGTAGTCATTTGGGGAATGAACCAGCAGATGGAAGATATCTTTCTCTCCCCTTTTCTCTGTATCTCTGCTTTGTATTCAAAAACAAACTTGAAATATACATATATTTTAAGTGCTGTGTAACAGTATTTAATATAGTAACCAAATCCAGATTCAAAGTGACCCCCTAATACTAAAATAGTTAACACAATAAATGAAATCACAAGAAAAATTATACAAAATATTGCTTTCAGAATGAAAATCACACATAAAATGGGAAACAACATATACTGCTTACAGTAACAACATTTCAATGGTTAAGCACCTTACAAGACCAAATCTACCACAAGTGTTTCAATTAAAACTATATTGTGGGGCCAGCAAAGTGGTGCAGTAAGTTAATCCTCCACCTGCAGTGCCGGTATCCCATATGGGCGCCAGTTCTAGTCCTGGCTGCTCCTCTTCCAATCCAGCTCTCTGCTGTGGCCTGGGAAAGCAGTAGAAGATGGCCTAAGTCCTTGGGTCCCGGATACCTAGAAGAAGCTCCTGGCTTTGGATTGGCACAGCACCGGCCATTGCAGCCAATTGGGGAGTGAACCAAACGATGGAAGACCTCTCTCTCTCTGCCTCTCCTCTCTCTGTGAAACTCTTTCAAATAAACAAATCTTAAAAAACAAAAAACAGGCCGGCGCCGCGGCTCACTAGGCTAATCCTCCGCCTTGCGGTGCTGGCACACCGGGTTCTAGTCCCGGTCAGGGTGCCGGATTCTGTCCCGGTTGCCCCTCTTCCAGGCCAGCTCTCTGCTGTGGCCAGGGAGTGCAGTGGAGGATGGCCCAAGTCCTTGGGCCCTGCACCCCATGGGAGACCAGGATAAGTACCTGGCTCCTGCCATCGGATCAGTGCGGTGCGCTGGCCGCAGCGCGCTGGCCGTGGTGGCCATTGGAGGGTGAACCAACGGCAAAGGAAGACCTTTCTCTCTCTCACTGTCCACTCTGCCTGTCAAAAAAAAAAAAAGAAAAAAAAAAAACCACACACACACACACACAAAAAAACCTCAATATAAAAGTAGACCATTAGGGGCCAATGCAGTGGCTTAACAGGTAAAGCCACAGCCTGCAGAACCAGCATCCCATATAGGCACCGGTTCGAGTCTCAGTTGTTCTACTTCCAATCCAGCTCCCTGCCATTGTGCTTGGGATATCAACAGCAGATGGCCCAAGTACTTGGGTGCTGTGCCCGCATGGGATATCTGGATGAAGCCCCTGGCTTTAGCCTGGCACAGCCCTGGCAGTTATGACCATTCGGGGACTGAATCAGCAGATGAAGTTCTCTCTTTCTCTCTGTCTTTCCCTCTGTATAACTTTGCCTTTCAAATATATAATATATAAAAAAGGTAGACTGTTAAAAATTCAAACGAATTTTGCTAAGAGTAAAAAAAAAAATTTAAGACTTATTTGAGGGGCTAGCACTGTGGCATAGTAGGTAAAACTGCCACAAGCAGTGCCAGCATCACATATAGGCGCCGGTTTGAGTCCCAGCTGCTCCACTTCCGATCCAGCTCTCTGCTATGGCCTGGGAAAGCAATAGAAAATGGCCCAAGTCCTTGCGCCCCTGCACCCACGTGGGAGACCCGGAAGAAGCTTCTGGATCCTGGCTCTGGATTGGCACACGACCGGCCATTGCAGTCAACTGGGGAATGAACCAGAGGATGGAAGAACTCTCTCTCGGCCTCTCCTTCTCTCTCTGTGTAACCCTTTCAAGTAAATAAATAAATCTTTAAAAAAAAAAAGTCTCTTAGTCTTTTAACTCTGCCTTTCAAATAAACAAATCCGGGAGTGGGGGGTGCATAAAAAAAGATTAAAAAAAGAAAAGAAAATTTCTTTAAGTACTTGAAAGAAATAAATCTCCTTTATTTTTGGTCAAATATAGAATTATGGTAAATGAGTTGAAGTTGCAGTTCCAACTGTTTGTTCCAACATAAGGAATGCCAACACCCTTGTGCATAATTCCTCTTTTACTATGATGGTAAAGATGCTTACATGAAAATCTTACTAGTTTCAACTGCTATACACTGGACATGTTACTAATTCCCATCACAGTGAGACTAGTGTTAATATGCAAATCCTCTGAGGAGTAAAGTTTGAACCCCAAATTAACTTCAACCTATCAGTTTTGTTTCCTAGATTTTCAATAAGCAAATAAGTATGATTAGAGCGCAAGGACCACATCGAGTGAAAAATGTTTACACTTCAACTTGGTAATGGAAAAACTAATGGTTAATAAAAAAAATTTCACAATGACAATTTTTCATTTTACATAGATTTTTTCCTTTTATCTCTTTTAAATTTCCCTATTTTAAATAGAAGTATGTGCTCACTATGGGAAAACTGAAAAACAGAATGGGGTAAAGAAGAAAAAAAATATCAACTCTCCCAGATATAACCACATTTTGGATATTACACTCTGGCCTTTTCTAGCTTTTTTTCAGTCAGAATTAACAGGGACACAGAGATAAAGATCCACTGGTTCACTCCTCAGATGGCCACAATGGCTGAGGCTGAGCCAGAAGCCTATTACCTTTTTCTTTTTAACAAATGGACATGTAAGTATAGGTTCTTATCATTTATTATGTAATTCTGAAAGCAGGACTCTTAATATATAGGATATTTCCTCTTTCAGATTCCTGGTTTATTTTTAAACATGTTATTGAAGGCCGGCGCCGCAGCTCACTAGGCTAATCCTCCGCCTTGCGGCGCCGGCACACCGGGTTCTAGTCCCGGTCAGGGCGCCGGATTCTGTCCCGGTTGCCCTTCTTCCAGGCCAGCTCTCTGCTGTGGCCAGGGAGTGCAGTGGAGGATGGCCCAAGTGCTTGGGCCCTGCACCCCATGGGAGACCAGGATAGGTACTTGGCTCCTGCCATCGGATCAGCGCGGTACGCCGGCCGCAGCGCGCTGGCCGTGGTGGCCATTGGAGGGTGAACCAACGGCAAAGGAAGACCTTTCTCTCTGTCTGTCTCTCTCTCACTGTCCACTCTGCCAAAACAACAACAACAACAACAAAAAACATGTTATTGAAGAAGTCCACAATTATTCATTCTACTGTCCGTTGGCATTTGGACAGCTAAACAAAGAATAATTAGTTATTTTAAATAGGGCAGGTTTATGCATTCTTAAATGTATGTTTAGCTACCATCTGGATATATTTTTGTTAAGCTCACACTTACAAGTGGAACTCCTCCGTCACAAGGTATGCAGTCTCACATACAAGAGTGTCAACTTATACAACCACTTTAAAAAAATTAATGCTTTCTTATAGACATTTTTCATTTAACTGTTATAAAACCTATATAAATGATGATATAACTAACAACTCAGTCATTAAAAGCATTCTTTTTAAAGAAAATATTCTTTTTAAAGAAAATATGCCAAATGTGTAAAGTGATCCACTAATAAAATCCTATTATTGGTTTCTTAATTCTACATGAACAAGCATTTTTTCTATTGTCACTGTTCAAATCATAGCACATTTTCTTAATTCAATTAGGGCAAAGTATTTTGTGGCATGTATTTAATAAAATTAGATATTTATAGCAGGCTTAGGCAAGGCTGAAAATTAGTTAACTGAGTTGTCTAACTCATACTACAGAGAATAACATATTATCAAAGCAATAGAAACCAAGGAAAGAATGAAATTGTCCCAAAGGAATAGCACTGAAAATCAAGAAACTTGAAATCATTCAAGCCCCGATGCAAAGTATAGAAATATTTGGTAGAATACATATATGAGAAGAAACATTAACTTCTTTTTTCAAGCCATCTTATTAACTCACAGGTTAACAGATGTACATACTTAACATACACAACTACATAACTAACCCAATTTTTACTACAAAAGTTGAGACACAGAAGACTCACTCAAATAGAAAACCAATGCCATTATCAAAATGCTTATATTTTAGCTTGTATATTTTAATTCTAATTTAGCCTCCTTTAAATAAAACATGAGATAGTTTATTTGAAAAAAGTAATGACCATTATTATCCAAGAATGCGTAAGTTTTTTTATTATCCATTTCTCATGGAAAGGATCTAAGCAACAGTACTGAAAACTCACCACTGTGATAAAATATTAGTCTCATGAGAGAAACATCTCTAAACCTAATATGAAAACCACAATTACAAAAAAAATACATTAAATACTATGTAAACACCACAACAAGTCAGTAGAATGCACAAAAGAAACTTTGTCGAATGAAATTTTATAAACTTCTCTTTACCTGTTGTTCCCTAAGTTTTCCAGGCAGCCTTCAATGAATCTCATTCGAATCTGTCTGTCTGTAAACCAACATACTAAGGAACAAAGAAGTTTCTCTGCTTCGTTTATTAACCCTTCAGAAAGATTAACCTATAAAAAATATATATGAAGTCATTTATCTTGATTGCACTTTGCTATAATTTTGTATTCTTTTCATTTTATTATATAACTTACCGCATCATCATCTTGGACTATATCCCACAACAAAGTGTTTCCTTTCTTGCAAACATTATCTAAATTGATGTCTGTAACAGCATTACTGTTAAACTGATGTTTATGAACAGCAGGTCCTAAGGGGGCAAAACACAGGACATTAGCATAATTGCAGCTGAAATTAGGAATTAGAGCATTCACCAAATTAACATGAAAGCAAATGCTTTTTAAAAATAAAACTCTGGAGTGGCGCTATGGCGCAGTAGGTTAATCATCTGCCTGTGGGGCCGGCATCCCATATGGATGCTAGTCCTACTCCCGGCTGCTCCTCTTCTGATGCAGCTCTCTGCTATGGCCTGGGAAAGCAGCAGAGGATGGGCCCCTGCATCCATGTGGGGGACCTGGAAGAAGCTCCCGGTTCCCGGCTTCAGATGGGCCCAGCTCCATTAGTTGCGGCCATTTGGGGAGTGAGTCAACAAAGGGAAGACCTTTTTCTGTCTCTCCCTCTCATTGTCTATAACACTATCTCTCAAATAAATAAAAAATATTTAAAAAATAAAGCTATTCTTAGATCACAAAATAACAATATAACACTAACATGTCAACGAAAACTATATAAATACTTGAAACTCAAAATAAAGATAACAAATAATCTGAATTAATCTTTCAACCAAGGGGCACTCCTCTAAATATCAGGGGTGGGAATTGTACTGAACAACTCATGAAATCATGCAGAATTGGGGCCGGCCCTGTGGCGTATAGCGGGTAAAGCCACTGCCTGCAGTGCTGGCATTCCATATGGGCATCAGTTTGAGTCCCGGCTGTTCCACCTCCCATCTAGCTCTCTGCTGTGGCTTGGGAAAGCAGTAGAAGATGGCCCAAGTCCTTAGGCCCCTGCACCCATGTGGGAGACCCAGAAGAAGCTCCTGGCTTCTGGCTTCAGATCACTGCAGCTCTGGCCGTTGCAGAAATCTGGGGATTGAAACAGCAGATGGAAGACCTCTCTCTCTCTCTCTCTGCCTTTCCTTCTCTCTCTGTAACTCTGACTTTCAAATAAATAAATAAATCTTTTTTTTTTTTTTTTAAATCATGTGGTATGGCCCTGCAAGGCAACCACAGGCAGGACTTCAAATTCAACAAATCTGGGGCCAGCGCTATGGTGCAGTGGGTTAAAGTCCTGGCATGAAGCACCGGCATCCATATGGATGCCGGTTCTAGTCCCAGCTGCTCTTCTTCCAATCCAGCTTTCTGCTGTGGTCTGGGAAAGCAGTAGAAGATGGCCCGAGTCCTTGGGCCCCTGAACCCACGTGGGAGACCCCAAGGGAGACCCTGCTTCGGATCAGCGCAGCTCCGGCCCTTGCGGTCATCTGGGGAGTGAACCATTTGGATGGAGGACCTTTCTTTCTACCTCTCCTCTCTCTGTGTAACTCTTTCAAATAAGTAAGTCTTTAGAAAAAAAAAAAAAAAAAGAAAGAAAGAAATTCAACAAATCTACAGCAGACTAATTTATAAATTGATAATTTTGTAAGGCCTGTCAATATTATAAATATCCAAATGAACCATAGCAGAAAAGTTTCTACCCCTGCAAATGATCTTCTATATAGTCTCTAACTCCTACATTTTAACTATTTGTATTAGATTATTTACTCAAACTATTCAATTGTATTAAAGTTTCTACTATAATAAATCCAGACATTCCAAGTGCCAAAATGCTATTGTTTTATTCTTTTTAAACAGCTTTTCCATAAAATTTACTAATTGAATTGTATATATAGAATGATTTCATTCAATTCAGAATTCTATGACCAGCACCACAATCCAGTTTTAGAACATTTTCATCACTTCAAAATGTTCTCTTCTACCTATTAAATCCCTGATCTCATTCCCTGGTCCTAATATATTTTACTGTCCCCATAAATTTGTCTTTTCTAGAAATTTCAGGTAAAAACAATTAGTCAATATGCAGTATTTTATGTCTGGCTTTTGTCACTTAGCATATGTCTAAGGCTTACCCATACTGAAGCATCTTATCAATAGTGTATTCCTTGAAATTAAAGAATATTCCATTATATAGAAATAGCACATTTTATCTACACATTGACAAGTTAAGGGACATTTGGATAGTGTGGTTTTTTTTGCCAACTGTAAATAACACAAATATAACACCTGTGTAACAAGTCTTTATATAGTCCTATGCTTTACCTTCTCTTGAGTAAATACTCTGGAACAGAATTACTGGATTATATAGTGTATGTACTTGTATGCTTAATATTCCGAGAAATCATCAAACTGTTTTCCAAAGTGTTCCTGCCATCATATATTCCCAACGGAAGCATATGAGAATTCACATTGCCTGTTCATCACATCCTCCTCAACACTTTAATATGGTCATTCTTTAACGTCACCCATTTTATAAAAAAATTTCAGCTATTTTAATAGGTGTGTAGGGGAATCTGTGGTTCTTATTTACATTACCCTAAAGATGTTCAGTATCTTTTCATGTGCTTCCTAGCCATTAAATCACTTACTACTTTGTAAATCATAATACTTCTTAATTAGGTTGTGTCACTACTGAATTAGAACAGTTTTTACATATCCTGAATATAAGCTGTTTATTAGATAAAGTTTCAAATCTTTCTTCCAGTCTGTGACTTGTCTTTGGTTTTTATGTTGTAGAGGGCAGTTTGTTCTGGTATTTCTCAAACTTAAATTTCAATAAAGTAAAACATACATAATCAAGATAGAAAATATTCCCCTACCCTTCCAAGATGTATTTATTCTGGGGAGTGAAACAGTAGATGAAGACCTTTCTCTCTGTCTCTACCTCTCTCTAACTCTGCCTCTCAAAAAACTAAATAAAATCATTAAAAAAAAAAAGATTAACTTATTTGGAAGGCAGAGAGAGAGAGAGATCAATCTTCATCTGCTGGCTCACTTCTGAATGGCCACAACAGTTAGGGGCTGGGAGAGACAAAAGCCAGGAGGCTGGAACTCCATTTAGTCTCCTACATGGACAGCTGGGACCCAAGTACTTCAACCATCTTCTGTTGCTTTCCCAAAGACATTAGCTGGGAGTTAGGATCAGAAGTGGAGCAACTGGGACTCAACTAGCATCCATATGGAATATCAGCATTGTAGGTAGCAGATTAACCCACTGTATCATAATGTCTGCTCAAGATGCAGAAAACTTCTAGGAAAAGTTCCTTCATGTCCCTTCAAAATTAATCCCTACTCCCCAAATACTAGACAATTACTGAGATCCCTAACATTACAAACTACTTTTGATGGTTACAGAGCTACAAACAAGTATATAAATTTAATAAATATGGCATCAATTTCAATCTAATGTCTTCATCTTAACCTATTCATTTCTCTACAATCACAACAATAAGAAAGGCAAGGTGACCTTATCTAGATTGAATACAAAAAAATAAATGAAATCAATATGTTGCTGCTCAAGTCTACAAGTTAGGACTCCAAGTCTGATCATGATATGCATGCAGAAACCAAATCCATCAGGTTTCTTGTATTGCAATGTACCAACATGCACATCCCATTTCTAAAGTTAGCACGTGCTCATAGCGCCTAACCTTGCAGGAAGTAGGATAGAAGTCTTCACTGTTTTTCCATTTCTTATTCCCTTTCCTCTTGAATCATCTACTGACCTTTAATCTACTCCATCCTCTATTCTTCAAAGTCTGATCAGGTCCTATTGCTTTAAATTGATTTAAATAATAATTCTTCATTTTATTCCCACAGATCAAAGAAACACTTTACCCTGGTTATTTTCCCACAACCCTCCCTTCTGTCTGTATGGATTTTACTAGCCTATTTATTTCATATAAATAGGACCATGTAATACATCATCTTTTGGGGCCAGCGCTTTGGTATAGTAGGTTAAGCCTCTGCCTGCTCACAGGCAGACTACATGGGTGCCAGTTCATATCCCGGCTGCTCCTCTTTAAATTCAGCTCTCAGCTTATGGTCTGGTAAAGCACTGGAAGATGGCCCAAGTGTTTGGGCCCCTGCACCCATGTAGGAGAGCCAGAGGAAGCTCTTGACTCATGGCTTTGACTCGGCCCAGCTCTGGCCACTGCAGCCATTTGGGGAGTGAACCAGTGGATGGAAGACCTCTCTCTCTGTAAATGTCTCTAAAATAAATAAATAAATTTATTAAAAAAAAAAAAAAACTATCTCTTGGGGGCTGGCGCTGTGGTGTAGCAGGTAAAGCTGCCGCCTGCAGTGCCGGCATCCCATATGGGCGCCAGTTCGAGACCCAGCTGCTCCACTTCCTATCTAGCTCTCTGCTATGGCCTGGGAAAGCAGAAGATGGCCCAAGTGCTTAGGCCCCTGCACCCACATGGGTGACCTGGAAGAAGCTCCTCACAGCCAACTGGGGATTGAACCAGCGGATGGAAGACCTCTCTCTCTCTGCCTCTCCTTCCCTCTCTGTAAATCTTTCAATTAAATAAATAAATTTAAAAAAAAAAAAAAACTATCTTTTGTGATCTCTTTTTACTTTTAGGTCCAAAGATTTTTGATTATACAATTTAATACAGCCATTTATTTTCTAAAATATAAAGCTATCATTTTCTTAATATACTACTGATATATATTTCCTTTCCCAATTAATACCTCTGGATAGAACTGCAAGAATACTTAGGATCATTTCAACCCTCTACATGAATATGAAACTTACGTTGCCAAAAACATTTAAGCACCATCATATCAAATGTTGGTTCCTTTTAACAATGTAATTTAAGTTATTCTTTCAAAAATGGTAGTAAATATATTTTACTTACTATACAACCTTACCTTGACTGAGATGTTCATGATAGATCGAGGCTAAATTGGGAAGATGCTGTTGGAGATGAGATGTTAATTCTGCATGTGAATTAATCTGAACTAGCTCCTCTTCACAGCCAGACTCTTCACCATCAAAATCAGCCATATTTTTTTCTGATTTTGCACTGACCTGGGAGCTACTACAGCTGACATCATCTGCACTTAGCATATCATCAACCATGTGCCTGAAACACAGAAAAAGGCATTAGATGTAATTAAAAACCTAAACATACACAAAAAATACTTAAAATTTTTGGCACTATTAACATTCAAACTACATCAGTTTATTTATTTATTTATTTAGAAAGGCAGAGTTAGACAGTGAGTGAGAGAGAGAGAAAGGTCTTCCTTTTGCCGTTGGTTCACCCCCCAAGTGGCCGCTACAGCCAGCGTGTTGTGGCCGGCGCACTGCGCCGATCTGAAGCCAGGAGCCAGGTACTTCCTCCTAGTCTGCCATGCGGGTGCAGGGCCCAAGGATCTGGGCCATCCTCCACTGCACTTCCGGGCCACAGCAGAGAGCTGGACTGGAAGAGGGGTAACCGGGACAGAATCTGGCACCCCGACTGGGACTAGAAGCCGGGGAGCTGGCGCCGCAGGCAGAGGATTAACCTAGTGAGCCGCGGCGCCGGCCCCAGTTTATTTTTTTTAAACAAGATTGAGAGTTATATTGCACAAAAACAAAAAAGCACCCAATGTTAAACCCATGTAATAATTTTACAACATACACATATGTTATCAGCTTTCATAAATTAAACACATTGACACATCTCATTATAACTTCAAATAGAACTATTTTAAGACAGATCAATAATACTGTCACAAATTATTTTATAAACTCAAAGTCACAATGCAGAACTAGAAAGTTTACATTTGTTCATGCAGCTGCAGGATCATGTGAAAAATACTAAAAAACATTTTAATCTAGTCTGCCATCTAGATGGAGTTAATAACAATGGGGGAATGTTTAACTCAACAAACACATCATTAAGCACTCATATCTAAAACATTGTACTAGGTTGTGCTCTAAAGGATATAGACAATGGAATAAAAAATGAATTCAACTTTTGGTTTTATTGAGAGTCACACAAACAGTACCATTTACACAGAATACAAAAAGGACTGAAATTTTAAGTCATTAGATCATCTAGGGCAGTGAGTAGAGGGTGGGTGTCAAGACTGACTGTATGCTCCAAATGAACCATATTGCATCTCAGTTGCAGAATAAATCGACTGCTTTGCCTTCATGATGAACTGTCCTCAGGACAATTTTGAATAGTCATATCTATAAAGTCAGACAATAAACTAGTGGCTCTCAATTGATTTCAGCCCACAGGACGGATATGTGCCAATGCAGAGAAACCTTCCTGTTTCTAACAACTAGGGTGGTACTACTTGTATCTAGAGATTAAGGGTCACTTTAGCTGTTAAACACTCTTAGGCCGGCACCGCGGCTCAACAGGCTAATCCTCCACCTGTGGCGCCGGCACCCCGGGTTCTTGTCCCGGTTGCTCCTCTTCCAGTCCAGCTCTCTGCTGTGGCCCAGGAGTGCAGTGGAGGATGGCCCAAGTCCATGGGCCCTGCACCCGCATGGGAGACCAGGGGAAGTACCTGGCTCTTGGCTTCGGATCAGCGTGGTGCGCCAGCCACAGCAGCATTGGGGGGTGAACCAACGGAAAAGGAACACCTTTCTCTCTTTCTCTCTCACTGTCCACTCTGCCGGTCAAAAAAATTAAAAAAAGAAAAAAAAAACAAACAAAAAACACAACTCTGTAATGTATGTGACAGCATTCACAATGGTGCAAATTCAAAACAAAGAATATCTGGCCACAAATGTCAATAGTACCCTAGTTGAAAAATATTGCTTTTAAACTAAGATGTTCTATGGGTAAGAAAGAGGTTAACACATGTGGATATACAGTAAACACAGAAACAATTAAAATGAATTCTGGCCAATTGTCAACTCCAGAAAAATTCATCCTGGTTAACCAAATTCATGTTTCATCAACTAAGTATACTGTTTGTATGACAACAGCAAATAGCAGCAAACATTCGGTGAACACTTAATCCTGTGCGAGGATATCAGCCCATGAAATCACCTTAATAAATCCATGAGACAGGTACTGCCACTCCCATCTTGGAGATCACAAAACTGAAGGAAAGAAAAATTAACTACTTCATCCACCACAAAACTGTAACTAAGTGAATATGGATGCCAGCTCATGTTCCAGCTGCTACACTTTCGATGTGGGTCCGTGCTAAGGGCCAGAGAAAGAAAAGCAACAGAAGATGCCCAAGTGTTTGGACCCCTGCAACCCACATGGGAGACCTGAAAGTACCTCCTGGCTCCAAGCTGTTGGCACTGTCTGGAGAGTCAAACAGCAGGTAGACAGTCTCTGTCTCTACCCCCAACTTCTGTAACTCTATTAAATAAATAAATGAATGAATTTTTCTTTAAAAAAGAAAAAAGGCAGATGTTAAGGCACAGTAGGTTAAGCTGACACTTAACAACACTGGCATCCCATATCAGAGTACCGGTTGAGTCCCAGCTACTTGACTTCCAACCCAGCTCCCCAATGTGCCTAGGAAATCAACTGAAGACAGCCCAAGTACATGGTCACCCATGTGGGAGACCCAGATGGAGTTCCACTTTCAGGTAGCAGCCTGGACCTGCACTGGTTGTGGCCATTTGAGGAGTGAACTAGCAGATGGAAAATCTAAATCTTAAAAAAAAAAAAAAAAACTTTAAAAAATGCAAATATAAGACACACAGTGAACTTAATAACTTACCAAAAAATGGGAAAAAACCCGTTTTACTGATTACTTTTGAAAATCTCTTAAAATAATATTGGTTAAACACAATATAATTAATCTCATCTCCACCCCTTTTAATATGCATGCACTATTTATGACTTGGATTTGTAGTATTTATATTCATATTACCATTGATTAGCATTGGTCTAGAATGAACTACAATGTAATAAATATAGACTTTAATATCTTCCTAAAGGAAACATAAGTTCAGTATTTCTTTTTAAACAGGCTTACCCATCATGGTGGTGATGATGGTGGTGATGGTGGTGGTGGTGGTGATGCTGTGGACCAATAAACTGCCGACAATTAAATAATTCATTCCCAATAGTCTCCCCAAGGAAGTCCCCAGTTCGTGTGATACAAGTCTCCTGAGTCCCTTGTGCTATATGAGCAGCATTTATTTCCCCTGAAATATCATGCTCTGGGTCTTCAGAGTGTGAACAAGCATCTAGTATTCGTATTCGATTATCCACCGATGGTAACGACTCAGCATTAAAAACCAGGTCCTTTCCTGTTCCATTGCTTGTCCCATTTCTTTCAGATGGGCCTTGGGAATCTAAGCAAATGCCTGCTTGACTTTCTAATTTTCTATTCCGAAGCTCTGTACCACAGCTGTTTTTGGGAGGATTATGACTGTGGTCATCATCTTCATCTTCTTCTTTCAGGGCTTCCATATCCGCAATGTCTTCTGACTGGACTTCACTACCAGGACTCCCAGCTGACTGGCTTGCATGACTAGAATTGACCTCATTGCTAGATCCATCACTGTGTCCACTACTGCTACCAGGACCACTGCTTCCATCTTCACCACTGTTGGCTGTTTCATCGGAACTTCCCTGCATGGATTCCTGTAGTTGAAAACAAATTGCTTTAGATAAATATCCAAACCAGTAGAAAGAAGCAACTGACACTAACACACTGAGCTTATTCAGCTATCACACTTATCATATTCCTCAGAACAATATAAAAGGAAATTAAATATTCAACATCAAAAATACAACTTTTAAAGGAAAGTCCTTGGGGCTGGCGCTATGGTGGTGAAGTGGGTTAAAGCACCGGCCTGCAGCGACAGCATTCCACATGGGTGCCAGTTGAGTCCCAGCTGTTCTACTTCTGATTCAGTTCCCTGTTAATTTGCCTGGGAAGGTGGTGGAGAATGGTCCACGTGCTTGGATCTCTGCTTCCACATGGAGATCTGGAAGAAGCTCCTGGCTTTAGCCTGGTCCAGCCCCAGTTGCTGCAATCATTTGAGGAGTAAACCACCCGATGGGAGACCTCTTTCTCTGTCTCTACCTCTCTTAGTACTCTACCTTTCAAATAAATAAATGAAATCTTAACAACAACAAAAATAGAAAGACCTTAACATGGATTGTGTTAGTAGTCCCAGTTAAAACGATAAATACAGCAAAAAACACTTTAAAGGAAGAGGGAGAAAAAATCTATACTTTATACCTCTGTATCTGAAAGTCGCTGTTGCACATGTTTGGTTCTATTAATGAGCTGCTCATCCATTTCGATGTCACTGCCTCCGCTCTGATGTGTATCACTGTTGTCACTGCTTTGAGGACTCGCTGCAGGTGACCCTATATAAAACAGATGTTTATTTTTACTTAGTATAAACATGGAGTCAACAAAAAGGCCTTATTCTTTGATTCTCTGAGCTATTTAGCAAAGATTTCTCCTAAGTGGCCAAAAATACAATCTCTAAATATGTTAACATTTGCCAATTATTTCTAAAGATACATGAGTATATAATTTCAATTAAAAGTCAACATACTCATGATTCTATGCAAAATGGCTAAGATGGTTACTAGCTAAATCTTCTGAAAATAAAATTAATGCTAATGTATAAAATCAACTAACTTTAGAAGACCACAAAAATAAAAAGCTGTCATCATATTGCAATGCATTTCAACTTACAAGGTGATGGAGCTGCTCTTCTCAGCTCTTCTTCCTCTGAAGGCAAAGAAAAAAATAAGAGAAATATTCAAGTGACTGATCTTCTTTGGGACTGCATATCAGCTGTTTGTATTACATAATCAACAATTACAGGTAGGGAAACCTACAATAATAATTCAAGTCCCTGAACACCTAAAGCAGTTGTTGCTGGTGTTTGCACAGAAAATCCTAAGAACAGAATAGTTTATGACATGAGACAAAAATTGGGTGTGGATTAAGATTTTGGAAAACCTTGAAAGCTATATATAAAGATCTCCATAAAGCATCTGATACGGTTAAAAACAACTGTAAAGTAGAAAACACAAAAAAGCGTCCTCCATTTTTGAGTATATCCTACTCTGAAAATCGATACAAGCTTTTTTTTTTTTTTTTTTAACAAAATCTCCAAAGTTTTTAGGAAATAAAGACTTTAAAAAAAAAAACATTAAAGATGACAAAATTCAGTAACTACTGAAACTATGTAACTGACCTTTATCTGAAAGATGAACCAAAACCATGAAGTAACTACAGTTCATTATCCCATTCATATTACTCTGCCTCCCAACCCAACTTATTTAAGAATTAAGATTGAATTGTGAGTATAGCCTGAGCAACCCTTATATGAAATGCTTAAAGCCAGAAGTGTTTCAGATGTCAGAATACTTAAATAAACATAATTAAAATAGCCTGGGAATGAGACCCAAATCTAAACACAGAATCCATTTATTCTTCACATATACTTTATACACAGGACGAAAAGGGAATTTCTTTCATATAGTATTTTCAGTGTGCCTCTGTTTTAGTATAACCCCATACATGAGGTTAGGTGTAAAACACCTCACTTCTGGCATCATGTCAGCACTCAACACTCTGGACTTTGGAGCACTTCAGATTCAGGGTGCTCAATCTTTATTAAAGCAGTTCAGATTTCAGACATTAAGAATACAGGTGCTCAAGCTGTATTAGTAAAAAATACTTAGACTCATAAGCACTGAACAACTAAGTTCAAACACAGAGCACTACTAACCTTTCTTATTTCCAATGGGAATATTAGTGTTCAATAAAGATGCAAATGAACTCTGCTTAGATAGCTGAGCCTTAGCTGCTAGTGCATTATTCCACAATGCTTTAATTAACATTGATGCCAAGTACAATGTCTAAAAAGAGATTAAAGTTGGAGGCAAGTAAGTAAGATCATAATATTTTTTTTTTATCTAACTGAAATGACAACACTAATAAACTACAAATTAAGTTCTCTGAATCACAAATAAATGTTCACTTTACTCAGGAAAAAAAAACACCATTATGTTTTGAATGTATTACCTGTTCAGTATGAACACTTGGTTCAAGAGCTGAAACCAGATTAAGAAGATGTCTGAGTGGTACAGGATCCAAATTCTTGATTAGTGAAGGAAATAAGTCATGTATATATCGACTACAATGTTTCAACTAGAAAACAAAGAGACAGTAGTAAAAATTAATTGCCCTGCATAACTACTCTGATACAAAAAAGTTACAGAGTTTGAAAAGTCAAAAAGCTGGCCAATACCCTAAAATTTTAATTTTTTGCTAAAATACTAATGAATACCATAAATAACAAGATAAAAGTTAAAGTAATTATCTTGAAAAAAAAATAAGTTGCTATGTTGGACCTAAACAGGACTATCTATCTTGGAACTGGCGTTGTTGCCTAGAGAGTAAAGCCACCCCATGGATTGGAATTGGAACAGTGGGGACTCGAGCCAGTGTCCACATGGGATGCCTGCACAGCAGACAATGGCTTTACCTGCTACACCATAGCATCAGCCCAAAAACTTAATCTTTAAAAAAATATAAAAACAGGAGCCAGTGTTGTGGCATAATGGGTTAAGGTGCTCCCTGTAGCAGTGGCATCTCATATGGGTGCCGGTTTTAGTCTTAATTGCTCCACTTCCAATCCAGCTCCCTGCTAACCTGCCTGAGAAAAGCAATGGAGGATGACCCAAGTGTTTGGGTTCCTGCACCTATGTGGGAGACCCAGTAGCCTTTTGGGAAGTGAACCATCAAATGGAAGACCTCTCTCTGTGTCTGTAACTCTGCCTCTCTGTAAGTCTGCCTTTCAAATAAATAAAATAAATCTTTAACACACACACACACATACAAAGTGGGGGTGGGCTGTGTAAAAGCAGTTTTGTATGGGACTATGGACACTATAAAAATTAAAATTAGATTAACACCTTAAGAATGTTAATTATAATCTCCATACTTAACATAGATGAATATTAAAAGGGAATAAAAATGTTTCCCTTATAAAAATTCAACTAAATACAAAATGGTGATAAAGTGGGAAAAAGCAGGCCAATAACACTTATTTATAAACAAATGGCAACATGACAAGAAATTTTTTGCTCTTTATTCGTAATTACTTTAAATGTAAATGGTTTAAACTCCCCAATCAAAACAGAGACCTGGCAGAATTGATTTTTTACAACTTTCCATTTTTTTTTTAAATCAGTTGAACCAAGAAGCTAATTATATATCCAGACAAACAGGATGAAAGTAAAACTAGAAAAGGATATTCCATGCAACCAGTGAACATTAAGAATCAAATAAGGGAATTTATAGATGTGGAATAAAATGTTGGCTGAATATCTACCCACAGACACCAATTTAAACAGATATACATGTACCAATGAGGACCACAGGGCCTAGTTTCAGAACAGTTAAGACAAGACATACTGATGAAGGCAAGAGAAGACACAAGGTTGCCTGTATCACCCCTCCCAAATCCAAAAAGCCATGTCAAAGAGAACTTCTTGCTGCTTGGGGGAGAGAAAAGGAACTGAGGCCAGACCCACAATGGTAAAACCCCATGCTGGGCACAGCCATACAGTTCCTGCCCACAGGCCCGAACTCCTATAGTAACACTCTAGAATTGAGTTAGCCAAGACAAGGAATTGTCTCCGCCACTCATCCCCCAACCATGGGCAGAAAAGCATAAAGGACGACCACCAACTGGACAGGAGAGTAGGAATATGGATGTTCGCAACAGCCTTATAAAGAAGGGAACTAAGCCCACAGTAACTGCTACTAAGTCTCTCAAAAATCAATCTTAAACTAAATGCCTGGGCCGGTGCCGTGGCTCACTTGGTTAATCCTCCGCCTGTGGCGCCAGCATCCCATATGGGCACTGATTCTAGTACCGGTTGCTCCTCTTCCAGTCCAGCTCTCTGCTGTGGCCCGGGAGGGCAATGAAGGATGGCCCAGGTGCTTGGGCCCCTGCACCCACATGGGAGACCAGGAAGAGGCACAAGGCTCCTGGCTTCTGATCGGCACAGCACCAATCATAGCGGCCATTTGGGGAATGAATCAACGGAGGGAAGAACTTTCGCTGCCTCTCTCTCACTGTCTATAACTCTGTCAAATAAAAAAAAATTATTAAACTAAATACCCACTTCTAGACTATGCCTTAAATGTCCTAAAATAATGGTAGTTTATTAAATAGATCAAACCACATATGGAAATCAAAGAAAATTTATTGAAAAATTACCATGAACCATCTAGGAATTCAGTTAAGTCTCAAGACAAACAATTATAAATCATCTAAAATTTTATATATATGGATTTCCATCACTAAGCTTAAGGGAAGAAAATAAATGAAGGAAATTGAGTATACTGGAAGAAATTATTACATATAATAGCAATCAAAAATAAAATGAAAAATTTTAATAAGCTTACCATATAATAAAAATTTACATACAAATAACTTTTAAAAGATTAATGATGCAAAAGGAAAAGGCATATCTTGCTTGTACAAGTTAAAACTATATCTCTCTGCAAGTTAATCATTATCACAATGAAAACTTTTTTAATGATAAAATTTACATGAAAAATAAACAAGCCAGACAATTCTGAAAAAATGAGGAAGTACTAGATTTTTAAATACTAGAAAGATGCAAATAAAAAAATAAATTTTATTGAAGTGTCAGAAATAAATGTTATAGGACTGGGAAGGTCTGATTACTGTGGTATGGTTAAAAGCCATAGATAATATGTAAAAGCATGTTCATAACTATGGCAATAATGAAGTACTATTATAGGTCAGTATAAAAAGTCAAGAAACTGACCTAGTTATGTTACGTGACTACTCACTTAAAAAAAAAAAAAAAAAAACTCAACGAATGGAATTAAGACAAAGAAGTAACAAAAAAACAGAGTGGGGGCAGGAAAGGATATATACATAATACCTTAAGTTCATATTACAGCAGGGTCAGATTAAAATTTTAAAATGCAACAAAGACCTATAAGAAGAAACTAACAAGAACTTCCTTAAAAGTCTTAGAATGGAAGAAGGATTTCAAGCCATGAAGCAACATCCACAAGCATAAAAGAAACTCAACCGCAGATATGAAGCCACAAATTTTAAACTGACCCAAAACAAACAAACAAACAAACAAACAACACACACCTAAGGAAAGGAAAAGATAACATCAAACAAGATATGGTAATAAATGATAATCATAAACAAAAGACCAATTTCATTGAATATATAAAAACTCACAAAACAATGAAACTAATAAATGGCAAAACTATGAACAGATAGTCCAAAAAAAAAAACAAAAATGGTTCTCAACTATAAGATTTGCAAGCTCATTAATAAAAGAAACATAAATTTAAGATACCATTTTTTCACCCTTTAGATTAGCAAAGATCAAAAAGTTAATGATAGAATGTACTGAAATGGCCATCAGAAAAGTGAAACTCCCACACCAGAAACTAACACAAGGATATCATGCATGTGATTTAACCTAGCAATTTTATTTATAAAGCGAATTTATCCTCCATCAAAGTTTTGCAAAGTTTTACGTATTATAACACCGTAATAAAAAAGATTGTGAAAAGAAAATGCCCATGAATGAGAATTAATTACGACACATATATAATGAAATACTATATAGCCTTAAAGAATAAGAAAGCAAATAATGAGGTAAAATCTCCAGAATAAATTACATCAAAAAAGCCAAGTCTGTGTCTGTATGTTTGTGAGGGATAAAAAAAGCATAATTAGCTATTTATACAGAAAGTATGTGATATAAATGAGGATAAGAATTGCATGCCTTGCATACGGAGGAAGAAGCACAAAATGTTTAATACATACCCTTTTATAATTTACTTTTTGGATTTTTGAATTGTAGAAATATGCCTCTTGAAAAACACTAAAAAGGGTGAAAATCCAGTATAATAGAGAAAAATATACCAACACAAACAAAAAAATTTCAGCATAGAAAAACAGATGGCATAAATGAGAAGAGAAAAATATCTCTTTGTTAAACCAAGACAGTTTCCTAAAGAAGTTCTAATTGACTGACACCCTTCAATTCCAATAGTAACACAGGATGATATGGACCCTGAAGCCAAACTAAAGAGCATCCATGGCCAGTTTTCCCACATCTTGATCTCCTCAGCTATAAAATGTGGATAATGAGAGAATCTACCTCCAGGTATAAAAACTATATATAAACAACACATATGACCTGTTAATATTACCTGTGCTGCAGCCCAAATACAGTCAATATGCTGAGTGCTCAGTCGCCCTTCCGCTGCCAAAAAATTCAAAATAACTTGGCACTGTTTGATAATCTGGAAAAGAGAAACTTGAAATAGTAATTAAAAAAAATATTTTCTTTATACAACACAGAAACCATGTTACTGTCCACAAACCTCAATATGTAAGTTTGGTCCAAATATATGTTCCACCACATTGTTGCTAATAAGCCAGTCTGCCAGTTCTTTTGCAATGGACCTGAAGTCAAATAACAAGAACAGTTTATATTACAATTTTTATTACCCTTTCTTATATCTAAAAGCAGACTTAGTTGAAAACTAAATCTGTTCCCATACAAGTTGTAACAAGGTAGTTCTATATAATTGTTCCCAGTACTACAAAGCATAACTAAAATGAAATATGTAACAAATGAAAATATTCCCGGGGCTGGTGCTGTGGCACAGCAGGTTAAAGCCCTGGCCTAAAGCGCCGGCTTCCCATATGGGCGCCAGTTCTAGTCCCAGCTGCTCCTCTTCCAATACAGCTCCCTGCTATGGCCTGGGATAGCAGTATTGGGCTTCTGTTACCCACATGGGAGACCCAGATGGAGTTTCAGATCCCAGGCTTTGGCCTGGACAGCCCTAGCAGTTGCTGCCATTTAGGAAGTGAACCAGCGGATAGAAGATCTCTTTATCTCAGTCTCTCCCTCTTGCTCTGTCACTCTTTCAAATAAATAAATAAATTTTTAACAAATAAAAGGGAGTGATATACTGATATACACTACAACATGAACAAACCTCAAAGAGTAGGGAAAAAATATGCTAAGTAAAAAGAAGCCAGATGAAAAACCACTATCATATGATTCCATTTATATGAAGTATCAAAACAAATGCAGAGACAGAAATTAGGATTAAGTGTAGGCATCCAGTACAAATAAGTAAAAGCGATCCTTTTGAAGTGATGGAAATGTCCAGCTCTCTGCTGTGGCCCGGGAAGGCAGTGGAAGATGGCCTAAGTGCTTGGGTGCCTGTACCCACATGGGAGACCAGGAAGAAGCACCTGGCTCCTGGCTTCAGATTGGCGCAGTGCCAGCCGTAATGGCCATTTGGGGAGCGAACCAACAGAAGGAAGACCTTTCTCTCTTTCTGTCTCACTGTCTAACTCTACCTGTCAAATAAAAAACAAACAAATAAATAAATAAATTCTCCTGTATAAACAGTATCCTTCAGCATTTTCTGATAAGTAATACTGTATTGTTGGTATATGCCTTTTTTTTTAAGATTTATTTATTTGAAAGGCAGAATTAGAGAGCGAAAAAAGAGAGAAAGAGAGAGAGAGAGAAATATCTTCCACCCATTGGTTCACTCCCCATGACTGCAGAAGCCAGAGCTGGGCCAAGTCAAAGCGAAGAGCCAGGAGTTTCTTCCAGGTCTTTCATGCAGGTACAGGGGCCCGAGTACTCAGGCCCTCTTCCGCTGCTCTCCCAGGCACATTAGCAGGGAGCTGGATTGGAAGTTGAACAGCCAGAACTCAAACCAGCACTCACGTGGGATGCCAGCACTCAAACCAGCATCCACAAGGGATGCCAGCACTGCAGGCGGTGGCTTCACCCACAGCACCGGCCCTGGTAAACACTTTTAAAAAACAAGTACTTCAATATATTACTCTGAAAGTGTAATAAAGACTATAACTTGAAACCATGAGGCAAAAAATTTTCATTAAACACTTCAATTCTATTGAAGTTACAATCATATTTACCAAGTGAACAACTACAAATTAATGCTCCTACTTACGTTTCTGTGTCTGATACCAATGATTCATTATTGCACACATCATTGAAGGTATGAAGTTGATTCTATGATTAAAGAAAATAAATTAAAGATTTTCCCAAAATATTCTTGTATGTTACCAAGTGTCAGGAAGCACAATAAACTGTTCCAGATACATAGATAATAACTGATGAGATGATTATAAAATAAAACCAGAGATATATAAATACTTCCCAATTTTAGTAAGACCATTGCCTTTAACATATAAAATACTAAATAAACTTCCCAAGTAGTATTTATTCATTATTACACTAAACATACTACAGAAAACAAAGCTATAGGAAAAAACAGAAATTTAATACAAAATAATAGGCAATGTCATTAGAAGCGTAAAGTTTCAGTAAAGTCTCCCTGGATAAACCCAGTTTGTCTAGAAAAATGTCACAAAGTATTTTGTATATTTACAATGTCCAGTGCAAGGCAAAATTTAGCTACTTTAGATCATCAGTTTAGCTGCACCATATAAAAAAGGCAAGAGGACTAAAGCAAATGAGGACTGAAGCAACCCAGAAAAGGAGATCCATTCTAGGATGCAGCTACAAGAATGCAGATCCATGATACTAGGTATTCCTCCAGCCCTACCTACCAAGAGAAGTGAAGAATATAAAATCTTATGTGATTTCACACCCATTTAAAACAGTATTTAATACTATCAAAACAAACAAGGTATTATGCTTAGTCAAATATGCCTGACGGCTTTTGCCTGGGCAAATTAACCATTTATAATCCCCTTTGATTGTTTTTCTTTTAATGTAAAAATATAATTTTTAAAAATGGTAAAAGGGTTACATCTCAAAATCAACAAACCCAAGGTATAAATCTTAAAATGTATGAATCAAGGCCTCAGTCTCCTCATACTTAAGGAAAATATAGAAATTATTTGTAAAATCTATTTAAAGTCATCCATTTAAAAATGCTTATTAACACAATGCCTAACACAAACAGCTTCAAATCAGTGTATTTCTGATATTATGGAAGACAAATTTAAAAAGATCAAAAATAAAGCAAATGTAACTTACTGTTATCTGACTTAATCCAGCCAATCTCATAGTCAAAGTAGGTGACATAAAGTATTTAAAGGCAAGATCTAAGCTTTCTTTATCAAAGCATAGTGTTGTATCCAATGGTTCTTTCACTGTGCTCCACATTAAGTCAGCCATGTTACGAGCCGCACTCTGTCGTAACTCCTGATCAGAGAGTTTGCACAAATACCTAAAATGATTCAAAAGTAGATAATCCACAAAAATTCAAGTCACTGATAACACTCAATAATCCAGAAATATTCCTTTATTCCATACCTTTGTACTCTTAAGTACTATAAAACCCAGAATCTTTAGACTTAACATTCTCAATTTAAACTAAAGCCCGACTTGAATCGGCAATTGCAAAAAGCCAAGTCATTTACCATAGGATTCTATACTTCAGGCAAAACCTAACTTTATTATTCTCTAATACTTTTCATATTTACAGTTCTAGTTTCAGTAAATTTCCACTGAATTTATATATACAACAGTCCCCTACCCTAATATAGCTAAAATCTTTTAATGTGCACATTTCAAATATACATTTTTTTGCTCCCAATACCCACACACATCTGATTTTCCTTTCAGACATCAAATAACCTTTTGGCTACTTTCTACTCTTTTGTCCCAACACATCATTTGGGACCTATAACAAACTGCAAAATGGCCACAAACTCCGCTGGTCAGTCAATAAAGAAGTTTACACAATGTGACGGCTACTCTTCACATCAGGAGGTGTTACATATTTTCCACCTCCTTGAATCCAGACTTTTGTCGTTTAATACCCTTTGGCCAATGTGCCATTAATAGATATGACATAAGCAGAAGTTTGAAAAGCCTTTCAGGTTGCCCTCTATTGCTGGGAAGTCTTCTACCACCAAAAGGAGGAATCTTAGTTAGCTGCATGAAAATGTCTGAAACCCCTACTGACAGTAAGCCAACTACAAAATCCATGTGAGTTCCCCACTTCCCAATTAGACTGCCAATCAGTCTAAGTCAAGTCTAAGTGGGTTATTCTAGACCATCCAATTTCAGCCAAGTCTAGTCAGATCAGTAAAACTGCTTAGTCAACCGAAGAACTATTAGAAGTAACAAATGTCATTCCATTTTTGGGGGTTGTCCTCTCACACAGCAAAGCAGCTGAGACAGGGTTCCATCCTACACTTAACTCTATCTTTAATTATTTTTATTTATTTGAAAGGCAGTGACAGAGAAAAAGAGAGGAAGACAGATCTTCTGCCTGACTGTTCACTCTTAAAATACCCTGGACTCAGCACTCAATCCAGATATCCCATGTGGGTGGCAGGGACACAGTAGTTATGCCATCACCTGCTGCCTCCCGGGGTGCACATTAGGAGGAAGCTGGTTAGTAAACAGCATTAAGATTCAAACCCAGGCATCCCAATTTGGATGGTGGGAGTCCAAAGCCACAGCTTAACAAATACCACAATGTTTTCCCCACTGTTCTCTTTCCACATTCTCTCCCCAGGTGATCTCATTCACACCATTGGTTTTTAAGTATAGTCTTTATTGCTGACAATGCTTAAACAATACTATCCTGAACTACAGGCTCACACTCCCAATTTACCAATACCACCAGCACAAGCATCTCCAAGCTTTCTCCTGGTCTTTAACATCTCAGTTCATGACAATCACAGTACTAAAGAAAATCAGGGAAGAGGGTTGCTAATGTCATCCAAATTTTTAACCCATAATTACCACCTTTTAGTCGTTGTCCTAGCTTCTACTGTAGCCCCACTATAAATTCATTATTTTTTTTTTTTTTTTTTGGACAGGCAGAGTGGACAGTGAGAGAGAGAGACAGAGAGAAAGGTCTTCCTTTTGCCGTTGGTTCACCCTCCAATGGCTGCCGCGGCCGGCGCGCTGCAGCCGGCGCACCGCGCTGATCCGATGGCAGGAGCCAGGAGCCAGGTGCTTTTCCTGGTCTCCCATGGGGTGCAGAGCCCAAGCACCTGGGCCATCCTCCACTGCACTCCCTGACCACAGCAGAGGGCTGGCCTGGAAGAGGAGCAACCAGGACAGAATCTGGCGCCCCGACCGGGACTAGAACCCGGTGTGCCGGCGCCGCAAGGCGGAGGATTAGCCTAGTGAGCCGCGGCGCCGGCCCACCCCACTATAATTTATGATGAACTTAAAGAGCAGTGATCCTTTAAAAAAAATGACTAATCTGTTGAAAACTCTTCAATAAATTCTCATTGCTAAAATTAAATCCAAACTCCTTACAGTGGCCTGCAAGGTCCTGAATGATCTGCCTCTGCTTATTTACCCCTATCTCATATCATAATTATACACTCTTAAGTATGATCCACACCAATCTGCTTCCAGTTTGTGGTATGTCATACTCTTTGCAACTTCAAGCCTATTACCTTACCATGTTCCTTCTACCTGGACTACCTCCTTCTGATCATTTGATAATCCATGTCCTTAAAATGTTACCTTTCAGAAGGGCATCATAATCCCTATCACATTATCTTACTTGCACAGCATTCATCACTATCTGATATTTTTTCCAACAACTCAAACAGTACTGAGAAAATAGTAAGCACTGAAACCGTCATGAATGAGAAAATAGGAAGAAGAACATAAATGTTATCAAGAAATAAAAATCCTAGAACTGTGACAGATCATACTAAAGTCTAACCGATATAACCCTTTCACCATCTCCTTAGGTCTGTTTTAAGTTAAAGTTCACCAAACTCAAGTATCACCCCTTCCTCAATGAGATCTTCCTCATCCCCTTACGTAAAATTATAACTCACTCTCTAGAAGTCTTTTATTTTAAATACTTTATTTATTTATTTATTTGAGAGGTAGTTACAGATAGAGAGAGGGAGAGCTAAAGACAGATTTCCCACCCGGCATTTCACTCCCCAAATGGCTGTAATTTTCATTGGCTAGAGCTGAGCCAATCTGAAGCCAGGAGCCAGAAGCCAGGAGCTTCTTCTGGGTCTCTAACGTGGATACAGGGGCCCAAGCACTTGGGCCATCTTCTGCTGCTTTCCCAAGAAGAGGAAGAAAAAGAGGAACAGCTGGGGTGTGAACAGGTGCCTATATGGGATGCTGGTGCTGCAGGCTACAGCACTGGCCCCTTTCTAGAATTCCCAATCCAAGTTTGCTGCCATTTATTCTGTGATGCTTAGCACTTTCTGGTGTACTGTTATCATTCACGTACTTATTTTATAAATAGGTAACATTTAAATCGATGTTCTCAGCAATAATCCCAGTGCCTTGAACTTAGTACTAGACACTGTATATTTGTTCATTGAATAAACACATTAACAGTGGAATAACAATTATTAATTTCTAACTTTTAATGTATTTAAAATAAAATTCTAAAAAGCAAACATTAAATATAAAGCTCCACAAGTACATTAAAAATACCACCCTTGAAACTGTTACCTGAAATTTTCCCTAAAGGATGTGACTGTAAGAGAACTTTAAACAATGTAATTCTCTCATAAAACTGTTCAAATACATTGAAACTGACAGAAAGGAGATTTTATACTTACCGGATAACATAAGTTCTAAAAGGTATAATGTGCTGCATGACAGCAGGGATATGGAGCCATATTCTAATCTATAAAAACAAAAGATGACATTAATGTATAATGAATATCTATATTTTGCTACTTCATACAATGTAGATTTTATTATCAATTTTGAAACAGATAAACAATACAGGGATTACATGTGGATCAGGTTTTAACCTATGTACAAATACATGCAAATTCAAACTCAAGACTTAGCAGTAGTTTCTCACCAAAGAGCAAAAAAGTCTATCCCAGTGACAGCCTTTTACTTAAAAAATATTTATTTACTTGAAACATTCAGCAACAGAGAGAACTTCAATCTCCTGGTTCACTCCCCGAATGCCCACAATAGCCAGGGCTAAGCCAGGCTGAAGTCCAAATCCTAGAACTCAACCCAGGTGTCCTATATGGGTAGCAAGAACCCAAACCTGCTGCCTTTCAGGATGTGCATTACCAAGAAATCAGATTAGAAATGGATACAGGACTTGAACCCAGGCGCTCCAACAGGATGTGGGTACTGCAGGTGGCGCCTCACCCAAGGCACTGTAACACCTGTCACCCAAGTAATATCTTCTAACTAGATGACACCAACACCAAAAAACAAACTTTTTTTTTTTTTAACAAACTCTTGGTTTTTAATAAACCATCTCATCCTTGGCTTCTAATCACCTCAATATCCAACTAATACAAATATTTATAATCACACAGTGATAACAATATCAGCAACTATTTCTCAAAATAAGCTTATTGTTAAGTATCCTTCACCTGAGTTATAACAATAGTTACAATAAATCTCCTTCCTTTTGTCTACACAGTATTATAACCTTGTTCTAGGGGCTGGCACTGTGGCACAGTGGGTTATTCCTCCACCTACAACGCTGGCATTACATACGGGTGCCACCTATAATCCTGGCTGGTCTTCTTCCGATCCAGCTAACTCACTGTGGTGGCCTGGGAGAGCAATGGGCGATGGTGGGCCCCTGTACCCACATGGGAGACCTGGAAGAAGTTCTTGGCTCCTGGCTTTGGATTGGCTCAGCTCCAGCAATTGTGGCATTTGGGGAGTGAATCAGCAGATGGAGGACTTTTCTCTTGGTGTTTCCCTCTACCTCTCATAAATTAAATAAATAAAAAGAATCTTTTAAAAAAGAGAGAGAACCTAGTTCAAGATCTAACGTACTTTCATTATATTAGTTTTACTCTCACATTAAGCCCTAACTTAGTAAATTGATACAAAACAAACATGGGAATGCACAATGTATGGCATTACTGTAACTGAATAAAAGATACCTATAAAAATCCTATAGCAACTACTATATTAATGGTGAAATGTTACAACTTTTTCTTTTTATACTATAAAAACAAGACTTTAATTTCAATTGAACTGAAGGTCCTAGACAGTAAGACAAGAAATTTAAACAAAAATCATAGAACTATAACAGAAGAATTAAAACTGGTATTACAATGAGTTAGTATGATTGTAGAAAAAAGAGTTAAGGCTTTGCCTGCAGTGCTGGCATCCCCTATGGGTGTTGGTTCCAGTCCAGGCTGCTCCATTTCCAATCTAGCTCCCTGCTAACATTCCTGAGAAAGCAAGTGTGTGGGTCTCTGCACCCGTATGGGAGATCCAGAAGAAGCTCCTGGCTTCCTGGGGCTTTGGCCTGGCCTAGCTCCAGGCACAGCCATTGCATACATTTGGGTAGTGAATTAGCAAATGGAAGATCTCTCTCTCTCTCTCTCTCTCTCTCTCCTCTTCTCTATCTCTGATTTTCAAATAAATAAATCTTTGAAATTTAGTGAGAGAGAGAGAAAACAAGAGCAATCCAGTGAAACTCCTTATTTAAAAAAAGAAAAGAAAAAAATCCAAAATAACTTTCAGTTAAACTTGTTGCAGTTAATGAATTTATCAAGACTGCTGCTTGAAAAGGCAAAACAAATAGATACACACATATACACAAATATTTCAAACTGTTCAAGGAAAAATTGAATTAAATCAGTATGAGTTTATTTCTGTTCAGAAACAATTTTGAAGAATAGACAATTGTGCTGGCTACTCCACTATTTTTTTTTTAATAATTTTAACATTTTTTAGAAGATTTATCTATTTATTTGAAAGGGAGAGTTAAAGAGAAGCAGAGTCAGAGATCTTCCATCCTCTGGTTCACTCTCCAAATGGCTGCAATGGCCGGAGCTGAGCCTATCCAAAGTCCGGTGCCAGAAGCTTCTTCCAGGTCTCCCACATGGGTGCAGGGGCCCCAGGATTTGGGCCATCTTCCATTGCTTTCCCAGGCACATTAGCAGGGAGCTAGATCGGAAGTGCAGCAGCCAGGACTAGAACCAGTGCTTATATGGGATGCAGCACTGCAGGTAGCAGCTCAATCCACTACACCACAGCACCAGACTCAGCTATTCCACTTATGCACCTGGGAAGGCAGCAGCAGATGGTCCAAGCACTACAGACAAGAGTTCTTGGCTTTGTCCTGGCCCAGTTCTTTCCCAACTATTTCATTCATTTTGGGAGTGAACCAACAGATGGAAGATCTCGATCTCGATTCTCTCTCTCTGGCTGTTACATAAATAAATCTTTTAAAAACAAACTCAACCTGGTTTTTTTAATACGCATTTTCCATGAAAAGAAAAATTTGCAGGGCTGGCGCTGTGGCATAGCAGGTGAAGCCACCACCTGCAGTACCGGCATCCCATATGGGTGCTGGTTCAAGTCCTGGCTGCTCTACTTCCAATCCAGCTCTCTGCTGTTGCCTGAGAAAGCAATGGAAGATGGTCCAAGTGCTTAGGACCCTGCACCAACATGGAAGACCCAGAAGAAGCTCCTGGCTTCTAGCTTCAGATTGGTGCAGCGCAGCTCTGGCCGTTCCTGCCAACTGGGGAGTGAACCAGTGGATGGAAGACCTTCCTCTCTCTCTCTCTCTCTCTCTCTCTGTGTAACTCAGACTTTCAAATAAATAAAGAAATCTTAAAAAAAGAAATTTGCAACAAAATAGTTATTTTAGTTGCATTTTTTTACTAACTTCTAGAAATGTATGTATACATCCCAAGTGAAAAAAAAGAAAATCTAAAATAATTTTCAGTTAAACTTTATGCAATTAATAAGTTTAGCAAGACAGCTGCTTGGAAAGTAGTGAAAAACATACTCTACAATACCATTATAAAACATCATATACCTAGGATCCAGAAGAAAAATATATTACTTACACATTAAAATAAAGATAATGGTAACAGAAATCAAACAACAAGCAAATCAGTTAACATTTACCATACTTATAGAAGACTAAATAATGTAAAAATGACAGTTTTCCTAAATTGATGCACAGGTTCAGTGTAACCCAAGCAAGTCTTACGTGAACTTTAGAAGCTGATTCCAAGCACAAAGGTACAAGAGTCAAAACCCTCAAGAAAAAATAGCATGGAGAGATGAGCATTTGGCGCAGCAGTTAAAATGCTACTTGGGACACTCATATCCCATATTACAGTATCTGAGTTACAGTTATGGCTTCAGTTTTGATTCCAGCCTCTGGCTAATTCACACCCTGGGAGGTAGCAGGTAATGGCTCAAGTAGTTGATTCCCTGCCACCCAGTGGCAGATCCCTATTAGCCTCCTGGCTTCACCTAGCCCCAGCACATGCTGTTGTGGCAATCTGGGGAGAGAACCTGGGATTGGAAGCTGTGCAGTTCAGATAAAAAACAAAAATCAAAAATACAGGAAAAACAGCAAGGAAGTTCCTCTTTTCTTACTAGATAGCACAACTTCTTCAAAGCTCTAGAAGTTAAGATGGTATGGGGGCTGGCGCCGCGGCTCACTAGGCTAATCCTCTGCCTGCGGCACCAGCACACCAGGTTCTAGTCCCGGTCGGAGCACCGGATTCTGTCCTGGTTGCTCCTCTTCCTGTCCAGCTCTCTGCTGTGGCCCGGGAAGGCAGTGGAGGATGGCCCAAGTGCTTGGGCCCTGCACCCACATGGGAGACCAGGAAAAGCACCTGGCTCCTGCCTTCGGATCAGTGCGGTGCGCCGGCCGCAGCGTACCAGCCGCGGCGGCCATTGGAGGGTGAACCAACGGCAAAAGGAAGACCTTTCTCTCTGTCTCTCTCTCTCTCACTGTCCACTCTACCTGTCCAAAAAAAAAAAAATGGTATGGGAACAGTACAAGATTAAGCCAACAGGATAACAGACTAGGCTAGAGAGCTCAGACACAGGCACATAAAGATACCCATTAATTTAAAAAAAAAAAAAAAACACCATAGTATAACAAAGTTACTATATTTATGATCAACAGCATTAGCAAAATAGATATCCATATATGGTGAAGAAAATGAATCTTGATCCCTCCTCCTCACTAAATAAAAAAATTTATTTGAAAAGCAGTTACAGAGAAGATAGAAAGTGATCTTCCATCAGCTGCTTCACTCCCTAAATGGATGTGACAGTCAGGGCTCAACCAGACCAAAGCCAGGAGCTCCATCTGAGTGTTCACATGCATGATCCAAGTATTTGGGCCACCTTCTTCTGCCTTTCCAGGCACACTAGCAGAGACCTAGATAGTGAAGCAGCCACAATGCAAACTGTCTCTCTGATAAGGAATGCCAGCATTTCTGGTGGCAGCTTAATCCACTGCACCACAATACCAGCTCCACACACTATACAGAATTATAAGCCTTCTTCAAAATCACACAGTGTCTAAGTAAAATATCAACAAAGCATTTTAGCTACTCTTAAGTATTTTAATTTTCCCCCAGGAGTGAAATTGAACAGTTTCTTCTCAAATAAATAAGTTAAATCAAAATAGAGTTAAATACTTAATAGCTAAAATGAGCAACAGATACCAATTACTAAGTGCTTACTATTTATCAAGCACTACAATACTAGCCTTAAATCTCTCATCTAATTTTAAACTTCACAACAATCCTCCAAGGTATTTACCATCCATCATTCCCCTTGTGCAAACAACATTTAGGTTTAGAGTTAGGTTTCAAATATAATCATGAATCAAAAAACCTTACTATTACATGCTACACTGCACTGTATAATAATTTTTTCAACCAATCAGAAAGCATGGAATTTTAAAAATAAAAAATGACCTTGATACAATCCTTTCAAATATGCAAACACGAAGGTCTAGATACTCAAATTTTGTATAATGCCAGTGCTCTTTCCAGAGCACTGCAAAGTGTGTCACTAGAAACAATGCAACAAAATACTTGATGTTATTCATCTTATTATACACTTTACTTAAATAATTATACAAGAACTCAGGTTTTTGCAAAGTTACATTTAACCTTTGCTATACCAGTTTTCTGAATGATTATCTGAACAGTCAGTAAAGGCTAAATTTTAATATACAGGTAGTAAAAATTACTTATCATTTCCTTCATAATTACCATGCTTCAGAGTACTGCCAATCACAATATATAAAGGAACTGAATTTTTAAAAAATGTTTATTTGAAAGGCACAGTGATAAGAGCCAGCACTGTGGCATAGTGAATAAAGCAGCCACCTGTAGTGCTGGCAACCCTTATGGGCGCTGGTTTGAGTCCCTCAATCCAGCTCTCTAGGCCTGGAAAAGCAGTAGAAAATGGCCCAAGTGGGCAAGTCCTTGGACCCCTGCACCTGCATAGGAGACCCAGAAGAAGATCCTGGCTCCTGGCTTCAGATCAGCCCAGCTCCAGCTGCTGCAGCCATTTGGAGAGTGAATCAGCAGATGGAATACCCCTCTCTCTCCCTGCCTCTGTATAACTTTATCTTTCAAATAAACAGATTTTTTTTTTTAAAAAGGAAAGAAAAAGAAAGACACAGTGATAGAGAGACAAACAGACAAATCTTCTATCCACTGGTTTACTCCCCAAATGGCTTCCAAAAGAACCAGGAACTCCATACAGGCCTCCCATATGGCTGGCAAGAGCCCAAGCACTTCTTCCATCTACCACTGCCTTCCGAAGACGAATAGCAGGGAACTGGATCGGAAGTAAAGCAGCTGGGAGTGAAACTCCTATGGGATGCCAGCATTGGCCACCACAGGCACTGGCTTAACCTGCTGTGCCACAACACCAGCCCAAGAATTGACTTTTTATAAAGGCAAAAAGAAATTGTTTTTTGTACATCTTTGTTGTACATCTTGTACACTGTACATCTTTGCTTGAAATACAGACACACTGATCTAGTACCTCTAGTACCCTAGGTTAAATATCACCATTCTCCCAGAAAAAACTTGTAGACAAGGAAAGCTAAAAATTGACGTGAAAGTTTTTTGTGTTGACACTTTAGATAAAAAATATAAAACCACTAATTTTATTACAAAGATCTTTTTCAAAATAGAATCCAGAGGCAGGCAACTGCTCTAACAGCTTAAGACACCATTTGGGATGTCACCTTCCCAACTCAAAATGCCTGAGTTCAAGTTCTGACTCTGTTCCTGATTCCAGCTTCCTGTTTATGTACAAAGGAACACACAGCTGATGGCTTAAGTGGTTGGCTCTCTGACACCTATGTAAGACTGAGTTTCCAGCAGACAAGAAGTCTCTTTCTTGTCTCTCAAAAATAAATCTTCCAAATATAATATAGAAAAACAGTCACTGTATATGCTAATCATTCAAAATCCCACTTTTTTAAAAGGACTTAAAATTCACGCTACTGTATGCTAGAAATTGCTACCAAGATTTAAAACAATACTTACATTAGACACAACTGTAATAAATGCATGTGCTATAAGAAATGGCAAAGTTTCAGGAGTTCCATATTCAAAGCAATCCTTCATGAGAGAAAGGCCATTTTTTCCACAAAACAAACAAACGTAACGAAGCAAATGCAATGGTACTTCTACATCCTGAGAAAATAAACAAGATATATTTTAAAACACTAGGGATAATTTTTGTTTAATTAGCAATAAAGACACTGATCACACATTAAAATAAACCCAAGAATATATGAACTAAAAGCAAAGTTTTCCATGAACCTTAGAATGAAAAAAATAACTTACATTCATATCACAGAATGCCCCTAGTATGTTACTTTCTTGAGTTGATATATCCTAATAAAAAATAAACAAAATAAGGTTACAACTACCAAATGACAAATTTCCTAAAAGACTATTTTTCATAAAATGATAACAGATTTTCCAATTGCTTCTCATCATGACACGTCAATAACATCCCAAGGCTACCTCTCCACATATTTTGTCTTCTTAAACAAAAGCTATTTTAACCTTCCCTTAAAGAGCAGGGTAATTTTTTTTCTTTAAAGATTTCTTTATTTACCTGAAAATAAAAGTTACAGAGAAAGAGGGACAGACAGAGAGCTTCGATCTGCTGGTTCACTCCCCAAATGGCTGCAATGACGAGGGCTGGACCAGGCCAAACCAGCAGCCTGGAGCTTCATCCAGGTCTCCTATGTGAGTACAGGAACCCAAGTACTCGGATCATCTTTCGCAGCTTTCCCAGGCACATCAGCAGGAAGCTGGAACGGAAGTAGAGCAGCCAGGATTCAAACATGCATCCATATGGGATACAAGCATTACAGACGGCACCTTGACCTGCTGTGCCACAGCACCATCCATAGGGTAATCCTTATAAAAATGCATTGTAGCCTAAGTAAGTGGTTTTAAAATGACATTCTTCAATTTCTACATAGGTATATTCAAGCATTCTACATGCAAGATTAAAACAACCCAAAGCATACTCATCCATTGCCAGTAAAGGTACAAATTGCTAGGATCTTTTTGGAAGGCAATTTGGCAAAATATATCATTTGAAATGTAAATTCCATTTAACCCTAATGAAATAACCAGAGAAGTGTTGGAACTGTATGTGTAATGATGTTCAGTGAAACTATAACACTCCAAAATTAGAAACAACTGACATTCATCACAGGTTACATAAATGGTGGCAGAATCATACAGAGTCTTGTAGACCTTAAGATACTAAGATGAGGGGCTGGCGCTGTGCTATAATAGGCTAAGCCGCCACCTGCAATACCAGTATATGGAAGCCAGTTCAAGTCCTGGTTGCTCCACTTCCAATCCAGCTCCCTACTTATGTACCTGGGAAAGCAGCAGAGAATGGCCTAAGTCCTTGGGCCCCTGCACCTATATGGGAGATCCAGAAGAGGCCCCTAGCTCAGCTCTGGCCATGGAGGCTACCTGAGGAGTAAACCAGTAGATAGATGATCATTCTCTCTATAACTCTGCCTTTCAAATAAAATAAATCTTTGAAATAAAAAAAAAAAAAGACATTAAGGAGAAATGAGGGATAGGCGAGTTCTGGTGTTGTGGTGCAATGGAGTAAGCCACCACCTGCAACAACAGCATCCCACATGAACACCTGTTGCACTCATAGCGCTCCTTGCTAATATGCCTCAGAGGACAGCACAGGTGCTTGGCTCCTGCCACCACAATGAAGTCCAGGATGTAGTACCAGGTTCTTGAGTTTGGCCTGGCCCAGCCCTGGCCATTGCACCTACTTGGGAACTGAGCCAGTGGATGGCAGACATTTCTGTCTCTTACTGACTCTCTAATTCTACCATTCAAATAAATAAATCTTTTTTTTTTTTTTAAGTAAATTAGCATGAGAGATCTTTTGGGGAAAATATTCTGTTTTTTCTTTATTAAATATTTTATTTTATTTTACTTGAAAGGCAGAGTTACAGAGGCTGGCACCATGGCGCAGTAGGTTAATCCTCCACCTGCATTAACGGCACCCCATATGGGTGTCAGTCCTAGTCCCACTGCTCTTCTTCCAATCCGGCTCTCTGCTGTGGCCTGGGAAAGCAGTGGAAGATGGCCTAAGTGCTTGGGCCCCTGAACCTGTGTACGAGACTGGGAAGGGGCTTCTGGCTCCCAGCTTCGGATTAGCACAGCTCCGGCCATTGCGGCCATTTGGGGAGTGAACTGACAGAGGGAAGACCTTTCTCTCTGTCTCTTCCTCTCACTGTCTGTAAATCTACATCTCAAATAAATAAATAAAATCTTTAAAAAAAAGTAAGAAAAGCAGAGTTACAGAGAGGTAGAGGCAGAAGAGAGAGAGAGAGAGAAGTCTTCCTGGTTCACTCCCCAAATGGCGGCATTGGCCGGAACGAAGCTGATTAGCAGGTAGGAGCCAGGAGCTCCTTCCAGGTTTCCAATGTGGGGCACAGTCTACTTTCCCAGGCCATACCAGAGAGCTAGACCAGGAATGGAGCACCCGGACTCGAACAGGCGCCCATATAGTGGAGGCTTTACTCTCTACACCACAGTACCAACCCCGACAATATAAATATTCTAAAATCACTATGTGGTGATGGCTCCACCACTAAAATTCAATGTACATGTTACATAATTTGTACAGTCTACAGGTTGTACTCTGAAAAGCCGTTAAAGCATAAATATGAAAATATGCTTTTTCATATGAAAAAGCAAAGAAGATAATAAAGTATCACACTATATTATACTCTGTTAAACAGAATTAATAGGGACAGTGCCGTAGTTCACTTGACTAACCCTCCACCTGCGGCGCCAGCATCCCATATGGGCTCCGGGTTCTAGTTCCGGCAGTTCCTCTTCCAGTCCAGCTCTCTGCTGTAGACTGGGAAGGCAGTGGAGTATGGCCCAAGTATTTGGGCCCTGCACCCGCATGGGAGACCAGGATGAAGCACCTGGCTCCTGGCTTCGGATCGGCACAGCACCGGCCGTAGCGGCCATTTAGGGGGTGAACCAGTGGAAGGAAGACCTTTCTCTCTGTCTCTTTCTAACTCTGTTAAATAAAAAAAATAATAAAAATTAAAAAAAAACAGAATAATTAATGATCATTATGATCTAATGTTCACAATTTCTTTAACATGTGCAAGTATCTGAACTAAACTGGCAACAATGTTTCTTCAAGGAAAAGACAAAAAAGGAGAAATTGAAAGCTTTGAATATCTATAGTCTGTAGATTCTGTTTTTATTTATCACACTAAAAATGCTGCTTTCATAATCAGAAAGCTACTTTCACGTGAAAAGAGCTGCCAAAGAAACAGATTCATTCACAGCCATTATGTATTTTACATAAAGTTTAAACTATTGAAATATTTCAAAATCTGACTAAAAGGAACCACACTAAACTCTCAGAACATTCCAAAATAAAGTCCTTAGAGAAACCAAAACATTCACCAAATAAAAACTTAATTCTCCTAAATCTTCATTCAAGCCTCTCTCACAGCAGCCACAACTAAAGTTTCAAGTTTTTTTAAGAAGCTTGTCTTTGGCAGGCGCCACGGCTCAATAGGCTAACCCTCCGCCTTGCAGCGCCGGCACACCGGGTTCTAGTCCCGGTCGGGGCGCCGGATTCTGTCCCGGTTGCCCCCCTTCCAGGCCAGCTCTCTGCTGTGGCCTGGGAGTGCAGTAGAGGATGGCCGAAGTGCTTGGGCCCTGCACCCCATGGGAGACCAGGAGAAGCACCTGGCTACTGCCTTCGGATCAGTGCGATGCGCGCCGGCCGCAGCGGCCATTGGAGGGTGGACCAAGGGTAAAAGGAAGACCTTTCTCTGTCTCTCTCTCTCACTGTCCACTCTGCCTGTCAAAAAATAAATAAATAAATAAAAGAAGCTTGTCTTCAAAAAGTACAAAATTTAAGAACTCCTATAAAACTGTTAAACACAGGGGCTAGCACTGTAGTTTAACAGGATAGGCCACCACCTATAGTGCCAGCAGCCCAAGTGGGTCCCGGTTTGATTCCCGCTTTTGCTCCTCTTCCAATCCAGCTCCCTGCTAATGCACCTGGGAAAGTAGCAAAGGATGGCACAAGTACCTGGTGCCCTGCACCTACGTAGGAGACCCAGAAGAAGCTCCTGGCTTCAGTCTGGCCCAGCTCCAGCTGTTGCAGCCATCTGGGGCGTGAACCAGTAGATGGGAGACCTCTCTGTCTCCCCTTCTCTCTAACTCTGCCTTTCAAATAAAATAAATAAACCTTTCAAAAAACTGCTAAATATAGATTTGTGGACTAGGTGTTATACAGGAATATCAGAAATTTCTAGTGACTAACAGATGTTACTAGAAAATTAGCTAACAGATTTCTATCCTCATACACGACACGTTACTCAAGGACTTGGTAAATAGTTTCAATACTCAGAGAAACATGTTGGGGATGCACTGTGGTATAGGTGGTGACACTGCTGCCTACAGTGCTAGCATCGCATTTGGGCACCACTTCTGACCCAGTTCCCTGCTAATGCACCTGGGAAAGCAGCAGAGGATGGCCCAGGTGCTTGGGCCCCTGCACCTACATGGGAGACCCAGAAATAGCTCCCGGCTTCAGCCTGGTCAAGCCCCAGTCCTGGCCATTGCAAACCAATAAATGGAAGATCTTTCTTGCTCTCCTTCTGTCTTTCAAATAAAAAACCTTAAGAGAGCTGGGTGTTGCCAGTTCACATTCCTATTCTGATACATCCTAAAGTAGTATTATCATCTCAATTTTATTACTATATGGAGCTAACACAGATATGTAGGGAACATTAGGGACAAAACAAGTCTCACTCAAAGATAAAATCAACAATATTGTTCTTTCAAAAACTGTAAGTTTATGTAACCCCTCAAAAAGGCTCTGAGACTTGGCAGTAACTTTAAAGAGGATTTCGTATTTTGTTTTTATAAAACTTCACATTTAGAAAATAAGATAATGTGGTAGGAATGTGGCATAGCAGTTAACTCATCTCCTGGGACAACCACATCCCCTATTTGTGTCCTAGTTACTCCACTTCCTATCCAGCTTCTTGCTAACGTGCACCCTGGGAAGGCAGCAAATGATGGCTCAAATACTTGGGTCCCTGTCACCCAAGTAGGAGACTTGGATTCAGTTCAGGGCTCCTAGCCCTGCCTGGCTACTGCAGGTATCTGGGAGTGAGCCAGATCTTTCTCTCTTATTTTCAAATAAAAATGAAAATAAAGGGGTCAGCAGTGACATTAGTGGGTTAGTCCTCCGCCTGCAGGAACAGCATCCCATATAGGCACTGACTCTGGTCCCAGATACTCCACTTCCAATCTGGCTCTCTGCTATGGCCTGGGAAAGCAGTAGAAAATGCCCCAAACACTTGGGACCCTTCACCCGCATGGCAGGCACAGAAGAAGCTCCTGGCTTCGGATCAGCTCAGCTCCAGCCATTGCAGCCATTTGGGGAGTGAACCAGTGGATGGAAGACCTTTCTTTCCATCTCACTGCCTGTGGCTCTACCGCTCAAATAAATAAAATCTTATAAAAAACAAAATGAAAATAAAAATGGCACTGTGGTGCAGTGGGTTAAAGCCCTGGCCTGCAGCACCAGCATTCCACATATCCCATTAGAGTCCCAGCTACTCCATTTCCAATCCAGTTCCCTCCTAATGTGCCTGGGAAAGCAGCAGAGGATGGCCCAAGTGCTTGGAACCCTGCAACTACATGGGAACCCCGAAGAAGCTCTTGGTTCCTGGCTTTGGATCGGCTCAGCTCCGACAGTCGCAGCCATTTGGAGAGTGAATCAGTGGACTGAAGAACTCTCTCTCTCTGCCTCTCTCTATAACTCTTTCAAATAAATAAAATAAATCTTAAAAAAAAGGAAAAAATTTAAAAAGATGATACCACTCTACTTTTAGAAATATGTCTGTTACTTGAAAAGAGCAAACAGGGGCTGGTGTAGTGGTATATTGAGTTAGGCTGCCAGATCCGATATGGGTACCAGTTTGAGACCCAGTTGATCCATTCATGTTAATGCTAATAGGAAAGCAATGGAAGATGACCTTCATGCCTGGATCCCTGCATCCATGTGGGAGACGCAGAAGAAACTCCTGGCTTCTATCTGGCACAGTCCTGCCTATTTTGGCCATTTGGGGAGTGAATCAGCAAATAGAAGCCCTCTTTACTCTCCTCTGTCTCACCCCCTTTTTCTGTAACTCTCCCTTTCAAATAAATAACTAAATCTTTAAAAATGCAACTAGTCTCCCACTTTTATCCTGAATTAGTACTATTTATTCCTAATTATTCATTATCAATGTTGGGAGGGAAGATTGGAAAAAGAGAGGAAAAAAGGAGGTGAAGAAGGGACTCCAAGTTCCCATCTTATTCTTTATAACAAAAGAATTAGTTCATCATGATCAAGAAGCAATTAGAATCCTGGATTGAAGGATTTTTCCTCTTCTATAACAAAGGGTTTTAGGTTTTCAAAATTACACTAATACAACTTTTTTCTCTTTTCTAACATTGTTTTGGCCAAGTTATACCTCTTAATAATTAAAAATCAAAATTAAAGGTTTTATCAGGAAAGAACAGCAAAACAGTACAACGGAGAGAACACATAAATTATCTTCTCCAAGAAAAGTGGGATCACCCAGAAGAAGCTCCTGGCTTCAGCCTGGCCTAGCCCGAGCCACTGTGGCCATCTGGGGAGTGAACCAGCAGATGGAAGATTGAGCTCTCTCTCTCTCCCTACACCTAACTCTGCCTTTAAAATAAATAAATAAATATTTAGAAAAAGAAAAAAAGAAATTAATTAGAACTCTGAGAAACTGATTACAAACAGAACACTAACAAAACATAGAATTTTGTACAGGAGATTCCTCCTTTTACCTATATGAGTTTTTCATTAGAATTTTATATCTAAGACCTCATGAAACCATTTCTTTTAACCAAATAGCCATACTGAACAAGAATGTAATTCTTCAAGAATATTAAATATTGTATTCTTCAAGAATAGTAATAGTGAAGCAATTTCCCAAAAAAGGAAAGAGCAGAGAGGAGTGTAACTATATACCTATATAATATATGCCTATATTTAAAGAATAACATTTTTTGGAGCTGGCGCTATGGGGCAGTGTAAAGCCCTGGTCTGAAGTGCCAGCATCCGATATGGGTGCAGGTTCCAGTCCTGGCTGCTCCTCTTCCGATCCAGCTCTCTGTTATGGCCTGAGAAAGCAGTACAAGATGGCCCAAGTCCTTGGGCCCCTGCGCCCAATAAGGAGAACCAAAAGAAGCTCTTGGCTCCAGACTTCAAATCAGCTCAGCTCTGGCCGTTGTGGCAACTTGGGGAGTGAACCAGCCAATGGAAGACCTGTTTCTCTTTCTCTACCTCTCTGTGTAACTCTTTCAAATAAAATAAATCATTAAAAAAAAAGATTAACATTTTTGAAAAAGCAACAGGAAAATAAAATCACCCAAAAAATCTACTGGTAGGCAAGCTGATTTTAGGAACAAACTAGCAAATGTCATGTTGCTTAGTTGTATCATTGAAAAATCTTTAAATTTATTTCTTTATGCAGTTTCCCATATTTAGGCCTCTATCAAGCTGTTTCCAGTATCTTTCAAATACTAATTTAAAAAGATGTATTTTTTTACTTGAAAAGCAGAGTTTTAAAAACAGAGAGGAGGCCAGTGCCGCGGCTCACTAGGCTAATCCTCCACCTGCGGCTCCGGCACACAGGGTTCTAGTCCCGGTTGCTCCTCTTCCAGTCCAGCTCTCTGCTATGGCCGGGTAGGGCAGTGGAGGATGGCCCAAGTGCTTGGGCCCTGCACCGCATGGGAGACTAGAAGGAAGCACCTGGCTCCTGGCTTCGGATCAGCACAGTGCACCAGCCGCAGCTGTCACTTGGGGGGTGAACCACCACAAAAGGAAGACCTTTCTCTCTGTCTCTGTCTCTCTCTCACTGTCCACTCTGCCTGTCAAAAAAAACAAAACAAAAAAAAAACAAAACAAAACAAAACAAAAAAAAAAACAACCCACAGAGAGGGAAGGCCAGTGCTGTGGCA